TGCTTTAGTTTCCATCCTCATCAATTAAATCTATCAAAATATTTGAATACATCCAAGGTAGATATTCAGATAGTAAAGCTGTCTCTAATGGATCTCTAAAAACACCTAAATCTTAGAGTTTCTTAAAAGTATTTTGTTTTAAAGGAGATATTAAAGACTTGGATAATGTTCTACAGATAACTTTCTAATGACTTTGTTTTTAGATCTTAAGAAATGTTTCATATTATAATTTCCTTCTTGCTTCTTCCTAATCTAATCTTTGTTAAACAGCATCTAATCTTTGCATTTCTGATAAGACAGATGTCTTTTATTTTTCATGTTGCTTTTATTATAATTTCATTAATTTGATTTCTTCTTCTTCTAAAACTTCCATTCTTGATTATTCCAATATCTTATTCATTAAAACTTACAATATAGGTTCTACCTCCTAATCAAAATCAAATAGATCACCTTCCCATATTTATGTTTCCTAATTAAATAAACAGATTATTTTACTTTATCTATACCATTTTTCTTTGGAACAAATAATCTATCAGGAGGCTTATCTATATAATAATCTGTTTAGGCATCCATTTCTTGTTCTGGAGGTTTATCAGTTAGTATTTCAAGATATTCATCTGTTTATATATCAATATTGACACGATTTTAAAATGGTCTTGGTGTTTAAGGATGTAGATAAGTAGTCTATGTTTAAGGAGCCTATTTATATAATTAGATTATATAACTGCTTTTTAAGATGGTTTTTTGAATGATTTCAATGTCATTAATTTCTTATCCCCTTGAGTTTATATGCTTGCATACGTATTCCCTCTTATAACTCTTTTATCAAACATTATGTTGCATCCAAGTAATGAACTTAATATAAATTTGATTCTCAAACCTATCCTTCTATTCTTCAGATTGTTATAATATTTATGGTCTGTATTTAGCCTTTGGTTTCACTACTTCAGGTGCAGCTTTGAATTCATAATTTTCACCTGCCAATGCTTATGCCATATTAATTAATATTATATAAGTGATTTTAAATAAAAATTTATGCAATTCCCTTCTAACTTAGAATTTATTCTTTTTAAAGAAAACCAAATTCTAGGCTTTTTAAGGAACTTAAAATTCTAAAACACTTTTAAACACTAATGTTATATGCTGAATTTGAAGTAACATATCCAAATCTAAATCTTCCCACTATATAAAGAATATCTTAAATTAAAGGGATAACCTCTAGATGATCTCTCAATAAAATAGCAATATTCCTTTGAAAGTATCTTTTTAATATCAAAAACTAGAATTTATACATTAGTTATTACAAATGATATTTTAAAATTTGTACAGAATTTTTAATTAACCTTTCAGCTGTTTAAAGTCTTTTTAAATTTTATCAAATCTTTATTACCTTAATTTTATCCCTATCAGATTATAATGTAATTCTGCTCCTTTGATTACTGGTATTTTAAATCCTTTGAATTTGACTTGGAATGAAACAATGTAAAAATGATCGCCATATCATCATAATTGCAAAAATTACAATATAAACATATATTAAATTTTTCAACTTACATAAAAATATGAATTAATATTAATAATATTTATTATCATTCATTGTCAACATTAAAACTCCTTTTATACAAATATTCTGCCTATTTTTATAATATAATTTAAATACTAAAAATTCAACTGGATCATCTGGTAGAATATGTGCCACTTCCACTAATCCTTCATTTAATACTGGTACTACAAATTCCATTAAATAGTTTCTAAAAGGAAATTGTTTGACTTATTATAACTCTTATTCTTGTTCCTATATGTAAGTTGTATATTTTGTAACCAAACCTTATCTCTTATCTTTTTTCACTTTTGTAATATCCTTCCAAATTTATATAGATTATTTTCTAGTATATTTAATTGTTAAATCTTTAATTCTCTATAAATTGAAATATTAAATTATTAATTCTTATTCATTTTGTAAATAATTATAAGGTCTTCCATTCTAATAATCTAAAATAATAAATTACTCTTTCAATATAAATTCTCAAATCTTCAAAAGTGTCATGATTTGTTTTCTTTCTTGGATCAATGAAATAAGCATCTAAATTTCTTTCACTAAAAAAATTAATCAATTTTCTGTTATAATCAAAATTATCAGTTTTGCCTAATGGTTTGATTACTATATAAGATTCAGGAAAGAAATCTTCTGGTTTTGGACCACCTTCTTATTCCTCCTCTTATTACTCTTCTTCCTATTATTCTTCTTCTTATACTTCCTCTTATTATTATTCTTCTTATTATTATTCCTCTGGCTATTCTTATTCAATTGGATCTCCATTTTCATCTACAGCAGGTTCCTAAGGTTGTTTATTTTCTTCTTCTAAAACAACTGGTTTTTTTTTTGGTTTTTTTTTCATTTTAAGTTTTTATTTATTTGGATAAAAGATAAAATCAGCCTCTTCAAAAAAGTTTGGGAAATTCTATAAAATAAATCCTCTATTTTAACAATCATTTTGACTCAATCTCCATTTAATTACTTTATAATATATTTTTAATTATTCTGACAATTATGCAGGAGTTTAATTATTAATATATTCTTATATAGCAGGCCATAATTCATTAAAATCTTCTTAGATTTCTGATGGGAATACATAATTTGGATCTTAAGCATCTTTAAATATTTATTCTTAATTAATAACTGGAATTCTATAATGATCACTAATCATAGTTAAAATATCTTAAAATCTCATATTTTCAGCTTTAGATTCCATTAATATTTTAATAGGTCTTAATTTATGTATTGATGTGAATTCTTATAATATTTTCTTAGCATTAAAAGCAATTCCTTTTTCACAATGCCATTCAAAATCAGATGGAGTTTCTTCATTTCCAATAAACATTTAAGATGTTTTGCAATCCAAATGTAATCTAAAGCAATCCATTTCTTCTGGAGTAAAATCTTTAAAAAAATCATCATTTTATTCAATCCAACCACTTCCAACTCCGGTTGCAATACCTTGAATTATAGCTTTTTATGTTCTATCTTAAGTATTATCAACAGCAAAAATATAATTTGATTCTGGAATAGATTCAGATACTTTGATAATCATTTTTACTAAATCAGTTATATGAACTGTGGGAACTTTATTATTGCCATCTGGTTAATAACTTAATTTATATGGTTATTATAACCATGCTTTCTTATTATTAATTTGAATACTTTACTTTAAAATATTTTTAAAAGAGTAATTCTCCTTTTCCATATATTAATCCTGCACAAACAACAATTACTTTTAAGTTATCCTTCTATAAACTTAATACCATATCTTCCCATTCTTTCAATTATGAATATTGAGCTGAAGCACTTCTCAATTTATAATCACTTTCTTCCCAAGGTACATACTCTATAACCTCAGGAACTTCATTAATTGGTTATTATTAAATCTATTATTATTCTTATTCTTATTCTTATTCTTAATTTTCATCCTCTTTTGGCTCTTGATTTTCTTCTGCTTCTTCCTTCTTTTATTATTATTCTTGTTATTCCTATTATTCTCCCTCTTATTCTTCTTCTAATTTTTTTTCCACTTTTGGTTTTACTTTATCTGGCATTGCACTCCATGTTAAAACAGTTGAAACTAGAATAAGAACCTTTTAATAGGATAGATTTATACCTTCTATTCTTCTAATGTAGTTTTGCTATTCCTAAAGATATCACATACAAAATCTAAATCTTATTGAGTTGCAGAGGCTACATCATACACATATACATCGCATTCTTCAAGCATTTTTTTTCTAGACAACTTGGGTTTGTATCTAACATATAAAATTTTCATACCGTTTCAATATTTTCTTAAAACCTTTTGGAGGCATCTTATTTGGATCATCAATTTTATAAGTTGCCATATGAACACCTTCCTCAGTATCTTCTTTTACTAATTATGAATAGAATTCTTAGCCCAATGGACTATCTAAATTATTGATAAAATATCTCTTTGACATTGAAAAATTTTATTTTATTTTATAATTAAATATAAACAAAAGTAAATATTGAAAATCATGTTATTCAAATATTCTTTATAATCTTTTTCTATTAAATTTATAGTATTTGATGTTATTTAATAATTTTGTTCTAAATTTTTTTTGAACGATTCTGATATTTTTATTTTGTTTCAACTGTTTTTTTAAATCCTTTTAATCCCTCCAAATAATCTATTTCACCTTATTAAGCTATTAAGTGGAGTTCATTATTTAGATCATAACATTAACTAGAATCAGAAAGGGTTTCTGAATCTTAATTGTCTTCATTTTATTAATTCTATTATTTTTTAATAATTTTGATTTCTGAAGGGACTGTTTCTTATTGAATAAAGTCATTAAATAAGTAGATCTAATTATTTACCTCTTTATTCTTTTTATGACTTGGAGTATCTAGTTCACAAATCACATAATTTTATAGAATGCATTTTCCTGAAAATTCTTCTGATAGACTTTGGAATTCTTCAGCATTATTTTCAAAATCAGTTAATCCATAATTATCTTCATCTAAGACTGATTTGATATTATTTTGTATTGTCTTTTTAGTTTTTCTTACAATAGCCCTTATATAACATCTATCTTAAGTATTCATTAATTTTTAATATGATATTGTGCATTTCAAAATTGATTATAAATAACTATTAATTCTAATAAGTTATTCTAGATATACTTTATGATAGAGTTATGATTTATCTTTAAAGGGAGATAATAAATTTTCATTATCTATTAAATTATCCTATACTTTATCTTTGTGTGGGATTATTTCTTAAGAAGAAAATAAGTTCAAATGTTTTAACTATCTTTATTTTAATGGATTATAATTATATAAAGATTTTGAAATGTATTTAAGTATTATGATAACTATTAAAAAATATAGATAATAAAATTATTTATTCTTAGATCCATTGATTTTATTCATCTATGTTATTAATTTTATTGAACATTTTTATTATTTTAAGTATATAAATAAGAGATGAGATTCATTAATAAGAATATTAATTTATAAGATATTCATTAATCATCTTTTAAGCATTCCAATTATTTTTTAATAATTATAATTATTCTTATGAGATTATGATTTATTTTTCTTATGTAATTTATGCATATTATTGAATTTATAATAAATTATTATTTTAATTAGTTCCTCTTTAGATTTTAGGTTTTATTATAAAGTCTGTTTTCTAAATCACAGGATCTGAGCCTTTACGTTTTCCTCTTTTTTCTGGTAATAATTATTCACTAACATCTGAAGTAGTTGATTAGTTTTCTTTTTTAGAATAATAAGTGGAAGAGGTCTCAGCAGTTGTTTACTTTCCTTTTGATAAAATCCATATTTCTTCACTCATAATTTCATCATTTTCATTAGAAATATCTTCACTATCATATTATTATTCTGATTTTGTAGCTTTAAATTCTTCTTCTTAAGATTAATATTTTTCTCTATGATATTAATTTTTAAAAACATAAACTTCAGCCTTTAGATTTAATTTATCACAAATTAAATAATGATTTCCAACTTTACAATCAAACTTACATTATTCTTCTACTTTTAATGGTTTACTCTTTTATTAAATGAATGTAAATGTCAATCCCTCTTCTTGTTTATTTTTAATAATCAATTTATCCGTTTTTAAGAGATATAATCTACACGGAATCAACTATTGATTGGAAATGGTAATCATTTATTAAATAATTATAAAATATAAAAAATGTTTTCAATACTTTAAGGAAATATATTTCATTATAAAGCACAAGCAATTGCCATACCCTCAGATAGAGACTTATAACGTAGCCCTGGTTTAAGATAACTAGCATATGATTACTTTGGTTTCTAAAATATCTAATAACCATGCGATGCATATTTATAAAAATAAAAATCAGGCTTTATTTATTATTCATAAGCGATTACAATACCTATAAATCACAAAGACTTCAAATAAATTATCCATTGTATTCTTCCAAAATATGATCAAAAATCACCGAATTAATCAATTTCATTATTAAGCAAATAATTCGAAAATATGTATTAAATCTATTAGAAATTAGTTTTAAAGAAATTTATGAGAATAAAATAAAATCTATATTAATACCAGTGCTTGGATGTGGTAGTGCAGAATATAGTATAGATGAATCATTAATGAATTTTGGAGATGCTTTTCAAATGTACAGAGATAAGATAATTGATGTACAAATTAAATTGATTGTATTTGATAAAGAAGAATATCTATTTGCAAAAGATTTTTTATAACATTTGTTATAACCTGATATTCTTAAATAAGAAACATAATAATTAAACTAAATCTAATAAAAAGGTGATATTTCTCATCCATAAAAGAAATAATAAAAAATGATATTTGAAGAATTTAATGATGATAATGAGCCTGATTATAAAAATCCTATAATGAATTAAAATTATCAAAAATTCAATTAGAAATCTAATAATATAAATGATAAAGTTAAAATGGAATTAGAAGAAATTAATTAAAATGATTAATTCTAATAATTTTAAGTAGCCAATTAATTACCTTTAAAAGATTATCATAAAAGAAAATAGTTAAATTAATAAGAATCCTAAAATAATATGTCTCCTTTAATATAATAAACAATCTCTACCAATAATTAATCAAATACAATTGTTTCGAATTAACCTATATAATTAAATTAAATAAATCAAATCTAAAATCAATAACCTATTTTATAAGCTTTTCCTCCAAAATAGGAGAATAAGATTCTTATTACTTTATATGTGGAAATACCTGATAGTACCTTAGAAATAATATAGAATCAAATGGATCTAATAAAATTCATGCTAGAGATTTGTTAAGATCTAAATAAACTTCATGAAAAATTATTGCAAAATGATAAAAATTTAGAATGCACTAATAAATCATTTTAATATAAACTGTATTATAAATTATCTAAGAACCTAAAAGAACTTCTACCTTTTTGTCCAATTGAAATGTAAGATAGTTATTATGTATCTGAGACACATGATTCATATGCAATTGGTATGCTTTTCAAAAGCATTATAGATACAAAATTAAAAAATGTAAAAGGTATATAATAAATTAAAATAATAGATTAATAAATGATTGAAATTCAATAATTATTGGAAAAACAAATTTCTGATACAACTTCTGAAAGATAATAAATTAACTAAATATTTGATTAATTATTATCAATTTCATAAAATGAATAGTTAAATAAAGATTATTATTAAACTCAAATAAAAATGAAATAATTTTATTAAAATCATGTTACATTGTTAAAGATTTAGGATCTAAAAAAATAAATGATGGAAATAACTACAAAAAATATAATAGATTAAAAATTTAAGTAGAATTCATTTCAAGAAACTTATGTTAAAAAAGGAGAAGAATTATTTTAAGAATTAAATATTAATAAAAAAGATTCCTTTTAACATATAAGTGAAAAGATGGATAATTAATATCAATAAATATATGAAAAGACAGAGAATTTATCTTAAAATATAAATTAATAGTAAGATGATTAATTTTAAGAACTAAATCTAAAATCAAATTTTAAGAATTAAAATTAATTTTAATAAACTTAATTTTAATAAAATAGATCATTAAACAACAGTGAAATTACATTAAAAGAATCAAAATTTATTAAAATTGATTGTGTTGCAATTCCTGTTGATAAATACAAATTTAAATAAAGCTTACCTTTTTTTATTAAATTAGAATCTTTGGATAATGTATTAGAAGACATTGTAAATTTAGCTTAAAATGATAAAGAACATTTCTTATAATCAGTAAAAACAAATGTACCAACTTTTGGTTGTAATTATGTCTTATTAGTATTTGGTCCAACTAAAAATACTACAATTGGAAGGTAGATCTAATTAGCAAATTGTTTCAGAGATATGTAATTATTTTTATAAACTCAGATTTTTGTATACTTTAAAGTGTTTAAAGCTATCTACTTGTTGCCTTTGCTTAGATGATATATATAATAATTTAATAGGAGATCAAACTGATTTACCAACTGATACATTAAACGTTGCTTTTCGTGAAGCAATTAACAAATATCCTGAATAATTAAGTTATAATTAAATAAAATTTAATAATAAAATATGGATTGTTATTAAAAAAGGTATATTAATGATTTATAATTTAGATCCTATGAAATTTAAATTGTTTAATACATCAGTTTCTATTTATAAATAAGATATTACAGAAATAAAATGTGTTGATGCTATTGTAAATGCAGCTAACAATTAACTAATTAAAGGAGGAGGAGTTTGTGGATCTATTTTTCGTGCTGCAGGTGAAATATATTTAGAAAATGAAATCAAATAGAAGTTTTTTGAACTTAGGAGAAATTCAATAGATACTTCTGAAGTTTTAGTTACTAAAAGTTACGATTTAGAATAAGAATAAGGACCAAAATATATATTTCATGCTGTTGGTCCTGTGTATAATCTTTAAGAACCTTAGAAATCAGCTGAATAGTTAAGTAAATGCCTTTTTAATATGTATATTTATATATATATAATTAAATCATTAGATTACAAAAATGTTAAGAATGTGGAATATCATCAATTGCAATTCCAATTATGTCTGCAGGAATTTATGGGTTTCCAATATTTTAATGTGCTGAAGTTTTTCATTAAACACTTCTAAATTTTAACTTTTAAAAACCGCTTTCAATACATATAGTTGATGTACTTGATGAAAAAATTGAAATATTTAAGATTATTTTTAAAGGTGAAAAATTAAGGGAAATTATTCATTCTAAATTAGAATGTGCTCCTCCAACTGATTGTTTAGTAGGTCCAATTGATCTTAAAGTTCATAACTCTGGGGTTGTTAAAAAGATTATTGAATTAGCAGGACCTTCTTTTAAAAATGACTTAGAGTTAAAAATTAAAAAATACTAAATGAAAGATGATATCCAATTTGGTTAAAGCTTTTTAATTCAAGGCTATAAATTAAAATTTAATAATATCTATTAAGTATTATTGATATCTCCACCTTAAAATTTGACTTTAAATAAATCTTGTCTATTATACTAAGTTTTTTAAAAAATGTAAATAATTTCATCTATTTTAGTTTGGTTGAGACATTTCAAAATAAGAAGTTCTCTTCCATTACAATATTGATTTATGGTATACTTCAATAATGTTTAACAAATGAAGAAGATTTAAAAACATATGATGGAACTAAAGCTATTAATATATTTTTATAAGTCATACAAGATTACTAATAAAAATTTAATCAAAGATGTGGGAAAATCACAATATTATCAAATGTAGCTTAATTTTGCAGTGAATGTGAATTAATTTTTAAATGAATTAAATATATATTTTGATTTCTTTAATTTTAATATTCAATAACTTTGATATAAATAATAAAATTTAATTTATGGGATTCATATAAATATAATTAATATGCCATTTACTATTTGAAAGAATACTATTATCTATAATCCTTAGATTAATTATTGATTTATTCCCTTAATATATTCTGGTATTTTATAAGATATTCAAAATTTCATTTTTTAATTGAATTTATAAAACACTTACTTCATTTAAGTTTTTTTTATGAGACTTTATAAATATGCTGTATAATTAGATTAAATTTGCTTTAATATTTTATGATCTTTAAGATTTGGCCTTTATAAATCTTGGAAAGATATTTTTGGATTAAATTAAAGATTGATTCCTGGGTATATATATGTGTAGATATGTAGAGAGAGATATGTAGAAATATTATAAATATAGTGAATGTTTATAATTAAGTTTCTTAAAATAAAAAATAGAATTATCAATATTTAATAAAAAACTGAACTTAGATAAGCTCATAGTATTAAATGATAATAAATACTTATTAAACCTATTTAGATATAGATAGTAATAAATTATGGATTGTAAGATGAGATAATTATCAATTGTGACCTTTTTAAAATATTGGTAGGAACACATAATCTTTTTGTTAGGGATATGTTATATGTAATTTATTAATCGAGTATGTAAATATTAAAGGAAAGGCTTTGAATTTTTAACGTCGAATAATCAAAAATTTATATTGTGGGGATTTATTTTTACTACTTAATAATTAAATTTACAATTAAATTTAATGAAAATCACAGAATTTAGTAATTTAGAGTAATCTTAAACTGATTCTAGACCATCAACTCGTCCTATCTCGGCCTCAGATATTTCATGCTTGAAAATTGGAAAAAACAAAATTGAAATCTTAGAAGTATATTAAATCCTTAATTTATTAGAAAAAATATAATAAAATGCTGACAATTAACATTGATGATATAAAATTAATGACATGGATTAAACAGTAAATTACAATTTCATTATTATAGTGAGGATACCTATGAAGTAACCTTTGAATATAAACAGAAATTTCAGGATAAATTTTTTTTTGACTTATTAAGTGGGAGATTAGGGCACAGAGCCCTTATTACTTAAATTGCATAAGATAATTTTAATTATAACTACTAAAGACTTGAAACTATTAAAAAAATACAAAATGGGGAAGTACGTAAATTCTAAATATTATAAAAGATTATCAAATGTCGTAAAAGAGAAAATAATGAGATATTTGTTGCAAAAATACAAAGAATTAATCATTTTTTGATAGAGAGAGAACTACAAATTAATTTACACATTGCTTAAAATCCTCATGAAAATGTAGCGAGTATTGTTGAATACTATTTTGAAAATGATCAAATAATATTCATTTATCCTTATTTTTCAGGAGGTACCTTAAATTAACTTGTAAATTCTAATTATAAAGACTTAAGTAAGATTAAGGTGAAAACAATAATGAAAAAAATTTTTTCAGGATTGAATCATATACATAGTCTTGGAATTATACACAGAGATATAAAAATGGATAATATTATGTTAGAAGATATTAATGATCATAAAAGTATTAGAATTATTGATTTTGGATTTTCAGCATTCAAAGATAATTTAAATTATTTATGTGAAAAATGTGGAACTATTGGATACTTTGCTCCTGAAATAATCAATGGATAGTTTTACAATCAAAAATGTGATATATATAGTTTAGCTTAAGTCTTTCATATGCTATTAACAGGAAATCCTATGTTCGATAGAAATTTAAACAGATAATAAATTATTAGGTTATCTAAAAATAATTTATTTGCTATTGATTATAAAAATGTCAAAGAAAGCAAGGCATAATAACTATTATTCAAAATGTTAGACTTTTAAGATAAAAGATATGATGTTTTACAATGTTTAGAACATCCCTTTTTCTTTAAAACTGAAAATTTAGAATCTAAGTAATTTTTTTATAGAATTTTAGAATTAAAAGTGTAGAAACATTAAAGTTCAAGTCTCCCTTCTGAAGATTTGCTTTTTATGAACATACATGTTTAATTGCTATTTTTATTTTTATATAATAAACTTTTATACATAAATTTTATATTGAAATTGCTTATGACACTATTCTCAATTTAATATTAATCAGTTAATAAAATTATTATTAATTTTCGAAATAAGGAATTTAGAATATTCTCAATAATACTATCATAGTCATGGTGTTATTATTAAACTAAGGAACTCTATATTGATTAATATACTCTAGTCTTTATATGACATAATGATATTTTTATATATGTAGGGAAGATTTTAATTTTGTTATTGGGTTAATTCTTGAAAATTAGAATTTAGAATTAATATTCTATAAAAGACAAATAGTAATTATTAACACCAACCAGATTTTTAATAATAACTTCAAAAAAATATAAATAAAAGTTTTACTTTATTACAATAGCATTCTTGATTCTTTACTAAGGAATTACTCTAACTTAAAAAAAAACAATCATAGGACTTTTTTTTTTATTGATAAAAACTCGTAGTATTTGCTATATCCAATTACTCTGTCATTTTTATTATTAAAGAAGGAAGAAAAAAATAAATTTTATTCAAATCAAAATTTCGAACGTTTTTAATATTCAAAATAAATACTTAGTATTAAAATTGCTTTTTTAATGATTATTTAAAAAATATTTATCATATAGCTAAAGGATCACTCTTTGTTTTATAGCTTTTTTTTAATGTTTTCTGAAATAATCATAATATATATAATGTTAATTAGAAATTATTCATAATAATGTATGTTTAATTACAAAAAGTAAAGCTATAAAAATATTTAATCCTACTAAAACACAAATACATTTTTATGCTCTGTCACTAGTTTCTTATTTTGTATTTGCTTAAACTAATTATTCTTTTCCTTTTTTAATTCTTGTGAAAGTTTGATCTATATTGATATCAATTCTATCCAATAATGTACCTTATTCTATAACTAGTCTATTCATTTCTTTAAATAATTCATTCATTTTTTTCAATTTTTCTCCTAATTATTTAATTCTATCATTTCTATCCAAAATTAAAGTTTCAAAATATTCCTATTCAAAATCAACTTTTAAGTTTTGTGATGGTCTTTCTAATTGAACTTACATCATCATTTAATTTTAATAATTTCTTAATTATGGAGTGACTTCTTTTAACGATATGCCCAAACACATTTTTGCATTTTATTTAATTTTATATTCAAGATCATTTTCACAATCATCTGTTTCCATAATTTATAAATTCTCTTCAATATCTCTAATCATCTACTATACTCAGATTTTAACCTATAATGCTTAATCAAGTTTCCCTTATATTACTTATTCATTAAATTGTGCTTTAGGTCCAACATCCTTTGATTTTTTTAACTTCTCAATTTCTTAATTAAGAATTCCAACTTTTTATATAGTATCTCTTGTTTCTTCCATTTTGTCTACCCATTATGGAGGTAGTTTATATATCCTTCTACTACTATTTATATCTGGTGATTTGTATTTCTATTTCTTCAATTATAATTCCTTAGTTCTATTTTTTATATAACCAATTGATCTTTGCATAATTTCAAATTACTAATATAATAATAATAATAATCATTTATTATGAAAAATAAAGCAAACTCTTAAATCCCATTTCCAATAGCGTATAATAAAATGAACCATTTCCAATTGCCATTACTTGGAAAGAAGAAAAGAAAGGCTCATACTAAAAATCCTTTTAAAACAAAAATATACTATATACCTGATGACACTGTTATGAGAGTAAAATGTTTAGACGGTTTCTTAATGATAAATGTAACTAATAATGACAATCCACATGAAATTATTAGAGCTAATTTATCAAGTTTAGTATTTGTATAACATATTTAGGACTACGTATATAAAGTAGTAAACCTGAAGATTTTTAATATTTTCTAAATTTGTAAGATTTAGATGTTTCTGAGAATTAATTACAATTAGAAGATTTAACATCATTTCCAGCTTTGAAAATTTTAAAGATTTGTGCAAATAACATTAAAAATATTGAAATTACTCATAAGAATACATTTGAATAATTATAACATCTTGATTTATCATTTAATTATTTAACAAAAGAAGCTATAAGTTCATTAAAACATATTACAGAATTAAAGGAATTATATTTAGTTAGAAATGAATTACTTGAATTGCCAACAGATATGGCAGAATTTACAAAATTAGAATTATTAGATATAAGTGATAATGCATTTTAATCTAATTAAACAGCATCAGTTTTATGGGAAGTGTTAGGATAGATACCTGAACTTAAAACATTAAATATAAGTAAAAATTTTTTAAGAGGTATTCATACTGAAAGATTGGTTGTTGGATATTTTAATAAATTAGAAACTTTAGATTTTTCTTATAATATTGCTGAAAATTAACATAATCTAATATGTGCCCGTAATTTTACTAATCTTAAAAAAATTATTATTACAGGAAATCCATTTGGAATTACAAGAGATCATTAAGGTTTGGAAATGGAAATCCATGCTAGAACTGGTGGTATTTTAATTAATGAAGAAATTGAAAAGTCTTATCTTAAAAAACCTAAGGTTAAGAAACCTCCTTGTAAATTTGAATAATTAAAAAGAGTTGAAAATGATATTCTTAAATTACCAGCTATTGAATAATCTAAAGATGGATTCTTATTATAAAATGAAGAAGATTAATCATAAATTGATGAGAATTAAGAAGACAATATGTTTGTAACTGAAAATTAATAAATTAAATAATAATAATAAAAAATATAGTAATAATATTAATTATTAAATAATAATTAAAAACCATAATCATATGAAGAATTTAAAAAATTAGCTTAAGAAATATTAGGTGATAGTAAAGAATATGATTAAAATTAAAATACTTCTGGAAGACCAGTATTAGATTTAACTAAAGCATATCAATAATTAAAAAGTGTTATTAATAAACCAGAAGTTGTAGATTATGAAGATTATAAAGAACCTAATTATATGAAACCAACAGCAAGTATTCCAAGATATAAATATTAATGTAAATATATATATATATTATATTTATAATAGAAGTTGATGATCCAGAAGATGAAAGCATATAAAAAAGAACTGACAATAATATTAATTCTGAAGAAAATGAAGACTTTAATCTTGAATTATTATAGTAAGGGTAAAACTAACCAAATATTTAATAATGATCTAATGCGTCATTGTTTGACATTTTTTACAATTCAAATAATTTAATTTTTTAATAATATTTAATATTAAACAAGTAAAGATGGGAAATGCTAACTCTGATCAATTCCATTAAAATAAAAATTAGTAACCTAAAATCACTACAAATTCAGTCTAGTGTGATACAACTAATTCAGATGACTTCAAAGATTTAAAATCTATAGAAAGACAAATGTATTCCATCACTAAAAATCCAATAGTGTAAAGACGAAAATTGAAATAAAACAAACTCAAATCAAATAAACTCTCTTTACTCACTTATGAAGCTTTCGGAGCCTATTATTGACTTAAACTGTATGAAATCATATAATCTAAAAATGATTTATTGCTTTTAAATCTTTATACAAAATTTAATAATATAATTAATTAGCATGTTAGAAAATATATTATATCTTATATAATTATCAAACATACAATTACAAAAATTGAGTGATCTTGATAATATGTCTTAATTCAATTAGTATTTAATTGAGTTTGATTTGCAGAGTAATACAAAAAAATGCTGGAACACAAAATTAATATTAAAATTTTATATTATGGAATTGTACCAATATTTATAGATACTACAATAAAGGAATTCTAGATATGTATTTATGTTTTTATAATCTATTTTTATAATTATGAACCAATCCTTTGAGATTTAAAAACAATTTTAAAGTTGAATTTAAGAATTTTTAAAGGATAGTTTTCAAAATATTATAATTAATTATTGATATAGTTAAGAAAGAATTATCAAATACAAAAGGGAATTGTTTATTGAGTTAAGGAATTAAAAGTTATTAGAATTCATTGATTACTTTTATTTGATTTTATATTATTTATTCTTAATTAACGATCTTAGAAAAATCATAGAAATCAAAAAGTAAATGTTATACAAATATTTTTCTATCATTTCTTTATTATCTAACCTGATGGATTAATAATATAAATTTAAATAAAGATATTATGGAATAAAATTTATGAAAAAAAGAATAGTTTAATACTCTCAAAATGGGTTGATTAACAAAAAGAATAGTTAATAGTATAAAGATTTCTAATTAAAAGAGTTAATTTATATAAAGATATTAAGCAAGACAAAATTTCGAATATGTTTATTTCTTTAATGATAAATTAATAACAAATATATGATTTAAAGTCTATATTTAAGTTTCCTTTCAGTCCTTAAAGATCAATTTCTATAACTAATATAATATAGCATAATTCTCTGAACTGAGATTAAGATCTATATTCTAATGAAAAATAAGAATTTCTTCTAACATTCCCAATTATTTTTAATACAAGTATCAGGACTTAGGACCTCCATTTTTGCTAACTTTGAAAAAAATGACCCAGCTACCAAAAATATAGAGAGCCATTCAAAGTGGTAAGTTAATAACTATAGTACTTATGAAAATAATCTTATATTAACCATACAAATATAATATCTTATGTTGATATCAAAGAATAGTTTTATAAATATTTTCATTAATTGCTATTCTCATAAAAATACACAAGAATTTTTCTCTAAATTGATTTTTAATTATTAGATGTTATATATATATAATTCATTTATTTAATTACAATAGCATGACATTTTTTCCTTTATATATAATATAGATAAATTAATATGAAAAACATATAAATTATTCTAAAATATCATTTATCAGATTGTCTAGAAATTATAAATTGTAAAATTTGAAATATCAAATTAATTTGAAAAATAATGGATGCAAATTAAATTCAATAATTAAAAAATAATTATAATTCCAAATGGGAAATAACTAATCTTAAAATATCAAGTCAAAATTAAAAAAGAAAGATGATCTTATATTTTTGTTTAACAATAACAAAAAACAAAAGTATTTATTCAATCAAATGTTTTCTAGTGTTTTTTCTAAATTATCATTAAAAACATTGTCACTTCTAACTAGCTTTTTGAGTATTTAGGAATACTATAACATTTTATTAACTTCCAAGGAAACCTATTAATTGTTTATTTAAACATCAGGTTGTTTTCAAATTGAATGCCACAGACTTTTAAATATTAATGATAATTTGATGATATCATAAAATTGGAAAAAAATTATCTAAAGCCTTTTATTCATTCCAATTAAGGCATTACCTTTTAGAGAGTCAATAAAAAGTGTTAGGTAAGAGTTAAAACAAATTCCAATTTTATTAGAACATAAAGTTGCTTATAGTGGATTTTAGAAAGCCATTCTATATTTTTAAAATAATTCAACTTTTGATAATTAAGTTTTATAATATAAAGAATATTAAGAATCAAAATAATTTGCAATATAAAATCAGGATTTAGTTTTAAAAGTTAGACAAGGACTGGATGTATATATATAATTACCATCAATACTCATGTAAGTTTACAATTTGCATGATTATATAAAAATATATAGTCTCTATTTAGAAATCAAATTTTGTAAATGTAACTTATAATAGTTTATTTAACTTTGGAATCATTATAAGAGCTGGATAAGTGTATTAGAATAGGACACTAATAATATAATAGCCTAATTTAATTATATAATAAATGCTGCTTTTCCTCTATAAAGATTACCTATTTATACAGTTAGATAATTTATGGTAAGTTAATGGTTGAAAAAATCAGATCGAGGAGAAATTATTGTAATGTTAAGAGAAGAATTTAGATTAAAAATGATTGAAAGCAGAAATAAGAATATTAAATTTCAAGAATTGAGAGACTATGTCTAATATTTAATAGAAATTAGTACAAATTAAATCAATATTCATTAATATGGATACTATAATTTTGAATATTGTCAAGAAATAAATACATTAGTACATTTAGCAGTAGATTTAAGTCCACTATTAACAATTAATTATTAAAGTGATGAAAGTATGCTTATCTATATATTTGGTTAATACATTTATAATTATTAAATATTTGAATTGTTATTCAAATTTAGAATTGAATAATTCAAATAATAAATTAAGATTCATTAATAAGCAAGTCAAAAATTGAATTAAATTTTAGTTTAAAAAGTTGAGGATTAGTAATCTCTCCATAATAATAATCTTTTTGATAATTAAATATAAGAATTTAATTATCATTTATCTATGTAATATGATGTTGAACTAAAAATAAGATCTCTTTTCAAATAAATCTCTTATTCAAATGATGATATTTGTACTATTTCTGATAATAAATAAACTGAAAGTTTATAGGCATCGAAAATATCATTAGCATCTACTAATTGCAGCTCTTTTTTTTAAAGTTTTATAATTAATGATGAGTTATATCATTATATTAAATTTAATTAACAAGAACTTTTCAATTAGATTTAACTATTTTATCAAAGAGGAATTGCAATTAGTTATTACTAACAAGAAATTGAACCAGAAAATAACAATATTTATGATATCCCTGAATTGGGATATTATTATGAATTAACATTTACATAACTAATGCAATTATTTTCGAATAAAAATTAACGATCTAATTCTATATAATATTCTAAAAGACAAATATCAATATCTATTTTTGATCAATAATTAAATCAACATAAAATAAACACTAAACAACTCTCCTAAACTGAATAGCTGTTGATCAATATACTTAAATGAATCTTTATTTAAAAATAATTATATCCAATTAGAATATTTTTTGTTCTTATATTTATTTTGGTAATAGTAATTATAATTTATACAAAACCTTAAGTCAAAATAAATTAGTAATGGACTCATCTTTAGTTTGCCAAGCATTCAATTCATTCCATTATTCTGAATTTCTTACTCTTGGTTTTAGCAATGCTGTATACCGTCGTAGAAGTGGCTGAGGAGTGGCAGCAGTACTTCTATCTAATCTTTCGATAGCATCAGTAGGATATCGAAAATAACATTTTCTAATTACTTTAGGGTTCCGAGGGTAATTTAGGAAAAATGGATTATTCTCATGAGAATTAACCATACGTTATAATCCTTACATATTAAGAATATGAGATTCTTTTAATTCTTCTAAAATTTGTTTTCCTTTTTAATCTGTGAACATATCATGAGGTGATTATTATCTATTATCCTTAAATATTTTAATAAGTTTTGATTTAAGAGATTGGATTTTGCTATTAATTTAATGTGTTTCCTTGAGCTTAATCACTTTATTTTTTGTATATGCTTAAAATTAAGTTTCTAAAGGTTGATGATTGATTTATCGACTATGAATTTTAGTAGATTTAGGTTCTTCACTAAAATTTAGCTCGAAAATACTTTGCTTTTTAATTCTGAAAGCTTTATCTGGGGTTAGATTACGCATTGAATAATATTTAAATATAATAATAAATAACTCTTATCAACAGCTTTAAAGTGTTTTTAAATTTTTTATATTTCACTATTTATCATCTCACTTTTTAAATTCTGTTCTGATTGTTCTTGATTAATTATTATTCTTTAGATTGGAAAATTAATAAATTAACAATTTAGAATAAATGCTTAAGTCTGAAACCCGTTATTGATTGTAAATTAAATATATATATATATATATATTTAAATTTCAGATTATGTTTTTTAACATAAATAGTATACTCATTCATTATGAAATATATATAATTTTAATGAATAAAAATTTAAGATTTTCTTTATTCTTCCAAATTGAATTATATGCTGGAATTTTATTCAAAATATAAATTATTTTATAAAATTCAATACATGGCTCAACCCTATGTCCCTTAAGAAATCAATAAAGAAGAAGAAGAATTGAAATGTCATCCATCTTAAAGTGGCTCAACTGCAACTCCTACATTATATGAGAATTAAAATGCTACAAAAGCATTTAATGCAGCATTTTTTGAAGACCAACTACTAGATTAAGAAGGTTTTTATTATTTTAATATATTTTTATAGATGATCTATTTGATGAAATTAACTAATAATTAAACTAAGTATTGATTAATGACTCATACAGACCTTCTCTTATATCAGCATTTTAAGCTGACATGTAATATAGAATGGTTAATCTATTAGGTCATCATACTTAAGTCATGAGAAGTTGACAAAAAACTCTAGAAAAATGTAATTGGAATATTAAAATGCTAATTTAAAAGAAAAAGAATATGTCTTTAATACATTTGTAAAAGCTGAAATAGAGAATATAAGTTTGGATAAATATAAACATTTCCTTCTTGAAAAAATACTTGAAGTTGGTAAATTATTATCAAAATACTTTTAGGTCCTTCTTCACACAAAAATATTATACTTGATAGAATATTTTAATCAATTAATAAATTAATAAAAGACCTCTATGCTTGTAAAGTAATGCAGAAGGGATTAGAAGTGATGGTTTAAAATCCTTAAGATTCTCCTTAGTAATTTGAAAATTATCTTAATTTTATTCATTCTGATAATTCTTAGATGAGACGATTATATGTGGATAAGATTGCAAATCAAATTATCTAAAAAAGTCTAGAAGTATTAGAAGGGAATCATTTATTCAAACTACTTTAGGTCTTGTCAAAATATGTATAATATTAAATAAAATAATAGATTCTTAATAATAATAATGAAAAATTTGAATTATCAATTGATTAATATGGATGTTTAATTGTGAATAAAATTATTGATATCTATCCTAAATAATTTGATAATTAAACTAAGACTTTATGCAATGACATCATCATTAGAGCAATTAATAATAGTTCTGGATTAACTCGAAGACAATATGCTAATTATATCATTTAATCAATTTTAGAAAAGGGTTAAGAAATACATAAGAGATTATTGATGGATTAGTATTTAATTAAGGATTTTATACCAATGTCAATGGATAAATATGGAAGTAATGTAGCAGAGAAAGTCATAGTTTATGGAGGTTCATAGTGGAGAACAAGATTATGGGAAGAAGTAACAATTTCAGAAAGGTATCAGATATTAATTATGATTATAGTTCATTTAAGAAATTGGTTAATGATTAGTATGCTAACTATCCAATTTAAAGATTATTTGAATATTTAGAATTACCATTAAGACAGGAATATTTGGCACTTTTAAATAGATTAAGTGACAATAATTAATTGAATAATCATGGTTAGATTGTATTAAAGTTTGCTTTGGCTAATTAAAATGTTAAAAAGTATACTTAAAAGATAGTATTAAATGAAAAGAATTTAGAGAATAAAAATAAATAAAAAATATCAAATCAACAATCTTAGACTAAATCTAATAAAAATAACAGTAATAATTCTTAAAATTAATAATAATATGAGAATGGATTAAAATAAATATAATAATAATAAATTTAATAGTAATTCTAAGTAGCTATGATGTAATAGATGATGTATTATTAATAATAGCAATAGTTATTATTATAATAGATGCCATAATTATACTATTAAAATTAAAATTATCTAAATTATGGAACAATGACATAAGAATAATAAATGTAGATGTATTATTGGTAGTAATAATAATAATAATAATAATAATAATAATAATAATAATAATAAATTTATAATCCATATATAAATAATAAAAATGGACAATGAATTTACATCTATATTTAATATAATATATGTTAATTTTATTATCCTTGAAAACACAACTTTTATTAATCCATAAAATGATGTACAGAATATTTTAAGTGTCATTTTTCTTTATCCTTATTTTTTTATCTAATTTTTTCCCATAAAAAATTTAGTTGTTATTTTTTTGAATCAGATATTGTTTACAAATTCTATTGATCTGGAAGACTCTAAGTATGCTTAAGTTCTAATTGTTATTGAAATATTTCTAATGAACATATGATATTAATTGAATTGCATGATTTAATTGATTGAGTATTAGATTTAAATTTTTACTTCTAAAATGCTGTTTCTTAATGCTCTTTGATTCTATGACTAATATTTTATGAGAAATCAGGATCATAAATATCATGTTCATTAGTTTCAAAACTAATGTCACCATCTAGATGTCCCTTAATATCTTCTAAAAAGTTCATTATGATTGGTTGATTATCTCCATCACTTTGATAGCTATTATCACTTTAAAATGAATCAAAGTCATTTTGTACTTATTGCTTACTTTTAGTATTTACTTTGTTCATTAATAATATAGGTTAATTTTTGCGCTTGTTATTTTATTGTTTTAAATTTAAATGAATTAAGAGATATCAAAAGAAATATTAGCACTATCAATTCATGTTGCAGCAGCAGCATCTTCAATTACAATACAAACTCAATAGAGAATGACTTTAGTAACAAACAGTGTATTAGAGACTGTAAGTCAAACAATGAAGATATTAAATTGTTTAATGATGTGCTCTTAGAAATAATCACATCTAGAAGCAGTAACAGAGGAACAAGAAGATGAATGTTAGAAGGATTCAAAAACAAAAGAATGTTTGGTTGAATAATTCTAAAAGACTATTTAGACTGATTGTTGTAATGTTGAAGTGATCGAAAATTAAAAGTCAAAAGAAAATTCTAATAAGAATATGAACATGAAATCATCAAGTGAATTGAGAGAATAGAGCATATTGAAATCTCATAATATTTTATCTGAAGAATATCCAAAATGCTATGTAAATGCAATAGAAAATAGCACTCCAAAATAGATAAGAAAACCATCTTTATTGTAATAACAACTCTCTTAGATAAAAGTAGATAAATAGAAAGAAGCAGAGGAATAAAGAGAGTTATTGAAATTAATAGAATCAGTAGATCCTGAAGAATTAATTCCTAAATTGAAATCTATAGAGGTTTATGATGAATAAAAATAATCTTCAAGTCATAAAGATGTATTAGTATTTTCAGATAAACAACAGATAGTAATTAATGAATAAGATGAAGAATAATAACTTATGGATTCTCCAAATAAATCAGAATGGTATGAGAGTTCTTCAGTTGAATATAGAGCAACTTCTTATAATACAAATGAATCTTCAAATTTGGATCATCATTCTTATAAATGGAGAAGTAGTAGTTTTAGAGATGATAATATAATATAAGAGTGTGGATTTCAATTTTAATCTTCAGTATTTGATTTTCCATTTCCTGAAGATTTCTGTGCTAATAGTTAAAACATTCATACAAACATATAAAATATTGAAAATAAAAATTAGCATACGCCTAAAAAAAAGAGACTTTATTGTAATAATAAGAAGGTTCCTCATTGGGCAGAAAACTTAGAAGTAATGAAATAATTTAGTATATAATTAGAAAGTATCGCAGCATTAATTTTAGTAATAAAACTTATCATAGAATTAAATATTTGGAAGAATGAAATAAAGGGTTTTAGATATTGCAAAATAGTTTTCCTAGAATAGATTTAACAGAAGAGGTAGTTCTGCTCATTGGCATATATCTAATGAGAAATATGAATAAATGTAAAAGTAAATGATGAAATTGCAATAAATATAAGATGAAAATATTGTTAGGTTAAAATAGCATTAATAAGATGTAAGATATGTGATCTAATAATTTCTAGTCAGTGAAAAAGAATTAAGGGATATATGCTAAAACATAATACTTTTTAACTAGTATCAAAAAAAAGATTTTAAATTCTTTTGAAAAAGAATCTAAATACAAAAAAGTTTGATCATTCTTTATATATTATTATTATTATTATTATTATTAATGATCTATTCAATATATTATAGTTTATTTTTTTAGGAACTTGACATTTCATAAAAAACTAAATGAAAAGATAATTATTATAAATTTGGATCAATAATTTAGAATGAATGATTTCTTAGATAATTAATTTTTGATTATTTATCTTTTAAATGATAAATTTGAATCATCTTCTTATAGCCAATAGAGCTAATGACATTATTGATGATAATCCAAAAAATAATGAATATGCTTAATGAGTTTATGGAGTAGGTAGAGGTTTATCAAAGTTGTCTTTGGTAGCAGGAATAGGATATAAATTAGCAGATTCTTCATCGTATTCTTATACTAATCTTTCAATATATGCAGCAGAAGAATCAGTCTATTTTAATATATATCTTTACTAAATTGAATGATCTGTATAATCTAGACATAAACCATAAATCGATATAATTATATACTCCCTCTCTTGGCCAATTTCTTCTTCCTTTTATAATATCTTCCTCTTCTCCTCTTCTCACCATACCTACAAATTCAACAAATGGCATTTAATAATCTTCCTCCATATTGGCAATATTTCTATTAAAACCTGTCAATTAATCATCATCTTCATTATGAGGTACATTTTCATAAGTCTTATGGAATACTAAATCAATGTACTGTTGTTCCAATAGGTTCTTAACCCATTTATATATCACTAATATTATCCTTGGGTACCCATCCTAAATTTACCATCACTTATGATTTGGTTGTTTATTCTGGATCCTGTTCAGTATCATTAAATTGTAATGCTGTAACAAAAGGTGCAAATACAAGGAATCCATCTCTACCTTCTCTTTCTCTTCTAACAAAAAATCTTTCATCCTTTCATAACATATATTCCTTACTCTAAAATATCCATATAATTTGACTAATTTATATTCCCATTTTCTTATATTTTAAGCCCAAGGATATCTACTTGCATTCAGTCCATTTATAGTAATAGGTTTCCATTCTGTAATTTCATTTTCAACTTTCTCATATAATTACTTTTGTTATCCTCCTTTCCATTAATGCCAAACACAACCATAAGCACCTCCAAAGAACACACCATATGCCAATAGTTTAATGATTCCATTACTTTATCTTTAAGCAAAAGAATTAAATACTTATGTTGAAAGCATTAAAATAATTATAAACTCAAATTTCATTTTAACCAACCACATTTAACAGTTAATATTTATTATTAAACAAATTTAGCTTAATCGTTTAAGGAATGCTATAATTAACAATCTAATTTTTCATTTGTCTGATTTATATACATTATTGTTAATTATAAATAATAAGTATTATTCTTAAACACTCTAAATCATTTTCATTGATATTTTCTTATAAATAGATTAATTATAATAAAATAAAAAACTTAGAGGATTTTATTTCTCATCCTAATTCATTAAATGTGTTGATTGAAAATTTAGAATAGATTGGCTTTATTGTAGATGGAAAGTCCAATATCTAAAATTTTTATATCAGATGGAGGTTCATTAAAGAATTATGATTAAATTTAAAATTATGGGGAAATAATCAGAATTAATGAATTCGATGCTCTTAAATTTGGATTTAAATTGTTAGATGATATAAAATAAAAAACATACATTACTTTTAATAATGGTATTGAATATTTGTAATTGAGGGTATTTTTTTAATAAAAATATATTTTTGGGCTTCAATATATCCATTTATATTGTTTAATATAGGAAGTGGAGTTAGTATATTAAAATTTGACAATGAAGATTGATTTGCAAGAATCTCAGGCACATCTTTAGGTGGTGGAATGTTTTTAGGATTGAGTCATCTATTTATCGGGATTAATGATTTTGATGAATTATTAAAAATGAAAAAATAAGGTTCTAATGCAGCTACCGATTTATTAATGGATGAAGTTCATTTTGGATTTTAATCTCCAACAGGAAATAAAAATGAAAAGCATGTTGCTGTTAGTATGGGAAAATTAGATTAGAATACAAATATTAATAAATCAGATTTAGTTAAATCTTACTTTATATGACTACTTATAATATTAGTCAAATAGCATTCTTACATTCAAAATTACATACTATTAAAAGCGTAATTTTTTCTGGACATTTCATAAGAAATCATGAAGAAACATTATAATGTATTAATGAAGCATTCTCTTATTTCTCTAAATTAGATTAATAAAATAGACATTTAACTAAACCATTCTAATATAGCCTTATTTTATTACACATGATGGATTTATAGGAAGCTTAGGATCATTTTGGAATGGAATTCAATCATTTAAATAAAACAAAATTGATATATTAATAATTATCCATTCTATATTATTTATTCCTATATAACTTATAAGATTATAAAATTATTATTATTTAGAATAGATTAATATAATCTATATTAGTAAAAGCAAAATATTCATAATCTATCCATTTGAACTTTGAAAAATAAAAATATTATAAATTAAAATAATGAATAAATAATGAGATCTAGAAAAAAATAGAAAATTCAGTTTTGTAGATATTTAATAAAAATTATTTATTTCAATGTTTTTGTATTAAAATTAACTTCATCAATGTAAGTTTAATATAAATTATATTAATTATCTCTTATATACATACACTAATCTTTCAATTCCCTTTTTCTTTTTACTTAGGTTTTTCATATTTATTATTCAAGGTCTGTATGAAAACGAGTACGCCAATAAAAATAGCAGACATTATACCATAATAGATTATTGTCTCTTATTTATATTATGCAGTTTTTGTTATCTATTCTTCTGTTAATTTTACAGGTTCTTCATTAGAAACTTTCAGATTAGTATAATTTCTAAACATAGCTATTAAAAGTATTATGAAAATGAAAACATATTTAATCCACTATTCTTCAATTCTTTTTTTTACTCTCTTTAAATATTATTACATAATTAAATAAATAATTTATTGTAATTAACAGATTATTTAAATATAATTTTTCTTATATTCTTTATTAACTTTATTATATCTAAAATTATAAGAGTTAATCTTTAGTATATCTAATCTTAATAATTTAGTAATAAATTCTTAGCAATTATATATTAAATATTAATCTATTAAATTATTTTAATAAATTCTAAATATCAAAAGTTTTCAATAATCCTAATATATTTTATTCTATAATATAAAAGTGTATATAAGATATATAAAACTAAATTTTTTTGAATATAATATATAGGATATATTAAATGTAAACAATTTCATGATTTAATACTTGTTTTAGGTCTAATCAATTATTGGGGGAAATATTATTGATATTCTCTTTCTGTTAATTATTTGTTTTCATCAATCAAAGAAACTTACTCTTCTGGAAATTGATAGAAGTATGGATTTAATTATTATTTAATTTAGTTAGAATCTGAAAATAATATAGTTGTTTTATTAAATACATTCTTTTTAATATCTTAAAAAGTTTAATTTATGTTACCCTAATTGTATATTGAAATAAAATACTTAATAAATTAATCTATTATTAATATATATATGAACTTGTTTGACTCCTCTTTACCAATCTTTAGTATAATTATAAAAATCTATTCCACTGAAACATGTAAGTTTATCAAACATAATATAGATTTTATTGATATCTTATTTCTCCAAATCTCTTGCTTTTTAGATTATAATTGCATTCTTATTTTTTAATTTTTCCATTGGAGTATTAATAAATGGAGCTAAGAAGCTTCTCTAAGGTTAACAATTAATATCATAAGGAGGTATTACTAAATTTTAGACTACTCTTGGATCATCTTCTAACTAAACATATTATTAATTTAAATACTTATGGAACTGAATGAATAGTATAAGGAATTAATTTTCTTTATAATAAGGCTGAACCTTAATGATCATAAATTTCTAAACCATTTAACCCAATATAATTGTTATCCCCCCAAGTATTAATCAAATAAATTGTTATTATCATTCCACAAGGAGGATAAGCAATAACATAATTTTAATGAAATAATTCATGATTAGCCATAAGATTTCCAGAATAAGAATTATTATTTGGTTAAGTTAGAAAAATAGTTTAAACAAAATTAATTTCTTCACATGGTGCAGGTCTTAAATCTATTTTTATAGAGTAAAATAATTACTAAAAATTTTGAATCTCCCATTATAAGTAATTTTGACTATTTCTGGTCCAGTGAATGTAGATTCGCTAATAATTTGATTGCAATTATAAAATTTAATAATTGATAGTTTTGTTTGTTATTTAAATTTAATATAAATTTTCTTTTATTTTAACCAAACCATATTGGATGAATCAATTAAAGTATGATTATTAGAATAGAATAGACGTTATATGTCATATTCAGTTAAATTAGAATCTTAAATTTCCTCTTAATGAATTTATTTGTTATTGTAATCAATTAATATCAAGCCATTTAATCCTAGAAATCTTTTTGAACCATTATTGAATTCTAATAATATATCAAATACAGAAATATATTCAGGATATTACATTTATACTTTCTCTTATTTATTTGTAGGTTTATAAATTTCTTATTCTTATTATGAATAATTTTATTATTAAAGCTATTAATAATATGTTTATTATCTTTATTATAATGATGGTTATTCTTATTCTTTATTTTTTTATTAATAAATTCTTGATGAATGTAATTTTGAAGATGGTGATTAATCTGTTTATTATTATTAATATTATTATTATTATTAATATTATTATTATTATTATTATTATTATTATTATTATTATTATTATTATCTTATATTTTATGATTATAATTTAGTACCAGTATTTGGTCTAATTTATTTCATACTCATAGTTTATTATAGAATTTATATGGAATAATCTTCAGCTCTTTTGTTCAACCAATCTAATTCAGCTATTCTACTTATAATTTTAGTATCCTATGTAAATAAAATGTATTCACAATTATCTTAAAACTTTTTTAAATCTCCTGTTGCTTTCTAAATATCTCCATAAAATATCTAACTAAAATATTACATAAATAGTTTACTAATCTTTCATCTAAAGTTATCTTTAATAATCTAACACCTTTATAAGATCTAATTCTAGATTTATTGTAATTCCAAATTCTAATCAAAGAAATTTTAATATTTGCAGTTAAATCAATAATGATTTCTGGTTTCAAGTTCTTTGTTTTCCAAATATGTTTATCATCTTTAACTGCTTAATAACCGTCTATCAACTTTAATTTCTCTATATATTCATCTTACATAGGCATTTTAATATATCTAGTGATATTACCTCCTTATGAATCAAACACTTCAATTCCATTAAGTCCAACTTACTATTTGTCTCCCCAATTTGAAAGAACATTAAATTTCAAATATTTACCTGATGGTAAAATAGGAATTTCAAATCTATTTCCAATTATACTTTGTTCAATTTGATTTTAATTATTTCTGGTTTTCTTTTGATTATCAAATACATTATGAACTTTTGGATGTGATTTAATTTTCTAATCGTTGAAACTCATTCTTTCTGGTTATTAAATTACAGTAACATTTTCATTGAAACTCATATGTCCTTATTGTTAATACATTTAAAATCCTTATTGTAAAATTTATAAGGCATGTTCTTTAGATTATGGCTTTAATAATTATTGTTACATAATAAAATATTAATAAATAATAATGTTCATTGTTAATAAAACGACTAATACTAACCCATAATCATAACCAGATCTATAAGAATATTAGAATTCATTTAATAATGAGGATCCACGTAGGAATTAGAGTGTTACACTTTATGATAGAGTTAAAAAGGTTAATTCTAATCAAAATCCAAAACAATAATTATCATAATAATTATCAAATTTATCATTAACTAAAACTACTTATAATAGTTTTAAGACCCTTTATCAATTTACATAAAAGTATTTTAGTTTTTTTCTATTTTGAAGAACTATAACATAAATTAAATCAAAATAGGAAATAACTATAAGTTAAAATTTTGTCTCTTCAATGAAAGAATCAAATTAATTTATGTATAAAGTGGCCAAAAAAATGTCATCTTTTATTAAAACTAATAAATTAGTTGTTGTACCACCTCAAAAAATAATTGGTAATTGGGTTTATTAATTGAAATCTAAATGTTTGAAAAAGAAAACACCTTAAAATTCTCAGTATCCAAATCACAATACTGGATTTAGGGATGAAGATGATGATCTTATTATAATATGATTTTTATCACATAAATACTTATATTTAAATCATTGTGCTTATTATTATTATGATTATTATGAATAAAGCTAAAAATCTGAAGATAGAGAATTAAATGAATTATTTAGGATTGTCTACAACTATTCATAATTCCCTTTAAAATTATCAAAATCTGGTAAATATTTTAAAAATATATAACTATTTGTATACATCTTTTATATATTACTGTGTATATTGAAATGCTAAAATGTCTCTCTCTTCATTTTTAGATAAATTTGTTTCACCAAACATCTATATTAATGTAAATTTATTACTTTCTTTTGTTTTACATAAATTGTAAGTCTATTAGCAATATTTTCATAATTTTTTCTTAATGTAGATTTATCTGCTGATTATTTTAGACAATGTAGAGCATCTGAATAAGAGGATAAAAACACTCTTAGATCGAATTCACTTTGATTTGAAAACATTTAATAATAAAAAATAATAATAAACCATAATTATAAAATACTTCATTTTTTTCATATATTTAAATTATATCTATCAATAAGCTATCATGATGATTAATAGTTATCCCTGTCTGAAAAGATAGATGCTGAAATTTAGTGTATTTCTCTGATATATCTATTTTTTATTAACTTATTATTCATAGATTATTATTATATTATAATATTATTTTACTATACTCAATGTTACACTAAATCAATTCTTAACAAATATTCTTTGATTTTATATTTATGACTATTACTTTAGTTAATTATTTAATGTAAATAGGAGTTTGTATATATTCATACCATAACATTTAAACGATTATAGTAATTGTACATTAAATTTGATAAAGTTTTAAGTCAGGAGGATAAAATATTTTTCGAAGAATATTATTTTACTGACATGAAGAAATTGAATATAATTATTTATAATGAAATTTTGAAGGATTTAATTTTTCATAAAATAATAAAACCAATAATGGTTTAGAGATAATAGCTTCATCCCTTTTTATTGCATTAATATTTTGGCAAATTAGTTAAGCATAAAATATGTATAGGAATTCAAATAAAAATATAAATTGGATGAGAAAAATACATCTCCTTAAAAATATCAATTAATATATGAAAATCTTTGAGATTTATATTGGTTAATATGTTCCAATAAACTATTTAATAGAGGCTTAATTAATTTTATCATATAAATATTAAGAGGGTTACTTATTTTTTATATGTATGGAAATATAAAAGCGTAGATACTCATATTTAGACTGCTAAATTATAAAGAAAATTTGAGCATTATAAATAAGTCTTAAAATATTTAATTCAAAATTAATTGATTTGTAGACAAAAATATTTATTTACCTTTATTTCTTATAAGTGAAATAGTATGATTCAGAAATAGGAACTTTAGATTTATATTTTATTAGAGTAAAGAGTAGAGAAATTAGTATATAATTTAGGGGAAATACATGAATTACAGAAATCTAATTGGTATAAGTAGAAAAAGTGAATGGAATTATTTTAGTATATGATATTTTAGAGGTATAGGAGAATTATTTTATTTTAGAAGAATTAGAAGATAATTGAGTTATGATATTATACTATGGATTCAAAGTGATATTAAAACTTAAAAATAAAGATTATTAGAAATGATTATTTTATCAAATCATAATTATATATATAAATAATTAAGATGTCTAAACCAGATGCCAAAAATCTGAAAGAGGAAATTTAAAAGTTGTATGACCCATTGTTATTTTACTAACATGGAGATAATCCAGCTTATAAAAGATATATTGAAATAATGTAAGAAAATGCACAAGAGGGTAAACAAATAGATCCAAGAACATATTTTGTTAATAAATTATAGAGGTAATATATGCTATTTATTGTAATCAGAATTCATGTGGCAAGAAACATTCAAGATTTTGTTGAGAGAGATCTAAAATGCTTTAATTTTGTTCGAATCTTCCCAGTTTGGATATGTACTACTGGATTCTTTTTATAAGGTATATATTAAATGTGAGTATTAATCAGCTGCCTTAACTTAGAGATAAATGTTTTTGCCTATAGGATAAAGAGGTATAACTAGTATAAAATAGACTTCATTCTTTTATAAGTATGTGAATGTGATCATTAATATATTAGTTTTGGATATGTTGGTTTGGCAGGATATGGATTATATTTATTAGGAGCATCTTATCTTTGGTGGTAAGTTACAAAAATGACTGCAGTTAAATTTTATAGACATTGTTTACTTGGAGAAAGATAATGGTCATATGAAAGAGAAAGATAAAATAATACTTATGGTAATTACTATTTCAAAGATGTTCCATTGTCATGTGAGGAGAACTTCCCAGATTTGGCAAGAGGTGAAATAGCAAAGAAATAGAGACCTAAACCAGAATGGTGATAAAAAAATATATTCATAATTATACAAAAATATCAATTAAAATATTCATACATTTTTAATGACAAGAGAATATGTATTTCTAATTCATTTTCAATATTAATAATGATAATAATAATAATAATATAAGTATAAATTTATGAATTTATTTGAAATTTAACCAGAATCAGATTTATAGAAAACGTTTCATTAATAATTTAGAAAAAGGACTTCTATTTAAGATAATCAACACAATTATAAAATCTTTAAATTTGATAAATGCTAAACAAAAAGTAAACTATTAGAAACTATAAGGATGTAAAAGTCTTAATAATAATTTTGCAATTCCATTTCAATAAATAATAAATTAATTTGATAATAAAGAATTAATGTCTAGTTGTCAATGTTTAGATTGTGGTGGTAGAATTAACAAAAAAATATTAATTTCTAAAAAGGAATTAAATGACCCAATATAATCTAACTCTAAATTAAGATTTCCAATCTCACCTTAGTTGTCAATTTAGCCACAATATGTAAGACCATCTAATCGAGATCTAAGTTTAGTTGGATCACCTTCTCATTTTAGTATCATTTTATTTTTATTTTTATGTGAAAAACATTCCAAATAGATAATTTAAAAAAGTAATCGTGTGTCTGTAATGCCAGTAATCTAATTAATAAAAGCATAAAATTTAATGAAAAAAGTTAGTGAAACTCATAAAATAGAAAAGGAAATAAAAACAAAAATGAGCATATCTACTCATAATTTATTTAATAAGGTTTAATAAAAGATGATTATTAACAATAATCATAATACTGATAAATTAAAATATATTTAAGTAATAGAAAATAAGAATTCTAAAGAAATAACAAATAAATTACATAAATACACATCAAATTGTGGTTAATTTAGAATTAAAACAGAATCTTATAATTATAACTTTGCTTCAAATAATTAGAAGATTTCTGTTATTAATATACCAAATCTAACCCATTTAGAAAATCTAAACAAAAATAGTATAAGCATATATGAATCAAAGACACCCAGACTTTTTTTGGCCAGAAGTGAAACATATAATCTAAAACAACCTTTAACCTAAAGACTTATGTGTACATATCTTAAAAAATTAAATATTAATTCTAAATTAATAAAAAATAATAATAAAGTTTGAAAACATTTTGATTAATATCTATATAATTGAATAATTATCAGGTAATTAACATATATACTTTCTTTATAATTTCTATAGATTTTAACACTTGATAATATCTTATAACTATTTTAATGTTTATTTAGATTTTACAAATTTTATATCATAATTTTTTTTAAAAAGAAATCCATTTATTTGTTGGTTTAATCACTTGAATTTTTAATTCCAAATAAATTTTATTTTAATTTAATTCATTAAAAGTATTATTATTTAAGTCATATAATAATCTTATCTTTTTTATTAAATTTGATATATTTATAAAAGTAGTGCAAAATAATATTTTTAATTTAATATATCTTATACATTTTTATATTTAAGATTCAAATATTATAAATAATATTAGTAATTTGGATCTTAAAATGATATGAAAACATAGATTTTATAATATCATTAGACTTAACAAATTTATTGTAATTCACTTACAAGGAGATAAACTATTGATTTGAATCAGCTAATTGAATGTATTATTTTCTTAATAAAAATATAATATCTAACTTTAAATTTGATATATATTTATATCTTCTAGATTCCTTAGGACTATGCATTAGAATAGATAATTTGTATTGAAGATGACTAAAGATAAAAAGTGTTATTAATATCAATATTTAAAAAGGATCTCATATAGGTAGAGTTGAAAATAGATATAAAATACCCTTATATATAGTTATAAATATCATAATATAATATGGAAATTTAATTTGTGTATTTTGGATAAAAATAGTATAGGATATTGTAAATGTTTAATTATATAGAAAATAATAAGTCAAGGTAGATCATAAAAATATTGAATTAGAAATCAAAGTATTTGTTAATAAAATAAAGATGTTATTGTGTGATTATTATTTAAAAATAAAAATATCATTTTAAAAATAATGGGCAGAACCGGAATTGCAATAGGTTTAAATAGAGGATTCATTACATCATCATTAACAAAGAAATAATTAAGAAGAAGACCTTCTTAAAGAAAGGGAACTTTGGGTAAGAGAGTTTTACAAGTGAGAAAGATCATCTAAGAAGTAGCAGGTTTGAGCCCATATGAAAAGAGAATCATTGAATTGTTCAAAACAAATCAACCAAAAGATTTAAAGAAGGCAGGAAAATTAGCAGCTAAGAGATTGGGTACAAATAGAAGAGGAAAAAGAAAGATTGAACTTGTTTAAAATCTCTACAGAGCTATGAGAAAGTAACAATAAAAACATTGAAATATTACATACATTATTCCAAATATAGTTTATCTAATTTCTTTTACTTTCTTAAACATAATAGCCATCCATAATTTAATTAATTTATACATAATTATTTTTATATACTTTCTAATGAGAATATGTATAATTATAATATCAATTATTTGAATCATTGATGGTAATATTTTTTTAGATTGCATATTGTTTATAAATTTCTAATAAGTCTTCATAAGTAGGAACATTAAACATTTCTGGTTGCATCATATTTAAAGTGAAATCAAGTACTTTTTTCTTTTTGTTTTTTTCTTGAAGATAATTTTGAGCATATTATTAACATTTTTATTTCTTTTATTAAATGAAATCATCCATGATTTTCAATAATAGAATACTATTAAAAATAGATAATTATGTAATACTTATCAATATGATATTGTCTCTTTTTTATTTGACTATGTTTATTAATCAATTCAAGAATAATAGTTTAACCATTCTTGTTTAAAAGTCTCCATAATCTATCTCTATAAGCTTTATGTTTCTATTTTAAGTTCTTAAAAACACGTTTAACATAATTCACTTTTTCAACAAAATAATGATGTTTTTATAAACATTAAATATATAAATGTGTAGCATGTAAAAATGATAAGACAAGTTTAATAGCTCTTATTTTTGAGAACTATTTTAATTATTATGAAAAGATTCTTATTGATAAGCACATTTTGAATCTACTTCTATCTTCAACTGTTGCTCCCATACCTTTAATTTTTATCATTGTTATAGTTTTATATTACCAAACTATTAATCTTCCTTTTGCTAAATATTTATTATGTAATTTCATTTGCTTAAATTTATATATATACAATAATTACATCTAAAATTTCTTTCATTTTAGTTATATATTGTACTATTTAAATGAGTTCAATCCAAGTAATTTAATTACGAATTTTTAATTTTTATTAAATTTCTAATTATTTTTAAACATTTCTAATTTCTTTCAAAGATTCATTTGCTTTTAATTTACTAATTATATCCATTCTTTTATCTTCATAAATTACTTTTTTTCTTTCAATTGCTTATAATATTCTTTATTTTAATAATTTTTAGTTTATTCTAATCTTTTACTCAATCTCTTTAATTAAAATATAATGTTACAATTCTTTTAATATTATTTTGTATTTAAATTATTTGTTATCTTATCTATTTAAATTTAATCTAATCTAGGACTATTCAATGAATATAATTCTAATTAATATTATAAATACTTGATTTATATTTATCTTAATCGAATTCTTCTTTTATTATTTTAATTTTTTTCTTAAAATAATGACCAAAAATAAAGTTTATTGTTATAAGACAATCTTCTTCTGAATACATTGATATATATAAATTTTTCATATGAAAGGTATCCCTCTATTGTTAATCTGCAAATTTAAAATATTTAGATTATATTGCTTATTCACAATTAAAACTAGTTGGAAATTATGCTACTGTAGATATATACATCTTAAAGGTCTGTAATTTAGAATTTTCACTTCTTACATAAGCTTATAAAGGACTTTCTCTATCATATATTCTCACATAAAAATAATTAAACCTGAATCTTGTTATCTAAATTATGCTTGTTTAATTAGATTTTAACTCCTATAAAGTTAAAGAACCATCATGTTTTATATCAACCTATTTTTTTATTTCACCAACACTTCCTACTGGCGATAATTAAGGACTGAATTCTACAATATGTTCAAGAGGATCTGATAATTGTATTAAATCATAGTTTCGTGAGAAATTTTCCATCATCCTATGAATTTAACTTCTTGAACTTAATATTTTTTTCTCTAATCCATTACATTCTGATGTTTTTCTGTGTGTTGGAGATTGTAAACTAATAAATGAGTTAAAATTAGAAGTGTTTTAGTTAAAATCCACATTACTATGATGTCTATTATGGTTAATTGTAGAATCATAATATAATTATATTCCAGTTGATTCTTTAAAATTCATAATATCCAATTTTATATTTTAATTATAATTGAAACATATCAAGTATACACATTTATATTTAACTTTTTGTTCCTCATATGGTAAATTAAACCAATCTCTCTATTTTATTTATTTAATCATTGATGGATAGATTTTATTATCTTTTTTTTTAAATATCAAATTAACTAAAACTATTTGTTGAAATAAGTTATTAGATTGGACGATATTTAATTCAACCTTTATTGAATGGTGAATGTAGTTGATTATTAAACAAAGTATTTATTAATTCTTTGTTGTTTTTTTATTCTTATTTAAATTAAATTGTTGATATAGAATTAATTGATCTTAACTTAAATTTTTATAGATACAATGAATTAATAAAAAAAAAGTTATAGATTTCTGTCTCTATAGTTTGAACTCCTTAATTTCTCATATATTAAATTAAATCAATAAAATTTCATCAAATTAATTCTCAAAACTCTCATTTTTATTCGTAATAATCTTCATTTAAAATATTTTTACTTATTATAAAGACTATTATTATTACATATTAAATAAATTTATGATTCCTGAAGTTGTTGAAAATTACATGCTCATTGAAGTTATTGGTTCTATAAAAAATGGTAAAGTCTATAAGGCTTTAAATATAAAGAATAATAGTTGTGTGGCAATCAAAGTTTTCGAAATAGAATAATTTAGAGAAGTACCTGAACTGGAAGAATTAACTATGAATGAAATTCTAACTCTAACTATAATTAATAATCCTTGTGTTGTTAAATTTATTGAAATCTTAAAGAGTTTTCGCCATTATTATTTTGTCTATGAATATTGTAATGACTCCACTCTTGAAGCAATTATTTAAGAATAAGGGTAAGATTGAGTATTAAAACTTTAGAGTTTAAACAGAGAAAGTAGCCTTTTATTACTTTAGATAATTGGTCTAAGCCTTTTAATCATTAGTCTCTGAAAATATTATACATAGAAATTTGAAACCAAGCAATATTATGTTGCATAGTGGTTAAATTAAATTAGGGGGTTTTAGATTTTGCAAAGGTATGAATGCCCCTTAAGATTTATCATTAACAATGGTTGGTTCACTTAATTATATGGCACCAGAAATTTTGAAAGGACAAGAGCATAGTGTGAAAGCAGATATTTGGTCATTGGGTTGTGTGTTATATGAATTGCTATATGGAATCCCTCCATTCAAAGAAAAAACTATGGCTAAATTATTGTTAGAACTTGAGGAGAGAGAAATATAATTTTTGGATAATGTTAATGTTGTATCTCAAACAACTAAAAATTTATTATTAAGAATGTTAACAAAAGATTAAAATAAAAGAATTAATTGGAAAGTATTATTTGAAAGAGAACTTACTTAGACTGAAAGTAAATTTATATTCTATTATTTAGGAAAAAAAAATAATATAGAATAACAACCAAATTAAATTTAATAAGGGTTAACTTTTAATTCTTAGATATATTAAGCATCTAAAGTTTTAAAGTATTTATTGATGGAAAGAAACAAAATATTTTATCTATAAAAAGTTTTAGAAGAAGTCTTAGAATTCACTAAAAATGAAGTATTTTCTATATATAATTTTAGAGAGATGAATAAAGAGTATCTTAAAGTGTGTTTTGTGGATATTTAATTGCTAAATACATTTCTTATTTAAATGAAATGATTAGGATGAATTTAGTTGAAAAGTTCAATATTTCAGCTTTCCCATATTTAGCTAAGAAACTTGAATTATAAAATGATATAACTAAAACATTAGAATATAAAAGTTTTTGTACTTTAATTCAAAAAGAATGTAAAATAGCCAGAAAAATGTTTTAAGATTTTTAGGAAACAGCAGATATATTCTTTAAATCTTAAACAAATGGATAACATATATATTAAGGTACTAAATTTACTCATTTTGAAAATGAATTAGAAAGAGAGATAAGTTCTTTTGAAATTTCAATTACTTTTATGAAAAAATTTGTCTTAAAATATTGTGAAGATTTGAAAAGTCAATATTTACAATAATTTTTAGATAATAATCCATAAAGTGGAAATAAGTAAAATACTTATTTATATTTTAAGATAATTATTGCATATCGAAAAAACATTAGAATCATTAATTTTAGATGAATTTTTTGAAAATTGTATGGATTATCGATAAATTGATTTAGAATAATAAAATTATTTTGCAAATTTAAATAAGTATCCAAAAGCAGATTTATTGTAAATCATTACAAATAAGATGGATTATATTAGACATAAATTATATAAATAATGATAATTTTATAAAAATGTTTATTAATAATATATATATTTTTAATTGATAATATTTATTACAAGAATAATAAAGTTCTTTTTTATTTATTTCATTATTATCTCCTGATTTTTTAGAATTTCAAATTGCATAAACTTAAAATAGAACAAAATATAAAGGAATATTCAATAATAAAGAACTTTCAAGTTGTAATTTAAAAAATCATTAAAAGAAGTTGTTATTTGCTTGTTAAGATTTTAACAATTATATTCTTGATTTTAAGTATAATGAATATATAGTTTGAGATATATAAAATAGATAATCAAAATATGACTTTCAGAGAATGGGACAGTCAATTTTCTTATTTGTTTATTTTCTATTAAAAAATTTATTTCTTTGCAACCCAAAATCTTCTTTTGAAGTTGTAATATTTTAAAATATGTATTCTTCTTATTTTTTTCTAGGATCAGTGCAAAATTTTAATTCAATTTTTCTTAAGTAATTAATTATAGATTGAATCTTTGGATTAGGTCGATGATAAATTTCTAATTCCAAAGAGTCAAGACTTGAATTTAATTCTTCTGTCATTCTATTATTTAATAATTAAATAATCATTTTTACAATCGAAATCATTTCAATACAAATACTCATTTTAATTATAATGATATGAATTGTCTAATACTTTTTTTGAATTATAAAATATAGTTATTTCAGTTATTTAAATATAAGATATCAACAAAACAATATTAATAAATTATCATTTATTTCTTCTTCCTAAAGATTTTGCCATTCTTTTTAATTTTCTTAATTTTGAATTTACTTTACTAATTCTTTATTATCTTTGTTAAATTTTCTAAAATGAATTTTTTGTTGTTTATTTCATTTAATCATATTCTAAAAATTAGTCAATTAAATCACTCTAATTTTTCTTTTTCTTTTTTATATTATAATTATCTATAAAATTAAGATAATAAAATACCCATTCCATCAACATATGTTCCCACTTAAAAATACTTAGGCATTGTTTTAAAATCACTTGATTTAACAGGTTATTTTGGATCTAAGTATTTTTTTAATTTCATAATCATAAATTCTTATTTCATGGTTTCATCTTAGTCTTAAGATTTCATTCCAAACCATCCTTCAGTTAATTATGACATTTTAGCCATTTTTCTTAATCTTTTTTCTTCTCTATTTTTTTTTAGACTTGGAATATCAACATCTAATGAATCTGCAAACAGAGATTATTATTCTAATTTTTGAACTTCTTTATCAATTTCCTATTTATATGTTGGTTATATAGGTAATAATTCAAAGTTTGGATCATTATTTTAATTGATCTAATACTATTTCAGATTTAATAGCTATTCCAATTATTCTTATCTCATATTAAACACTTTTAAAAATTAATAATAAATATTAGAATGCTTATTAAAGTAATTCTTTTAACATACTATTTATTTAATCTAAAGTCATTTAATAATTATATTCAATCAAATTATAAGTAATCTTTATTATCCTAAACACAAAATCTAATAAATAATACTTCTAACAGTTTAAATAATTTATTTTATATATATATTTTATGATATCAAAAGTTTATCATAAAGAAGAACATCAACATAACAATGAAGAAGAAATTATAATTAACAATATGGTTCATACTTCCTTTTCATATTTCAATCCTGTTACGTAAAAATAGAAACAATATTAGATTTCTATTTCCAGAATTATTATCTAATGGTAAAATTGATTTAACTAAAACAGTAGATTATGTTGCAATTGTATGTCACATAGTTTTAAAAATAATTATAGTTGCTTTATTAATTTTAGAATTGAAAAATATCCATTTTGAATAATTAATGCTAATAATAATTATGTTAACATCATTTAATTTTTGGATTGTAAAAAATTATACAGGAAAGAAATTAATTGGTATAACATGGTGGAACTTTAGAGAAGAATAAGATATATGGTATTTTGAAAAAGTGAATAAACTTTACCCCTTAAATAAATATTGTAAATATTACTTTTGGTATTGTCTATATATATATGAGATATTTCTATTTCTCATTCTAATATTAATAGTAATTCAATAAAAATGGAAGTCATTTTTAATAATACTCATTCCTATTTTTGAAAATTTTATTTAGACATTAATATATAGTCATGCAAACAAAGATAACGAAACATTTAAATATTTATAAGATTTAACAGAATATAGATTAAGAAGAAGCATTAAATGTTAATTTACTTTATGTTTAAAACAGTTTCCTTTTAGATTATAATTTTGAGTTTATTTTCAATTTATTAATATTTTCTACTCTATAGAACTCATTTTTAAAGTCAATCCTTTATCTTTGTCTTCTGATTGATATAAATTATCTAATTAAATTTATTATTATGAGAAGTACAATTAAGCCTTTACCATCAATTAACAATAGACCATCTATTGATGATGAGGATTCTTATCCTGGAAGATTGCATACTGTTTAAAGAAAGTTGAAGTTTGGAAGCAATACTTACATAATTAGTAGTAATACTACTGTTTCAGAATCTTTAAATAAAAAGTAGAAATAAATTCCTGTGACTGAGTCATAGTTGTTAAGACAAATAGATACAAAACTAGAAATACATAAGAAAGACATTGAATAGAGAAATGATATGATTATTTCTATTGAGAAAGGGTTTGAATCTATGAAATAAGAATTAGTTAAAGAAAAAATATAAAATGAAGAGAAATCTAAATAACTACAAGAATTATAAGCTAGTTATTAAGCAGTTTAATTAAGATTAAAGTAAGCAGGGGATTCATCAAAATAAAATTTATAAGGTGAAAAAGATCGAGAGAAAATTAATTCGTTAGAAATTAGTATTAAACAGTCATAAGCAAAAGAATAAGAGTTATTATAATAAATAGAATCATTAAACTAATAAATATCTCAATATTAAGAAAAATTAAAGAGTAAAGAAGAAAGTAACGAAGAATTTAAGAGATTAAAGGATTAGCTGCATAAAGCTGAAGTATTAAATTGTTGTTAATAAATAAGGATTAACTTAATAAAATGGAACATTAAATTAATGATATTTAAAAAAGTATTGAAAAAGAAGTTAATGAAAAAAACAATATAAAGAAATAATATGATTAATATAGGAATGATAGTTAATTGAAAGAGTAGAATTTGAATAAAGAGATCTCAGCTTCATTGATATTGATAAAACAATTAGAATAAGAAAAGATTACAATAATGGAAAATTTGAAGAAATCAAAAGATTAAAATGATTAAAATAGTAAATTAAATGAATAAATGTTAAGTTTGAAATTATAACTTTCAGAATTATAAAAAACAAAAGATGTATGATTATTAAATTATGTAGAAAGAAATTAGTTAATTGAAATAAAAAATTGAAGATTAATCGAAAAATTCTATTGAATTAAATAATTAATTGGAAAAATTAAAACAAAAATAAGAAGAATAATAGTAATTATTACAAGAAAAGTTATCATAATTGGAATCATTAAGAAATTAAAAATAATTATTAGACTAAGAAAATTAAAAAAATTAATCTGAAATTAATAATTTGAATACATAATTAGAATCTTTGAAGGAATAATTATCTAAACCAAAAAATACAAAATAAATTACAGATACAATTTTACAATTAGAAAAAACTGATGTATTGATATTCTATTTAACATTATTAGAAAGATATATAGAAGAATTTATCATGTACATTTTGTAACAAATTCATAAAATAACCTGTTACAATTATACCTTGTGGACATTCTTATTGTTTTGAATGCAAGAAAGGATATAATAAAGAATGTTTTAAATGTGGACCTAAATTAAAAATTGAAGCTATGTATAGAAATGAATTACTTGATGATATTATAGCTATGGTTAAATTAATTGAATAAAGTATTAATAGCATGAAATAAGTTACTAAATAATGATAGTAGATATATAGTTAGTTAAAGATGATATATTAAATTTAACAATTATTTATTTAAAAATATTGTAAAATTGAGATATATACAGATGTTTATCATCTTTAATATCAAAATTAAGGTCAAACAATTCTATGTATTAGATATATAACTAGCTATATCATAATACAATCAAATAAGCAGTTCTAGCAAAAGTTTTTTGTTATTTACTGTAATAATTATTCTAATGTTATTCAGTTTTTGATCTTTTTTTTGTTTTTTTTTATGTGATTTGTGGAAATTAACAAAAAAATTCTTATTCTAATTATTTTTATGCAATTTTATTTAACAATTAAGCAGTGAGTACCTTTTAATTATCTGTTATCATTCTAGCTTTTATCATTTCTGGTTTAACTAAATAATCTAATTCTTTAATTGATATATTTCTTTGTTTAGGTTTCTAATAAGTTAATTTAATAGTGATACTTATTTTGGTATTTATTCTTTATGATTTGTAAATAAACCTAATTTAATTCTATATTTATTTAAATAAAGCTCTTTTAATTTTGTTTTTGATGGATTTTCCAATTATTCCCAACTTAGATTATTTAATGACATTATTATTTATTTTTAATAATTTAGTTTTTAATTTATTCATAAATTAATTCTTTAAATATGCTTTAATATAAAAAAATTAGATTAATTAGAACCAAAAATTTTAAATATGTTGAATTTTTAAAATTAGATCATAACGCTCTTATAAATCTTCAATAAATAAAAGTAAAATTTATTTATCATTTTTTAGAATATAGGAATACAAAATCTTTTTTAAAATTTAGAAAAATTAAACATATAAAAGTTTGAAAATATATTCAAATAAAATTAGATCTTTCAATTTAGAAATACAATAAAAGAATAATGAGGATAATATAAAAATAAGTATTAAAAAATAGAAAATTAAATTATTCTTAAATTATCTATAAAATTTGAGTACAGAAAATAATATGTAATAAAAAAGATTTAAAATGTTTGTGAATTGATTATGTGATCTATTTAGTTATCAAGTAAAGAGTTTAAAATAGAAGTATTAGAGTAATAAAAATCAGTCAAGATATAAATAATATTAATAGAAAATAAAGATTTTGAATTATTAATTATAATATATATATAAATAAATTAAATAATATATTTTGAGTTTCAATATAATTAAAGATATATTATGATTTTATTTTTAATTTATTTATGATATTTCAATATGTTTTTTTAATTCTCTCTGCATTTTTAGGAGAATCATAAATAGTTGGAGGACGACGCATCTCATGTTGGAAATGATTGTATTCAAATGTTCTATTTGATCTTCTTGTATATGCTAATTCCATGAGGAAATCAAACATATCATCCTAGAATATTGGATTAATAAAATACAGTGCATGCATATGCAGCCTCATAAAACATTGCATAACATGGATATACTTTAGCTCTTTTCAAATAATCAGCTTCAGTCTTATCCATTTTGAAATGTTCAGCTTAATCACAATCAAACCATTTCTAGAATCTTAAGGCACATAAAGTAAAATAATCTTATTATGATTAATAAGTTGGATAAGGAACATAAACTTTTTATTTAGGTGGTAATCCAACTTAGAAACAATTAGTTCTACCTGTTGGGGTTGTACCTCTGAATGGAAACAAACAATCTTCCAAAGCCCCTAGATTTAATTAATAAATTATGCATTACATCCTTCAAACAAAATTGTATAAACATCATCAGGCTCCATCAATGAGTATTTATTAGCAGTTGTATCAAAGTAAAAACACTAAAATTTTATAATTATATACTTTTGTATATAATCTGAACCAATCTTTTAATTATTCTTTTTCCCATACTGCATCAGTCCTTAATACAAAATCTTTTTCATATTCTTTCCAATTGATTCCTTTAATTAGAATGATTATTACCTTTATGTGAAAAGTCATAATTAGGAGGCATCTTATGAAAGTCCTTAGGCAATGTCTCTAACAATGGTTGAGTGGCCATTTTATATGTTTAATTAATTTATTAACAAAAATTATATCCTACTCATGCATTGGATAAAATTAATTGAGGAATCTTTTTAGTGTTTATGCATATTTTATAGTTATCCTGATATAAAATATCTACTAATAATAATAAATAAAGATATCCAATATAATAGTAAAATTAGAATTAATGACTAATTATATGGATCCTTAAGAAGATCAAGAAATAATAGATTCTATTCTTAATGGTATTTTTTAGTTAATAGAATTAAAGCTCTTGAAAGTGATGAAGAGAGATCATTTTCACCATCAATTACAAGAACTGAAACGAATAGAACTTATTCTCCATAAATTATAAGACAATAACATAAATTAGAGTAATTAACATTGAAATAAATAGATATTCATTAAAGAAAATATAAAGTCCAATTATTGAATTTAAACTAGATTGTTGGACAATAAAACCTTTTTCTTTAGATGAGGATTAATACCTTGATGGAGATTTAGTATTAAATAAAATAAAGTAGATTCTTAAATGCAAAGACTAATAAAATAGTAGAAAAATTTAGAGCGTATTTGAAAAAGGAAATGATGAAAAAAAAGAATAAATTTTTATTTAAATATTACCAGGTATAGTCTAATTAGCTAATGATATTTTTGGAAATTATGTTGTTCAAAGAATTTTAGAATAAGGTAATGAAAAATAAAGAGATTTAATCTTTAATTAACTATCTTAATCTATTTTAATATTAAGTTACAATACATATGGATGTAGAGTTGTTCAAAAATTAATTGAAATTTTTTATAATACTGAAAAATTTGATTAGATGTTTACAATCCTTTAATCTGAAATACGAAATCTTGTTGTAGATATAAATGGAAATCATATTATATAAAAAATAGCTGAATTGATGAAATCTTAGAAAATTGATTGGTTAATTGAGGGAGTTCTTGGATAGATTTAAAAATTGTCAAATGAATCTCATGGTTGTAGATTAATTTAACAAATATTAGAACAATCTGCTATGCCTTAAGTATAATTTTGATCAATATTTACAAATTAGTTAAATAGTATCTACAAAGAATTATTAGCTTTATAAGATGAATTATGTTTATCTCAATATGGAAATTATATAATTTAAATTTTGCTTTAGAAAGGTCCTTTTGAAGTTATTTAGAAAATATAAAGTAGTATAATTAAAAATTTAGAAAAATTTAGTTGTGACAAGTTTGGAAGGTAATTAAAACTTTCATTATTATTATAGCAATGTGGTTGATAAAAGTGTAAACATTTCTTCATTTATAAGGAAAGAGATATTGAAGGTATTCATTAACAATATGAATGTTTTCTATCGTTTATCTAATAATTGTTATGGAAACTATGTCATATAAAATTTTTGTAAATAACTTGATTATAATTAACTAATAAAAATACATCCAGAAGCTAGTTAACTAAATACTTAATTTGGTTAACATGTACTATAAACTTTATTTAAATTAATAAATTGATTTGATGAATAATAATAATATTAATAATCCTCTTAATATAGTAAAAACCACTATGGATTATGAATATTATTTTTTGTATATATTGTAATTATATAAATCTTAGTATTATTATTTAATATATTATCTAATATTTTAAAGAGATGGCTAAGGTTAAAATTAAGGAGAATTAAGTAATAGATGAGATTTATTCAAATAGAAATCACCAAGTTAAGATAAGAAAAAGGCAAAGAAGGATAAGAAAGAGAAAAAAGAAAAAAAAGATAAAAAAGATAAACATATAAAAAAAGATAAAAAATAGAAAAATGATACAATTAAGAAGAAACAAAAGAAGAATTAATGGGGTAAATATGGTACTATCAGGTTATGTATTTTTAATATAAAAGTAATACAGATATGTATTTAAAACGTGAAGAGTTTTTAATGTGGTTATCTGATGTTAAAATTTTAAATGTTGAAGAAATTACTCCTTAGGAAGAGAAGAAATATTTTGAAGAGTATGTGGAATGCTATAATACAGCAACATTTCCATCACAAAAATTTTATAATTTCAAAGTATGGTTTGAAAAAGAATAACTTAAAGAAAAAATACAATAGGCTGAAATAGAAATGCAAACCTTTGATGATGAAAAAGAAAAATAGTATTAAAATATTTGAATTATCTTTAGAAAAGAATATTAAGAATAAAAGGAATTGATAAAAAAATAAAAATTATAAAGAGAATATTAACATTTACATGAATTTCAAAATATTGTAATTATATTAGTATCTATTAAGGCACAAGACATGCAAAAATAGAAGCAAATTTAAGATCTCGTTAGACATTACAATTCGATGGGTAATCATGAGGTAGCCATGAGATACTATAAATAATTAAATCCCATTCATACTATTGATGCTCCTCCTATGTAATAATAACCTCCAATGGAATACGATTATGACTATGACAATTTCTGATTTGATCAAAATGTTTTTACATAAAATGTTAATTAATAATTTCTAATGTATAGCTGTTAATTTATATAAAAAATTTAAATATTAAATGGCAAAAATTATAGATAATTATATACTAATTGAAGCAATTGGATAAGGATCCTTTGGAGAAATACACAAAGGTCGAAATTTAATTTCAAAAGAAGCAGTTACAGTGAAAACAATAAAATTAGATAGATTTTTAAATGATTCTCTCTTGAAAGAAATGATTATTAACGAAATCTAAGCATTGAAAAAATTAGAAGATTAATATATTGTAAGAATGATAAAGATGTTAAAATCAGCAAATAATATCTATTTAGTCTATGAATATCTTAATGGAGGGTCTTTGGAAAATTATTTATAGGAAAAAGCCAGATTATGTGAATAAGAAGGACGATAACTTATGACAAATATATTTAAGTAATGATAATTAATAATAACTAGAGGATTTAAAACTTTAAACCATGAAAAAATAATACATAGAAATATAAATCCTTCTAATCTATTTTTTAATGATGGAATTATTAAAATAAAGAACTTTTTTTGTTGTAAATCATAAACAAGTTAAAAGTTATTTGATCCAGGTATATTTATATATGAATATATTAGAGAATTATTTATATACTGCTCCAGAAATATTGTTAAAGACTTAATAAACTTAATATGAAGATAAATGTGATATATTCTCATTAGGATTGGTATTTTACAAGATATTTTTTGGATAATTACCATTCCCTGAAAATATTGAGTAAGATTAACTCATAGAATTGTATTAGTCTTAAGATTTCAATCCAATAATTGAAGGTTTGTCTGAAAATACATCTTAAATTTTAAATGGAATGCTCTAAATTGATCAATAAAGAAGAATTGAATGGTAAACATTATTTCATGAAGATGAAGTACCCACAACCTCAGTACTTGGAAATTCAACTAACCAAAATTTTGCATCTAATTATTAAATTAATTCATAAGTTTAATAATTCGAGACAGTTGGTTAATAGAACTTTTACATATCCTAATAATCTCTATAAAATCAAATAACTGCAAGTCCTAATGAATTACTAAAAAGAAGAAATAATTAATCAGATAAAGAAAATATTAAAGTCATAAAAGAAAATGATAATAATTATTAATGTAACAAAACTGTTGAAAAGGAGTCTAATATATCATAATATTAAATACCTATCTAATAGACATCTTAAATTTAATAAATTAATGCTTAATAAAGTGTTGTTAAATAAATATAAAATTAATTATTTGACCTTAGATATAAATTTAATATTCTCATCAAAGGAATTATAAGAATTGAATAACTAGAAAATTGGTCGGCTAAAATTAAAACAGAAATCTGCATGATCTTTTTAATTAAAAAAGCTATTAAATATATAAATGAAATGAGTGATATATGTTAAAACACTGATAAATAATGGGTCATATTTAAAAATAAAAATGATGTCATTAAAATTTTATAGAAAGATTATGATGAATTATTAGCTTAGTTCAAATACCTTAAATAAATTGTAAATAATTTAATTTATTTTTAGAATAGTTGCTAACATGAAGAACTAAATTCTCATGAAATAATTGATGAATAATATATTGATAATGTATTAATAATGATAGCAAAATAAATTTCAATTGATTTGGGATAAATACGATCAAGTATACGTGGAAATTCTTAAATTAAAAGCAATGTAATAATATATTTATCTAATTAATAGTCTTTTAATTATGAATAAAATAGTTAAAGAAATGGCAGCTTTATTGAATAAAAGCAAAATATTTCAAANATTTATATATGAATATATTAGAGAATTATTTATATACTGCTCCAGAAATATTGTTAAAGACTTAATAAACTTAATATGAAGATAAATGTGATATATTCTCATTAGGATTGGTATTTTACAAGATATTTTTTGGATAATTACCATTCCCTGAAAATATTGAGTAAGATTAACTCATAGAATTGTATTAGTCTTAAGATTTCAATCCAATAATTGAAGGTTTGTCTGAAAATACATCTTAAATTTTAAATGGAATGCTCTAAATTGATCAATAAAGAAGAATTGAATGGTAAACATTATTTCATGAAGATGAAGTACCCACAACCTCAGTACTTGGAAATTCAACTAACCAAAATTTTGCATCTAATTATTAAATTAATTCATAAGTTTAATAATTCGAGACAGTTGGTTAATAGAACTTTTACATATCCTAATAATCTCTATAAAATCAAATAACTGCAAGTCCTAATGAATTACTAAAAAGAAGAAATAATTAATCAGATAAAGAAAATATTAAAGTCATAAAAGAAAATGATAATAATTATTAATGTAACAAAACTGTTGAAAAGGAGTCTAATATATCATAATATTAAATACCTATCTAATAGACATCTTAAATTTAATAAATTAATGCTTAATAAAGTGTTGTTAAATAAATATAAAATTAATTATTTGACCTTAGATATAAATTTAATATTCTCATCAAAGGAATTATAAGAATTGAATAACTAGAAAATTGGTCGGCTAAAATTAAAACAGAAATCTGCATGATCTTTTTAATTAAAAAAGCTATTAAATATATAAATGAAATGAGTGATATATGTTAAAACACTGATAAATAATGGGTCATATTTAAAAATAAAAATGATGTCATTAAAATTTTATAGAAAGATTATGATGAATTATTAGCTTAGTTCAAATACCTTAAATAAATTGTAAATAATTTAATTTATTTTTAGAATAGTTGCTAACATGAAGAACTAAATTCTCATGAAATAATTGATGAATAATATATTGATAATGTATTAATAATGATAGCAAAATAAATTTCAATTGATTTGGGATAAATACGATCAAGTATACGTGGAAATTCTTAAATTAAAAGCAATGTAATAATATATTTATCTAATTAATAGTCTTTTAATTATGAATAAAATAGTTAAAGAAATGGCAGCTTTATTGAATAAAAGCAAAATATTTCAAATTAATAAATTTTCGCAATCTTTTTGATTGATTTAGTTAAAGGATAAATCTAGGATGATGATTAAAGAAATTACTTTAAAAAGATAGAAGAATCAAAATTGGCAGAATTGTTAGATTTTAAATTAAAATAAATTTGATTTAGTTTTATGAAATAATTTTATTTAATTTGTATACTTTTAGAAAATAGTAAAAGTGGAATTTTCGATAAAAATTTTATAATTTAATTATTCAATAATAAATCTTCTCTTTAAAATGTAAGAATGAAAATAAAAATTAAAGGAAAATTTTGATAAATTCAGCTTATTGTATTTAATTTATTTTCAAGGTTTATTTCTATATAAATGATGTCTATTACTCTTTCAAAGTAATAATGAAAATAAATAATAGATTCTGATAAAGAAAAAGAATAGAAAAGAAAACGGCTATTAGAATACTAGGTAGTTTTTCATAAAATAGATGTAAAGGAAAGAATTCGAGGAAGATGATGAAGTAGATAAGTATTATTTCGAAAAAAATGATATTAAAGATGATGATTATAAATAAGATCACAATTTTAATGATTAGAGTAAAGTGTATTTATGAAAGTTAATATAAATATTAAATCAAAAATAAAACAAATAAATCAGATAATTATGAATAAGAAGACTTTGAAAATGATTAGAAAATTGATAATCTATTTATCTATATATGAGATTTATTTCGATAAAAATTATCACTCAACAATTGACTTTATTTTGAATAATGAATTTATTAAATGAAAAAACTTTATAAGCATTTAATTCACTCAAAAATTAAGGCTAATTGAATATTGATTTAAGAATTAAAACTAGACCTTTGACACCCACTAAAAAGATGATTAGATTGCCAAAACGTCTTTTAAAATCAATTACATAAATTGAAAGTTTGAAAAAATAGAAATCATATCATAAATAGAGAGCAATCATTAAGTAGCATTCATTTAAACCAGAAATAGAAGAAATCAAAATAGAGTCATTTGATGAAATACCTATGAGTAAAAAAAAAGAAATTAGAGTAACAGATGGAACAGAAGAATTGATATTAAGACAATAAGAAATTCAGAGATAAACTAAAAAGAAAAATATTAATGAAGAGATAAATGATTTGAAAAAATTAGAATAGCAACTACTCTTGACATATACAGGTAGATATGAAAATTAGGAAGAAGAAGAGGAGTAAATAGAAACAGTTTTAAATAATAGAAGAGAATAAATATATAGAAAAATTTATGAAAATGTCAAGGCAATTTAAGGGATAGATTAAAAGGCTGAGTTATAGAAATAAAGAGATTAAGATTTATTAAAATACATTAAATATTAGTAAGATTCAAATAAAAATAAAAAACATATATAAGTATAATTATTAGAGGCATAAAAATAAATTGAATAATTACAAAAGTTATCTAGACCAGGAACTTCTTAAAGAATGAGTTCAACATCAAGTTTAAATCAATATAATAATAATAATAATAATAATAATAATAATAATAATAATAATAATATTAATATTAATAATGAACAATTTGATATAAAAATAAATTAATTATTTATTAAGAATCCTTCTAAATAATAATAATAAGTTTCACCTTTAAAAGGATAACAATAATAAAGTTCAACAAGAAAATTATCACAAAAAATGTCATTAGTTGGTTCAAATCATACTTCCCAATAAAATATTCTAGAAAATACTTCAGGTTAATAATTATTGTTATTCAATTAAACTCATAAGAAAATTGATGAAGAACTACTACATATTTTATTGACTAGATGGAAGAATATTAAGTAACTTAAATATCAATAATTAGTTCAAATAAGAAAAGAATCAAATAGAAAAAGGTATTTATGAAGTTAGATGATGAACAATTATAAGAAAAAAGAAAATAAAGGAGGTAGTATTTATGCCAAAAACTATTATCGTGGCTCTAAAAAATGAATAGATGCAAAATCTCATTATAAGAAATGAGTAACTTTAAATTTCCATCATAACCCTTTCAAATAGATGGATCTTTTATATTTCTCAGATATATAAAATATAATAATATGGTAGAAATAAAAAATTTAATAAAATTTAATAGAAACTTACTTTTTGAATTTAATCATTTAGGATAAACTTGTTTACATATTGCTGCTTCAAAAGGAAACTCTACCTTATTGTAATATTTGTTATAGTGTGGAGCTGATTATGAAGCAAAAGATTTCATGAACAGAAATCCATTATGGTATGCAGTTGAAGCTTAAAGCGAAGAATCATTTAAAATGTTATTAAAAATCGGAGCAACACCATGGAATATTCAAACTTCAAATGCTTGGTTTGCTGATATATTGTAATAGGCTAAAAAAATACATACTTTAATCTCAATATCCCCTCATACTGTAAAATCATTAATTTTAGAACATGAATTTGAAAGAATATTGTGAATACAATAAAATTATATATAAATCATTTTATGTAATAAGTTTATGGGCGACCTTGATGGTTTATGATCACAATCTTCTGCATTAAGGATTATAATGGTTTGTTTTAGGGTGGATATTAGGTTTTATTAGAAATTTTGAAAATTCTGGAGCAATCAATCATCGAGACAGCAATCTTTTTTCTTCTTCTTTCCTAACTTCTCTTTGAATACATACTTAATTCTAATGACGAGAATAATTAGTTTCTTAATCTAATTAAGTATTAAAACACTAAAGACTTGGATTACTAAATAATTATTATGATTGTTATTAATGCTACGAATATTGTTTATTTGGTAAGAGTCTTCTAATTGATAATGATTGTTATTTTTTATTTTCATATTTTGTTTATAGAAATATTTTTTAATACAAGTCGAGATCACGTAAAAACTTTTCACTTTGTGCTATTTCATTTTTTTGATGAGTACTTTTAATTGAATTTTTCATTAATTATATTTTAGAATTGATGCTATGTATTTTTAATGGATTTATTAATATTTTTCAAATAAAGAAGAGGGATCTCCTTTGATTTAATATTTGGTTTGGCTTAATTAATGTCTATGGCTTACGAGGATCAAATCTATCTCCAATAAAATTAGAACAAACATGAGCATATTGGATTGGGGCAGGAATCTAGAATCAAATAAATATTACTTTTATTGCCCCACTAAAATTGTAATACATATAACATAATTTATAAGCTAATGCTTACAATTTCTTAATAATATTTGGTTCATCTATTAAATCATTTACTAAAATATGATAGTAAGTAGGCTATACAGTTCCTTAAGTTGTTTTTTATGAAATCAAATAAAACCCATCTTTTCCATTACAAATTTCATTATCAATCAAAGTTCCTTATTATGGATTGTCCAAGTTTCTAATTATTAATATAAATAAAGAACCTTTCTCCCGCATAAAATTTGGCTCCTACTTTTTTATTAACAGAAAGTACAATCAGTTTAATAGGTTTATTTTGATTCTTTGCCTTTTTAACTTATTCAATTGCCTATCTAAATTGAGCAACCTCTGTTTCAATCACTGTTTTTGCTTAAGAATTTGAAACCCCATCTCTAAAAATTATGATTCTAGAAGGAAGAGGTGTTTTATTATCACTTGTGAAAGATTCTAATGATTTAACCAAAACTGGACATAAACTAAATGAAAATTCAACACCACTATCCATTTCAATAGATTATGTCATATATTTACTAAAGAATTCATCTTCAGTAGATACAAATGATAACATTGATTTTCTTCCTTTAGCTGTTGAATGATAAACATCCATTCCACAAATCATTGTTGGTTGATCAGTAAATGGTAAATCTGAAATTCCCCATGGAGTACCTCCTACTTTAGCACAAATTTAAACTAACAATTTATTACAAATTGTCTTAACTTTTCCTTTTGGTTAATTTAATGTAGAACTTAAAATTACTTATGATGCTATAGGACAATCATTAATTAAATATCTTTTTAGATCAGTGTATAAAGGAGCATTTTTTTTTGGACCATTCAAAATTAATAATAAAAGGGTTACTTTTTAAGGTCCTTGGGATTATTAAACAATAAAATCAATTTATTTAATCCAATCTTCAATTCTATTTGAATGTATAGTGAATGTTCTTGGAGCTTTGCATTAGAATTTACAATATTCAATACTTTCTCTCAAACATGACATAAAATCTTCAGCTTACCTTGAATCTCTATCACTATACAGGATTCCCCAATTCTCTAATCCAACTCCTCTTAACATAGCAGTTTATGTATCTCTGTCTAAATTACCTGTTTCTATATTAATTGAAGTATTATTTCCCATTATAATATTTCCAGGTTTGATTTTGGAACTCTAAATTTGTAGACACTTAGATTCAAGTTAAATATTCCATTTCTTAATTAATTCTTCACTTTCTTTATTATGAAAACATTAAATAAATTGATCTGCTTATTTGACTCTATCAACTCCTCTTGGTTTAGTAACAGAAGATAATTATTTCATAGTTTAAAAGTTGTTTCTCATTTCATTAGATAATCCAGTTAATACACATAATTCAGGGATTAAATAGATAATCTTTTCTTCCTATCCTTTTCTTGATTTTTCTAACACTTCTATCAATGGTTAGGCACTATCTTTAATATTTATTTTATATCTATAATATAATATATTAAAATACTTTTCTGAATAATATTGCATGTAACTCATTTTGGATCCACTCTAATTTTCAAATTCACTTTTAGGATTCATTTCTCTATTTATTTTATTAACTCTGTAAAATTTATAATTATAAACTGTCATAACAATGGCTCCTTCTATTAATGAATAATCTCTAGAGTTTCGTAATTCTTCATACATAGTTGTACTTCTTAACATTTTGAAAGATGAATCAATATTTATATAATACTTACCTTGTTCCTCTTATTTTATTAGACTACAAGTAACTCCAGGTAATACCTGAATTTAATTATTATATATACTTTTAGTCCAAATTAATCAAAATTTATAATATTCTTAGTATTAAAGTACTTTCGACCAATTTGTAATAATTTTTATTACTTTAACAACATTTTAAAGAACCTTCCAATTAATCCAGTATATTCTGGTTCTCCAGGTTTAAGAACTGCTTTTTCTTCCAAAGATATAGTATAATTGGTTCCTTCCTCTTCATATATTCCTAGAATCAATCCCATAGTCTAGGCTCTGACTGGAGAATATAATATTTAATTATTTGTGATAAACACTTTGAGGTTATCCTGTAATCCTGATTTGGCTGCCTTAAATATGTCTCTCCATTTACAAATCTATTATTCTGGGGTCATGAAAGGTTAGAAAGAAATCTAATCATGATAATTCAAATATCTATTACTTAATATCTATATATGTGGCTGTTTGGGTTTATTTGTATTTAGTAGAAATTAGTGAATACTGTTTATCCTCTTTCAATCATTTACAATAATATATAATACATCAAGTCCAAATACTATCATGAATATATTTGATAAAAAAACCAAGGATTTTACATTTATGTTCTATAATAATTAGGATTCAAGTTTCTGACTACAAAAAACTAATTTTATAAATTTATTTTGATGATTAATTTAATTAATTTCAAATTAAAATAGAAATTAATATAAAAAATGTATTATTATTCTTTAAAAATAACATTAAGCTAAATTGTGTATTTTTATTTAAAGTATAAAACAATTTATCTAAAATATCTTAAATAAATGATATAGAATATATGTAATAAATGATGTTCTTTTTGATGAATTAATATAATATAAGATTTATTAATACTTATTTTTAATGATATCTATCAGTTTGAATGTAAATGATGTATTCACACAAAATCTCTTATTTTTTAAACCTATTTTATTGTTAAGAAACATATTTTAAATTAAAATAATTTAATTGTTAAGATAATTCATAAAAATTAAGCATAATGTCGATTAATATTGATGAGAATATGTAAAAATTAAGAAATTAATCAGTTGAAATATATAATTTAATTCTGCATGATTAGGATGGATTCTAGTTAAGATTTAGTTATTTTATAATAGAGATTTTTAACAATTCTAGATTTATCAGATCAAATATAATATGTTTACATTTAAGTATGATATAAAAATAGTAGACATGATTTCTCTATTGATTATTTTGAATATGATGTTTCATATAATTAATAAGGTATAAGAGATCAATTAAGAACTATTTTGATAACTAAAACTGTTAATAAAATTGAAATTAATAAATAAATAAAACTAATAATAAGGTATCATTATAATTTTAATTAGTAATGATAACTTTTCATTTTATTATAATTTATTTCTTATTTATCAAAGCATTTAAATATTCATTCATACCACTATATTCATTTTATCCAAATTTGATTAATATTAATTTCTAATTAATATCTAACTCAAATAGATTATGAGGTCTTTTACTAAATTCTTCTTCACTATTTTCAAGTACAAACAAATTATAAAATTCATATTCACTTTTTGGCTAAACTGCAGAATTTACAATTTTAAAATCATTAATATTGAATTTTACTAATCCCTATTTCTCATTCAATTTAAAAGTCTCTCTTAATTCTTAATTATCATATTTACTTTGAGGTTCAGAAGCATTTAATTTATAAATAATTACATAATCCTTACCATTTTTATCCATATATATAAATTCAGGTTTCTTTGCTTCTTATTGTAAATATGTTAATCTTTATTTTGAATAGATTAACTAATTAATAAATTAAATAATATACAAAGAATCCTAAAAATGCAGATATATGTAGAAAGTCTAAAGATCCAAAAAATAACCAATAACTTGAATAAAGTGAGATTGGAACTAATTTAGCAATTCGTAAATATATCTTCTATTTTTATTCTTCCTAAGACAACTCTTTCTACTTAAATATCGGAATATATTATTGATTGATCCATAAATTTGGTGCTACATATTTTGTAGGGTAGTATTTTTGTAGAGTACAAAATCTAGATATTAATTTAATCATAATTTAATTTTAATTTTATTTAACAACAATATTAAATTCTATTATTTATGAATATTGTAAATACATATTTGATTCTTGTATTTTTATATATATTTAATACTTAAATATCAAGTTCATATATTTAATAATTATCTAAATGTTATTTTCAATTTTTCCAATACGAATTTCAAATCATTCTTTTTCTTTAATGAATAGCATATCATTAAAAATAAAACAAAGAGTAATACAATTGTCTTTCGTCCAATTACTTTAGAAAATAGATATCGTTTTTATTTAGGAATTTCAATTGTTAGTTATTAATGGCGATGCTCATGAATTTGATTTTATTATTGTTTGCCTTTATAAATTAACCCTTTTTTCTATGTTTCAATCAAATTTAATTCTTCTTATATTGTCTATGCCTTATTTCATGATTATACCTTTCTTATTTATTCATTATATATATTTTTAGTTTCTTTAATTACTTCTTGGACATCAAACATTTCAACTAAAGTCTCTAAATAGTATTGTTTAAAAATGATCATTTATTGATCTTAATGAATGTCCAATTATTAATCAAATACATTTGATAACTTAATAATTTCTAAAGCTAATTTATGTTATTTAAAATTATTAAATAATCTTGCTCTTTACAATATTGAAATGAAAATACAATTCTATGAGCAATTAAAAATTTTCTTAAACATATTATTTATTTCTCATCACTCTTTCATATGCTTAATCATATAATCCATATTCTAATAAGGCTTATATTTTTTTTGAAAATTAATCATCTAAATTAATTTAGTCTTGAGTATTACTAAAATTTGAATTATCAATAGATTAAACATCCTGTCTTAGATTGTTTTAAATTAATTATTACATTCCACTTATAAAAATTAATTAGAATTAAAATTTTGAAATTATTATATTAATATTTTTAATTATACTTTGAATTGTTTGAATATTTGTCCAATTCTAAATAGATTTATTTTAAATTATCAGAAGAGAATATTTAGAAATTCCTAAGGAAGCTAGAATCTTTCAAAATTTCAGATTAAACACATGAACAGAATATTAATAAATAAAAAAAGGAACATTAATCATAATAAAGTAATAAATTGGATGTATTTGAAAAAAAATCAATAATTATTTCCATAATTTAAAGCAGTTCTTGGATATTTATTTTCAATCTATTAATTTTCTTTGGCAAAACTATAATACATTCTTAAGTTATCTTTTCTTTCAGAAAATAATTATAACTTTTTATTTTCATTTGTTCTTGCATAATAATTGTGTTCATATAATTATTATTATTATTATTATTATGCTAAAACTATTGATTATTATTAAGGTAGACTTGAATATTATGATTATTATTATTATAATAATGATTATTATTATTGTTATTATTAAGTTATCAAAATTTATTATTCCTATTAAACAAGCTTATCTTCTAATTAACGTATTCTCTATTCATACTTCTCTTATATCTAATCCTCAACTACAACTTATCAATTAATAATATTCATACCTCGTTTATCTGCAATAATATCTGTATCTCTTTATTATTTTGTCAATTTTTAAATGTTCTAATATTCCATTAATTCTTCCTTAAGCTTTAAGATTTAATTTTTTTTAATCTATAATTATTCTTCTAATTCATCAATTCTATCTTCTAAAGCTTTCTATTTTAGTGTCTGCTGTTTTTTTAAAGTACCCACTTTTGCATTGTCTAATTCTTATACTAATTATTATATTTTTCTTTATGAATTATCTGTGTAAGTTTAATAAATATTTTATAGTTCAGCCAGTTGATTTTAACTAATATTAAATTTTTAAAATAAATCTTAGTATTATATTTAGTAATTTTGATCTAGAGATTAATATCTTTAACTCCAGAGCATAATTTATTCTTTGTATTATTATTATTATTAATGCAATCCTTCAATTTCATGTTTAAATTGATCAATTTCCTTACATTTAAGATTTAACTTTTCAGTAACATCTTATTCTACTTTTCCTTTAGCATCTTATAAAGCTTTTTCAAATTATTTAATAACATCTTTTTGGATATTTATTTCTTATTATTAAGTTTCAATAATTTTGATCAACTTTTAATTTTCATCCATCAAATGAGTCATTTTATCAGATGATTGATTTTATAATAAATTATTTTCTCTAACTTCTTTTAATTTTTAATCTTTCTATTCTAATTAGAGTTGCATTTATTAAATTTCTGAAAATAAATTGTTTATTTTTTCTTACAATGTAAAATTACTATCTTAAAGTATTTGATTTTATGTATTGACTATTTAAAAACTTTCATTGTGTTCTTCTTCTAAAACATTAATTTTATCTTTCAATTATCTATTTTCTAATATAGCCATTTAAAGTTAGGTTGATAATTCTTTAATAACTTCTCTATAAGTTTGTGGATCAGTATCTGTTATTTTAGAATCTTCACATTCATTATTTTCTTGAATTCGTGATAATTATCTAGGAGTGGCTCCCTATCTTGGAGTAACATGATAAGATGAGAAACTAGTGTTTTAACCATCTTCATTAATAGTTGATGTAAAAACATTAGAAGTATTGATTGGTGTAAAACTAGAACCTTAAATTCTTGGAGAAATCATTCCGTTATAAATTTTATTAATAAATATATATATAATTTTATGATATTAGAAATATCGGATGAATAATTTTAATAGTAAATTAGTTTGATAATATTATTATTCAAACTATATAGAATATAGTAATAAGATCGTTTTTTTATTAAATCAATTATTTATTTTATTCTGTTGCTTTTTATCAAAAATAATCTCAATTTTTGACTCTGTAGCAATAATATTTGGGTTTTATTATAATTCATCGTTCATCAATATTTTATAAGAAAAGACTTAAAATTGTTTGATATTGATATTCTATTAGTCTGAATACTCACCTGATCCCTAAAGAATTGCTGTTTTTGATTATTCCTAAAATTTGACTTCAGCCTTTCTTTTTTGAATATGATTAGAGTGAGTTAAAACATATTTAATTTATTCTTTCTCTTCATTATTGTCTGGATCCTTTGTTTTCACTTCCAATCTATTTACTTAATCATGATATAAAACAAATACAATTAAATTACAAAATAGTTCTTAGATTTGATAATTCTTTTCTTAATTGAAAGTTTTCTTATTCTAATTATCTCCCTTTTTGTTGTAATTGTAATAATAAAAATTCTTCATCATTTCCAAAATTATTAATCATTTTCTACTATTTTTTATAATTAAACAAATATTTATAATTAAGTTTTTTAAATAATTTAAAAGTTTATTCCACATCATTGTATAGATTGTAAAATATAAGATTAGATATATATTTGATTTTACTAATGATCCTATTATTTTTCAGAGCCAAAAATTACTAAATGAATAAAGAATTAAACTTAATTACTTATAAAAAGCAATTTTATTATTATATATAAATATAATTATTGTATTTATGCTTTTAGTTTAAGTTTTATTGTACTCTATAGACATGAAGTGGTTATGAACTGAATTTAAATAAATATTGAAGGATGAGATATATTTTAGGAATATAAGAAATTAAATAAAATTATACACTATTTTTTAAGTTTTTCATTCTTAAATAAGAGTCTATGTTTTCATTGAATAGAGGATATGATTAACATTATTAATTAATATTTTGTTGATGAAGTTATTGGTGCACATTAGATATTATCCATAAAATAAATAAAGAGTATTAAAATGATGATTTATCATTTGCTACGCATTAACATAATTTTCAATTTATATCGTTTTATATTTCAAATCTATAAATTAAAAGTTATTATTAATGATTGCTTAATCTCCAAATTTCAAGTTGAATCCTATGACTCCATTAAGTGTACATCACAAAATGGCTATAGTTGAAGATGAACCAGATGACTTGGAATTAGAATAATAAAAAATTTCATTTAATGAAAATTTGATAGTTTGTACATACAAACCTAATCAAAATGTTACTAACATATAAAAAACCATTTTAAAATTGAAAGGTCAACCAAATATTGGTTGGGTCAATCCAATTTTAAAGGATGAAAGAAATAGATCAACCTCAATCTTGAAGTGCTCTCAATCACCTACAAGAATTTGTTCAATTTGTATATGAATTTGATTATAAATATATTGTTATTATAACTGTAATTTATACAATCTTTGTTTATATAAATGATAAAAATAAGTTAACAACTAAACATTCTATCTAATACCAAATAAATTATTAATTAATATATATAAAATGTAGAGTTAATTTTTTCAAACCTATTTTAGAGGATTAATTGAACGCTGTGTTAGTGTAACAATTGAATTAAAGAATGGTTTATAAATACAAGGATAAATTACATATGTTGATGATAACTTAAATTTTAACTTAGTTGATCCTGAAGTATCTGATCCTCTTAAATAACCTTAATTAATAACATTAAAAAATAGTTTCATTCGAGGATCAACAGTTAAATATGTTCATATTCCAAAAGAAGAATTATAAGAAGAAGTCTTGATATCTGCTTGCAAGAATGAAGTCAAAAAATAAAAATAATGAGCATTATTTAACAATATTATTTATTTGAAATGAATCAAAATAAAACTCTTCCCTTTCAACTTTGTTTCACAGGTTGTAAAAGATGTTGTTACCATTGTAATTTAGGTAATGATAATCTAATCAATTAGGTTGTTAATCATGTTTAATTTCAATAAAACAATGTTTAGTTCCCTGTTGTCAAACCATATGTGATTTAATGAAGACTTTATGTACTAAATTGAATATCAAATGTTCTCTATGTTAGAATTGCTATTAATAATGTTGTGGTGAAATATGTAATTGTTAATTTCGTTGCACAAATCCTTTCCTTATTTAAGATTAGATTCCTTAAGAGCTTTTTGAAATTCTTTAGAATTTTGATCATCTTGGAGAATAAAATATGTTTTGTTATGGTAATGTTCATATACTCAAAGAGAATATCATATATCCGTAATCATCTTATATAAATAATATAGATAATCAGAATTACACAATCCAATCATGTTTGCATAGAAAATCATAGATCATTCAAATAAATCAATGGCAAAATAATTTACTGCTGAATGGATACCAAGATTAAAATAACGATTTCCTCATATATTATAATTATAATGTAAAACTATATTAATTGAATTTAGTAATGTTATAAAGATAAATAGATGGATTTTTTAGTAAATAATATAGAACATATTTATTTTATGATTATATTTTGGATTCTTTTTAATAAGAGTTTTAATATCGTATGAAAATGGATAATTATTTCTCTTAAAATGAATTACTTGCTTATTTTTTAGCCATAATATCTGGGATCACTTATTTATAAACTTAAGGCATTAATCCATCATTTATTGATTTAAATGAAGTTTATCTAACTGAAACTGGAACCATAAAGCTTTTAGATCCTTCATTCTATCCAAAAAGATCACCCATGTAATAAGTATTAGATGATATGTAATTATATTTAATTATATTATATAGTGTTTAGAGTAAAAAGATATATGCAAAAATATTGAAAAGAAATAATAAAATTAAATATTATTTAGCACCTGAATAATTGCAAGTGTATATTCTAATAATTTCTTATTTTAGGAAATAAATACTGGAAATGACTAGACTCGATTAAATTCTTGTTTATTTACTCTTGCAATCTAAATTATATAATATTCAATCATGAAAAATATGGATGATTGTTATGTCAATTATAATATTAATTATGAATTATTAGATGAAAGGAAAACATTAGCTAGCTAATTTCTAAGTATAGAATTTATGATGCTTTTAAATTAATGTTTAGAAGTAGATCCAGATTAAAGAATTTCAATATAATTAGCATATTAATAATTTATTAAATTACCTGATGTTCAAATACTTATATTAGAAATGCCAAAAGAATTTGGATTGGCTTATAATTCATTAATAATTTAATAGGATTTTCAATTATAATTACCATAAACTATAAATATAGAACCTAAATTTAATTAAATCAAATAATAACCATAATAACAATAATAAATATAATAACCATAATAAATTAAATCATAAAAAAATGCTTTTGAAGAATTATTGAAATAAAAAAATTATTAGATTGGATAAAAACAAGAATCTGTATTTACTAAAATTTTAAGAGAAAAAAACTATTAATTTGGTTATAAACCAAAACCTAATGTTAGAGAATAATTAGAACTTTATTCACCATAAGATTCATTTCTTGATAAATTGGACATGTATCGTTAATAACCATTAATTTTATATTAACAATAAAGTCCTATTGAAAAAGAAATTTAATTGTTTTCAAAATAATAAGAATTGGATAAAGATAATTAAGAATATAAATATATAAGAGAAACATATCCAAATGGTTGTATTTATGAGGGTTATAAATTCAATAATTAAAGAGAGGGTTAAGGTATATATATAATATTAGAATTAAGGAAAATACATACATCCTACAGGAGCATTTTATGAAGGTTAATGGCATAATAATAAGATGGAAGGAATGGGTAAATTTTATAATAATGATTTTTTAATATATGATGGAGAATGGAAGGAAGATGAATATCATGGACAAGGAAGAGAATATAATGATGATCCTGATAATTTAGGAGTAGTAAATTATAAAAATTTGAATAATATTGAATAAATATGGATGACCTATTAAGGAACATTTAAAAATGATAAAAGGGAAGGATAAGGGAATATGGAATTTGTTAATGGAGCTGTTTATCATGGAGAATTTCAAAATGGTTTACCTCATGGAAAAGGAAAATATAGTGATAAGGATTAAAGGATTATTGGTTAATGGAATGAAGGGAGATTTATAGATGATATGTGATTAGAAAATGATATTATATTATTATTATTATTGAATATTAAATAATTTAATGCTTTAATTATAATGTATGAAATAATAGGATTGAATTATATAATAAATTATTAAATAATATATATAACTTATGTAAGGTGCTAGGTTTGTAGAAACTAATTTGGTTCAGAAAATGTTACGTAATCAAAATTATGAATATCATAAGAAGAAATTGGATGAAATTTAAACAGAGTAATAATTTGATTATTAAGATTTAGAAAAAAGCCAAGATATGCTTTCAAAGATTTCCCAGTACTAAGTAAAACATAACAATTAAAAGCACAATCATCTAGATTTTAGAAATCTGAATAAAGAAAAAGAATTGATGAATAAAATTAATATTTAACTTCACATATTATAGAAATTCAAGAAGGTAAAAACTCATAATTCAGATCTATATGGACAGTTTAAAATTTAAGAGAGAAAGCATATGTAAGTTAAATTGTTTTAGATTTAAGGCAGATACTTCATTATGGAGTGAGAATGCATTAGGAAAGAGGTTGCATTCCCCTTTAAGAAGAAAATAATAATAAAAAATAGATGAAGAAAATAATGAACTACAAAAGAGACTTGAACTTACTAAATAAATACTTATTGAAAAATAATAAGAGTAAATACATAAATATCAAAAATTAAGAAATCATATGACTAGAGTAAGTATAAATAAATTAATCAGATTAAACCTAAATGTCAAAGTTCTCCTATGTTGAAAACACATTTTCCATCTGTAAAAAGTAAAAGTACTACTTAATTGCTTAATAAACAATATCAATCTGATTCATTAATGCAAAATAGTAAGATGAATGATTTATTAAAATCAGAAATAAATCTTAGCAAGATATCAAAAATAGAATGAATTTATAATCATTTATTATTAATATAATTTATTAATTTACAAGATGAGTGAATTTTTACATTAAAAAATAGAAACAATAGATTAAGCAATGGATACATAATCAAATTAGAGAAATGTTTAATATTAATAATAAACAACATGGTAATTTAATCATTAATTTATTAAGGTCTGAAGATTATAAATTAAAATCCAATTCAATTACTTAAGAGTATATATCAATATAAGATTCAGCATCATTTTAAAAGGTTCTAGAAACCAAAGATAGAGGTAACAATAATATATATTTATAACTAGAAATTATCAATTTAAGAGAAAGTGTGAAATCTTTGAACAATTAAATATCAGATTTAATGAAAGAATTAGATTTATGGAAAAATAAATATAAATAATTATAAATTGAGAAAGGAACTAGTAGATCTATAAATCTATATTAAGCCAATGATTTAGAAATTAATTAATAATATAAAGATGAGATTAATAAACTTAAATAAGAGAATTCTGAATATAAATTTAGATTGGAACGAAATGTAAATGTAGTATAAAATGATTATGAAGTCAATTCATTAAAATAATAAATTAAATAAATGGAAGAATAACTAAAAAAGACATCATATGTTACATCTATTCCAAATTAAGAAATAATTTAATTAAAAGATCAAATCAAATAATTAACAGCAGAAAAAGAAGATCTTATTAAAGTTAAGAATTTATTAAATTCACAATTGCAATAATCATAAATTTAAATTCAATCTTCACAAATATAAATACAATAAAGCAATTCTAAATTAACATTTGGTTAAGATTTAGATTAATTTAGAAATGAAAGAGATGATTATAAAAGAAAAATTAAATTATTAGAGGATAAATTATAAGATTAATAACAAGAAATAAAAAGATTAAATTTTAAGTGTGATTCCTATCTTTAAGAAATCTAATAATCCTCTTTAAGATTTACTAATAAAAATTAAAATGTTGAATTTGAAGGATATTTAAAAAGAATATCTGCTTTATAACATGAAGTCTTAGTCTGGTAAGATCGTTATAAAGCTTTATCAACTCAAGAATAAGTATTTACAATTGAATAAAAAGTTATGTAGAAAGATAATTAAATTACATTTTTGTAAGAAAGAATTAGATAATATGAATTATAAGTAGATTAATTAAAATTGGAAATAGATAAATCTAAAAAAGAAATGAATGGATAAATAATTAGTTTTGAAAACAGAAAATCAGATACAAAAGAAGTTGAAATTTTAAAAAAGTAGATTGTTGAAATGGAATAAGATATTTAGATCTTGATTCAAGATTTAAATGAAAGAGATTAAAGAATCAGTTCTACTTAGAATTAATATTAAGAGGAACTTAAAATATTGAAAAGTTAAAATCAAACTCAATATTAATAAGAATTGAATTAAATAAGAGAAGAAAAAGAAAAATATCAATAAGATTATGAAAGAATATCTAATGAATTTATGATGTTTAAGAGACAGAGTGAATAAAATAATAATAATTCTTTAGAAATGTAATCTTTGAAATAAAAGATTATTGAATTGGAATAATAATTGAAAAATTCAAATTATTAATATTAAATCCTTTATAGTTAGATGTAAAATTAATAATCATAATAATAAAGTTAATATCAAATAATAAGTATTAAAGAGGATTATTAAACATTATAAAATTAATATAAGATGGTTTAATCTGAAATATAATCTTATAAGGATCTTATAAATAAATATCAAAATGATCAAGAAGAATTGTATTAAGAATATTTATAATTAAAATAAAAATAATAAATAGAAAAAAATACATATCAAATAAAAAATAATTAAAATGAATATCAAATGATATAAGAACGATGCAATTAGTATTAAAATGAAATTTAATAATTAAATGAGTAAATTAATAAATATAAAAATGATTATTAATCCTTAAATTAAAATTATTTACTTTTATAAAGAGAAAGTGATTTCAAATATTAAACATAAAATAACAAAGAATTTGAAGTATTAAAATTAAAGATTAATCAATATGAATAACGTATTTCCTAATATGAAACTTAAATATAGTAATTAAAAATAGAGATAAAAAACTAAGAATCTTAATTTGAGTTATCTTTTAATTAAAGATTAAGAATGGAAATATAATGTATTGAATAGAAAGTGAATCAGTAAGGATTATCAGAATTATCATAATTATAAAATAAATATAAATAATTGTAAAATTAATATGATCAATTATAAATTAAATATTAGGAATCTACTAAGGAATATATTACTAGACAAAGTCAATTTGATAGTTAGAATTTAAGAGATTAATTATAATAATTGAGATAAATAAATTTGTAATTAAATTCAGAGATTTCAATTTTGAGAGAACAAAATTTAAAGTATAAAAATGATTATGAATTAATTAATCAAAGATTTATTACTATTTAAAGAGAAAGTGAAATTTAAAAGAGTAGTTCACTTGAAATAGATAGATTAAGTAGTAGATTAAGAGAAGTAGATTATGAATTACAAAATAAGAATTAATAAATTAATTAATTACAATTAGAAATTAGGAATTTAGATATATAAATAAGAGATGATTTAGAAAAGTAGTTTATTTCTAGATTAACAATAGAAAGATAGAATTTAGTAGATTAATTATAAAATTAAGGCAATTAAGAGATATAATAATTATAGTATTAATTATAATAAACATAAATTGAGTTAAATTAATATAGATCTAAGTATTAGTAATTAGAATAATAATATAATTAAACTAAAATTGAAATAGCTTAGATTCGATCATAATCATCAAATATTAGTAATGAACAAGTAAAAATATTGCAATTAAGAATTACAGAATTAGAAAATTAAATAAAAACTTTAAATATTGAAATTGAAAGATAATAAAATATAAGATAAGAATAAGAGAATAAAATATAAATACTAATTACAAATATCACTGAATATGAATCACATTTACATATTTTAGAATAAGAAAATGCTAGATTAGATAGTAAATTAAAAAAATAGATTGTTAATGAAAAACAAAATGATTAATATATTGTAAATTAATTGGGAGAACAATAGAATTCTAAGATGAATCTCTAAATTGTAACAAGATAATCTGAAATAAATTAAATTTCTTAGATACCTATATCTAATAATTAATATATTGATAGATTTTAAACTTCAAATGAAGTATAGTATTCTTAAGTTTCATAAAAAATACTTAGTCCTCAATCTTAAGTATAAATCTATTAAAGTCCTGATAATAAGTAAAATCTATAAATATATATTAATTAGTTCTTAAACATAAAAATTAATGACAACGAAAAGTGTGAAATAAACTATAATGTCATCAGGATATTAAGGATGATAATTTTTATATTTAATATCATAGTTATTTTTAATAAAATGATTTTCTAAAACTAAAAGGTTCGCTGTTTTTGGACTTGAGTAAGAAATTTTGATTATACTTGTTGAATGTAAAGAAAGAGTAAAATGAATCTGCTGTGGATTAAGTTTTAGTCTTTTATCCATAGGATCTATTTGAATTTGGGGGTTCATTCTATAAATAAGCATAATTATTTTTATTTTTTGGTAATTTTAGTGATGATTTTACTAATTATTTATTAGTAATTTCCCTATTAGATGATAGATTGGGTTTCTTAATCAATCGACCTAAACTATTTCTTTCATTTATATAGGGAACAAAAACTTCTTCATTTTTAATTAAACAATTAATAGGATGTGTAGGTTCATTTAAGCTGTCTTATATCAAACCTTTTCTAAATAACTTATTTTATTGATTAGTAGCTTTTCTGAGTAGATGTGATTTGCGAAAGTATATTGTTTCATTTCTCAAAACATCATTAATTTGAGAACTCATTAATTTTAATTATCTTTTTTTATACTTTAAACTCCAATTTTAATGTTAAATGCAAGAAAAATGATTGAGTTTACTATAAAAATAGAATATAAAAATAATGAATATATATAATTTTAAGTAGGAAATCATTTTATTTAATTTTTTTATAGATACTTACTTTCTTAACTGCTACTTCTATAACTGATTTAAGCTTCAGTTTTTAAATGTGAATATGACATAGGACTATAATATAATATATTTTATATATATATACCATGGTTATCTTATAAATACAGGTTATTTGATGGTTTTGGTTTCAGCATAATTAGTTACTGATATCTTACGTATTGGGATTCTTTCTGGTGAATTTTTGTAACTATTGATTTGAGATTCTATTATTAATGATACTTACTATTAGATACAGATTTATCATCATTAACTTGACTTGCTTTACGTTAATGAGTGTAATTAGTTTAATTTAATTTATTCATATGATATTTTGTATCATATTCTTCAAGGATTGGCTCAGTAATTAGTTTTGTATGTCTTTATTAATTTTAATTGACTGCTTTACGAAGTTCACTTTAATAGATTACAATATCTTTATTCTTTTATTTTATTTATTATTCATATTCTTATAATAATTACATTTATTATTCTCTTTCTATTACAAAATCATCAATCTTTTATTATAATGTTTCTGTATAAACTCTTAATTATTATTCAATTCGAATATGTTAACGAACATCAGCTTCTAGTTTTTATATCAATGACTCATATTATGTTTGAGATTCAATTTATTATGTTTTTTCTTCTAATTCTACCTTAGTTTTAATGAGATAGATGACTATTTATTTGAAATAATTCATTATTATTATACTATCAACTTAACTTAGTGTTGATTTATCATCATCAATAGGAATTACTTTTGATAAATAATCTTTAGATGATTTGTCTAATTTCTAAGTTATTTCTACAAACATATCTAAAATTGTGTTTGAATGTTATGAATATTTCTTGACATTCCTAAAAGATTCTGTCATTTATTTAATGTTAAAATAGTTCTCTTTGCTATCCATTTAACTGATTAATTAATTATTATATAATATTTATGTCTGAAAGAGAAGCCACATTAAAGGATATTAGTAAAAAAGCTATTGCAGATACTGAAAAATTAGCCACTGTCTAAAGATTCGGACTCTTTTCATCCCCTGTTCCCTTAGGTTTGGGTGATAATAGTTATGACAATAAGCCAAGACGTTTTATTATTTGTGTTAATACTTAGCTCCTCGTAATGAATAAGGAAAACCAATTACCTCTCCTCCAAATATGAAAGTTACAGCTCCATAATCAGGCAAAATCAAGTCATCCTACTTCAGTTAATTAGGCTTTACAACTATTGGTGATAAATATGTAGACCCTGAAAGAAAAATTCGGATTCAAGAATTGGAGGAAAATAAAAAATATGCTTCTGATGATAAAAAGAATTTTGTTCCTCCATCTGGTTATAAAGAATTAGTTGGTGGTGTTTATCCACACTAGAATGATTATGATATACCAAAAGGTCCTAATAATCATAAAGGAAGTGATGGCAGAGTTAAAATTGGACCAAAGAATGTCACAACAAATCCTGCTTCTAATAATTTGTGTCATTTCCCAAAGCATGAAAAGGATGAATACAATCGTTATAGATAATTTGAAAGGGAAAGAATCTTTAATGAATAAAAATTACTTAAAGATAAATAGCCATTTAAAAGTACCATTTATACAACTGATAATTTCAGCACTGATAAGTAAATCTTTGGGGAAACTAATTTACCTAAAGTAAACTTATATATGAATTTAGCCAACTTAAGTTAAAGAATTTAAACCAAATATTATGAAACATGAAGCTCCTTTTAAACCATCAAATCCAACTAAAAGTGGTGAGACTGGATGTTTAAGCAAATATCCTGAATATAAGGGAGATCCTCTTAAACCTACTTAAAGAAAAGATTTTGTAAAAGGGAAAGATCCTTTTAAGTAAATATAATAATTAGATTAGACCAAATCATTTAATGGAAATGGTTAGACCTACTCCAAGCATTTCGTGTTTTCCTCATAATCTTAAAAGAGAATTAAACAATAGAATGTTTTGAGTCATAATAAATTAATAATATATTTAATATCAAGAGGACTCTTTCATTTCATTTATCATTTCAACCATAGATGAGGAAGATATTGATAAATTTTGACTTAATGGTGTATGAATTTTATAATTTGTTTATGAATTCTACATATGAATAAATATTATACCTCTAATTATTCAAAGATTTATTAAATTTATTTCATTGCAGTAGTTAGAAATGGTTATTTTGGAGTTCTTAAATCTTATTTCCATAAATCCATTTAATTATTTTTTTCATTATTGATTATTATCTAGAATTAATTGATATCAATTGTCAGTTTTTTAATTTACTGATTCTTTTTTTCTAAATCTATTTCAATCTCTCTTACTCTATTTCTATATGCTTCTAATTATAAGTTCTATTGATTTATTTAATGATTTAATTAATCAATAATACTCTTTGCATTAATCTCAATAGCATAAATCCTTTCTAATTCTAATTCTAAAGAAGTAATTCGTTAATTTAAAGTATCTTTCAATTATAAATATTTAGATTTCCAATCCTCTTAATTTATATTATTCATAATTATTGATGAACTTCTTCCCTTTTGTGTTTTTTAATTGATAATTGGATATATATTCTTTTTATGAACATTTTCAAATAAATTTGGAACTGATCTATTCTCATTACTATTTACAAAATTTAAAAGTTGATTCTCAACTTAATTAGAGTTCTTTCGAGTAATATTTTGTTTTGGAGATAATGAAGTACAAGATCTCTATATTTAAGTACACTTATCCTTTTTAAAATACTTGCTCAAACCCTTTAGAGATTGCATAATTGATATTGGAATAACATTAGTATTCTAATTAATCTACTACAATTAAACTCTATATTGCATTCGTTAAATAATTATATAACTCAATTTTAATAATTCTCTACATAATCATTAATATATATTCTAATTAATTAATAGTAAAACAATCTTCATCATATAAAAGAATCTTTAAATATCCTTTTTACAAATATGAAAAATATACTATCCTAATAATATCTTCAATATTTTATCATATTTTCTCATGAATTTCTTAATTTTTTATATATTTGATAAATAAAATTCACTTAATAAATTCATAATATATTTCTTATGAAGTTGTACTTAATTATTAAATAAAAATTTTGATTGACTTATTTTCATATCTCAATTCATTATTTTTTATTATTTTTAACAAACATACTCTTATTTTTTGATAAATTTATACCTTTTATGTTATCAAAATGAAATAAGTTAATATTTAATGAAAGATATATACATTTATATATTTAATTATAAATATTAATGGCAGATCAAAGAAATAGAACACCTGAAGATCTTATATATTACTTCTAATAAAATTACTTACATTAAATGCGTAGGAAAACTCACTAAACAATACTATAAGTTGAAATTCATTAAAACAAAATAAATAAATCAAATTCTACTCATATTTAATAACCCATCTCTTCAGCATAAAATTTATTTGATGCATATATCAAGGAAAGATAATAAAAACGTGAAGTCAATTAATCACTTATCAAACCTTATAGCAAATCATCCAAATAATTGAATTAGATTTTTATTAACAACCGATAGGTTATAAAAAGAAATCGTATTACATCAATATAACAATAACCAGATAAAAATCTCGAATAGTTAATTTCAAAAAAAAAGAGTTTACATTTTACAATTTCAGATTCAAATTAAAATTAAAAAAGAACAATAGGTAGATTTTTTATGTAAATAGAGAGAAGTGTGATTGGCTGATAAGACCTGGTAAAGTACATGTAGATCGTAAATAAATCAAATAAATTAGACATGAAACAATATTTAGAGAAACTTTTAATCGTTTAAATGGCTGGTAGATAGATAATGATCATGACACAGAATTTTGATTAATATTATTATTACTATAATCAAATTTGTGAACTGTTTTTAAATATAAACTTATTTTGAATTCATATATTATAATTAATGACATTTAATAACTAAAATAGGATATTTTTTAATTATTAATACTCTAATCAGGATTATTTAATTATAAGATGAATAAAATTCCACATCAAGAAAATAAATAGAAATAACTATAGATAATACAAAGTCTTAAATTAAGAGAGTTATTAAAGAAGCTTTTTGAAGAAGTTAACTCTCTTGATGTCAAATCTAATTTAACGACAAAAAAAAATGATCATGTAAATCAAAATTAAGATGATTTCATTGACTAATGTATTAATAATTCTATGGATGACTTCAATTCTTCTTATTCTTCATTCCTATATCAAATAGATTAAGATCAAAATTTTACAAAGAGAGGTAATTTTTACTTATTTGAAAATGGTCTTAAAGTTTTTAAATGTAAAGAATGTTAAGAAACTTTTGATACTCCTTAGAAATTAGGAACACACACTTCGAAAATTCATCATAAACTTTAAAAGATAAAAAAAAAGATTAACAAAAAATGATAATCATATAAAATTTTCCTTTTTATTATATATTAATAAGATATTATAATATATTAATATATTATTGGAATTCTTGAGAATATCATAAGAACAAATTATTTAAATAAAAAATGATAAAATATTTATGTAAAATGATGATTTAGACTAAATTATAGTTTCTGAACTCCAATCATTTTTAATAAATGAAGTTCATAAATTAAATTGACTGTAACATTTTTATTTAATATACTATTTATATATCATTATTATTTTGATGCTTTTCTCTTCTTTTTTGGAGCTTCTTATGGTTATTCTATGATTTCTTCTTGAACTTCTTCAACAACCTTTTTTGCTTTGGCTTTCTTAGACTTCTTATCTTTTTTGGTTAATTGTTTTTCACTATCAAAATAGAGTCCTTCTCCTTTTAATTCTGTTAATACTTCATCCATAATATCTGTATTTTTGTTCAATTCTCCTCCAGCAGTTAAGAATTTTAATCTTTATTCCATTTAATCTTTTAATTTGATTCCAAACTTTTCAGTTGGTTAAACTAAGAAATGATCTAATCTTGAAGCAATAGCACATTTATTAGCTAGATTTCTATTAAAATTAAATGAAAATATAATACCTAGAGATTTTTCCTTTATCAGTTCCATTAGCTCTTCCAATATAAGTACTGTGATATAATAAACCATATTTAGGAGTATTGCCTCTAGTTTTTAATGCTCTGAATAATGCTTTTTCAGCTCCTAAGATTTAAATGGTAGATGCTGGATATTTAGCAAGATTAATTAATGATCCAGCATGAGCAATTAATTTTGCAGCTACATTTTCACCAATCAAAGCTGTAAGATTTGGTGCAATAGTTATCATTTTATTTTTTAAATATTCTTATATATTGTCTCTGAATTCAAATTAATTTAGAACTTTAATACATAGATCTTTTAAAGTAGATAAATCAAGTTCTGATATATCTTAACCCATTGATATCTTAGCTGCTTCAACAATTTATTTAGCTAATTCAGCATCAGTTGTAAGTTCTTCAATTGCTTCTAATGCTTCATCATTAATATTCTTCTTATCTCCATAGATATCAATAATTCTAGTGAATAAACGATTGTCTGTAACAATCTTGGCCAATTCTGGAAAATGCCATGAATACCATTCTTTTATTCTCATACTTAATGTATTTAGATCTTTATCCATTTATTCAATAATGCTTATAGCTTAAGTTACATGTTTGTCTTCTCTATTGATATCTAATTTCACCTTGTTTCTAGATACTTGATGTGCTAAACCAAGTTAAGCTTAAATATAATCTCTTTCTTTAAAATCTTCATTTCTCAAAAAATCAACAAAATGTGTTCTAATACCTCTAAATACTTAGGCAGTGGCTTCATTCATTTTACTCTTTAAATTCAAATATTATTAGAGTCCAGCAGCTAAACTTTTATCACTAATTGCAATTTAGAAACTACTAATAAATAAAATAAATTACTTGCTCTTCTTTCCTACAGGAGGTAAATTGGTTGATAAGAAATCTACTAACTCTTAAGTTACAGAACCTGTATGAATTGCTAAAGCATTATTTAAAGCAATTTCAGCAGAAATAAAAGGTTGAAAAGCCTGAATTAAGAATGATAATTACTTTTAAGTGACATACTTCTGCGAATTAAGCAAAGTCAGAGAATTGTTTTTGAATCTATTTTGATTTGACATTTGTTTCATCGACACTATCACATTAAAATAAGGCTAAACCAGCTGCTGCCTCAAATAAATAAAATGTGCTCATAATTAAATATTTAATTTAATGACAATCTATTAGTAATTTTAAATTAAAATAAAAAACCATTCTCAACAACATTGCTTTTTTGATTTATTTTTATCTTCTTTTGTAGATTTATCAGCAATTTAAATTTATATTGGTTCAGACATTAACTTTAAACTTGCTCTTTTCTAATATTCTTTTCCTTAATTATCAATACCTACATAAATCTCTAAAATTAATTCTTATTTATACTTTCTAATAACATTGAAAATGCCTTGCCAACATTAGCTGCTTTTAATGATGATGTCTCTAAAAATGCCATATTATGTTACAATGCCTTCTATGCTCCATCCTCAATTCTCACAACCTAATTGAAATTATTACCATACTCTTTTACTCTCTAAATCTGACTTAGTCCCTATCAACATTGTGATCAAATTACTATCTCCATGATCTTTTAATTCATCTATCCATTTCTCCACATTTAAAAATGATTATTCCTTTGTAATGTCATAACAAATCATTGCACCCATAGCACCTCTATAATATCCATAAGTTATTGCTCGAAATCTCAATTTAAACTATATATATACTTTTCTTATCCAGCTGTATCCCATACTTGAGCCTTAATCGTTTTCCCCATAATGTCAATGTTCCGAGAAAAAAATTCAACTCCAACAGTAGGTTTACTATCATCAAGAAATGTTTGTTAAGCAAAACGATTCACTAAATTAGTTTTCCCAACTCCTGAATCACCTACTATAATTATTTTCATCAAAATATCATAATCTTCATCATCGTACATTTTCTATATGATTTTTTATTTTTTTAAATCTTTAAACAACTTTAAATCACTATCCTTTACTTATACTGATGGGATTCAATAAAAAAAATTTAACAAATATATATATCAGCATTAGCATGGAAATGTTTTACAGCATACTTGTTTCAGAACAGGTCTGTATATTATCATCATTGTCATATTAATGAGTTAATTAAATACTAATAATATTTTAAACATATTTAAATTAATTATGGGATTTATCTAAAACATTTTGAATGACAATAACCATTACTTTAAAATCTTTTTTACTAATAAATTATCTTAACAAAATAATTGATCTATTATTATTTTTAATAATCATATATTTATATTCATAATAATAGAATATTTATTTATATTTATTACAAAATATATCATCATATAAGAATGATATTATTATATACATAATTTAATTCATTAATAATAATAATATTTCATAATTATCTATTTACTTAAATAATAATAAAAAGATTATTATATATTATCACTTTATTTATCTTATAAATAAATATTTGTATAATATGAAAACTTTTGAAATTACTAATATAAATTAAATGATAAGTTAAATACGTTGATTAAAATTTGAGATAAAATTTCGAGGGTTTATTATTATTTAAATTTGTAAATGGCTTTGATTAATATCACCAATATTGTTTTCGATTAAGACACAGCACTGTTTAACAGTCCAATTCAAATGTAAATTACTTTCGATGTAATGAGATAATTAGATGAAGAAATTGAATGGAAGTATTAAATTATTGAAACTTAGACTTATTTATATTGGATCCCCAAATAGTGATAAATATGATCAAGTACTTGAATAATTTTCCATGCCTCCTTTACAATAAGGAACAATGTAATTTACTTTAATGAGTTCTGGTCCAAATTTTGAGCTGATTCCTAGTAAAGATGATTTATTTGGCGCTAGTGCCATTATTCTTAGTGTTAAGTATAGAAAGCAAGAATTCTTTAGAGTAATAATTTTGATCTATTATATATGATTAGGTTGGTTACTATGTTTATAACACTTATTTAGAACCAGAATTAATTGAAAATGATCCACCTTAAGTATTAATAGATAGAGTATACAGACAAATCAATACATAAGCACCTAGAGTAACTAGAATTAATATTGATTGGGAAGGTTAAATGGTTTAATTGTATGTTAATCCTCAATAAAATAATCAATCCTTTATGTTCCAATAATAACCAATTTTCAATGATATTACTAATAATCCTGATTATTTACAATAATCAATATAAGATAAAATACAATAACCATAATAATAATAACAATAATATTCTGGTGGATTAAATAATAATTAATACACTGATCTTTAAAGCATATTTTGATTAATATATATATATATATTTATTATTTGGAAATATAAACCCATTAATTTATAGAATTATGATATGAATAGTAAATCATCATAATTTAATCATCATTAATTAAACTATATATGAAATTAATGGGTCTTGATTAGAATCTTATAAAATAACTATCTAATCTTTTTCAAACAATTCACATTCTTAACCAAGACCTACATGCATATTAGTTCTTTAATTTCTTATAACTGTAGTTCCATTCTATCCATTTACAACCAAAAATAATTTTAATAAATTAGACTTATTATCTTAATCTTATTATAAATTTTCTATTGAAATTATTTCAGATGATATAAACTTTGTATCAGGAATGAAAGTATTTTTTTTAGAATTAGAATATTGAAGAGAATTCCTCATTTCTAAAGTACAATGATTTTTTTTGGATAAGGTATATATTTTAGCTTCCTTCATTATTTATTAGAGTTTTATAAATTCCTTTCTTGAAAAATGGAATATATTTTTATGAGATTCAGCATCTTCCATTTGAAATTTAAATTTGTATTCACTTTTTAGATGTCTAGGGTATTAATCAAATATTTCTTTAATTAGTTTAGGAGCTTTAAGTTTTAATACAATTTGAATTTCATATATTGATTCTAATCATAATCAATATTATATACATTAGAATGATTATTTTCTTGAGAAATTAGGTATTACTACTGTTTTTAGAATCTCTAAAGATTACAATTCTAATTCATGTATTTAACCATTTATTTTATTTAAATCTTCTATACATATTAACAGTTCCTTATAATTGTTACTCTTACTGTAAAAGTAACCGTTTATTCTTAAACTAATAAGAAAAAAATAAATTACAAAGTAAGATTAGAAGGCAACGATTGTAATAGTAATTCACCTGAATGCAAAAGATCCTTGCATTGTTATATTAGTTGTTTCTATTCACTTCTATATAAATCTTCTTGTATATTATCAAAGTATTCAACTTGTTCTAATGATTAAGTCACTTAACAAATTAATTATACTAATTCATTTTATTTCTTATCAAAAATGTCTTTTGCTGTAAAGAATTGTTATCCTTCATGAACAAACTATTTTATAATAGGAACTATAGGAATCATTATAATAATCTTAATTGTTATTTATTTAATTAAATTTTAGATAAATGGAATCAAGATCATCATGATTGGTTCTTTTATTAATAAAATGAAAATATTCCTTCTTCTATTTAATAAACTTTAGAATCAATAATCTAATTTTAATAAAACAATAATTAGATAACTATAAATTAAATTTAGCTTCATATTTTATTAGATTATATAAATGGGTCCAATATAATCAAATTTTAATACTAAAACTTTTTGTGATTTTCCTTAAAATTCTCTATAAATTTTATAATTATTGTTAAATTTACAAACAATCAATAATTATATATTGACAAATATAGAAGTATAAAATTTAAATAAGNTGATATGAATAGTAAATCATCATAATTTAATCATCATTAATTAAACTATATATGAAATTAATGGGTCTTGATTAGAATCTTATAAAATAACTATCTAATCTTTTTCAAACAATTCACATTCTTAACCAAGACCTACATGCATATTAGTTCTTTAATTTCTTATAACTGTAGTTCCATTCTATCCATTTACAACCAAAAATAATTTTAATAAATTAGACTTATTATCTTAATCTTATTATAAATTTTCTATTGAAATTATTTCAGATGATATAAACTTTGTATCAGGAATGAAAGTATTTTTTTTAGAATTAGAATATTGAAGAGAATTCCTCATTTCTAAAGTACAATGATTTTTTTTGGATAAGGTATATATTTTAGCTTCCTTCATTATTTATTAGAGTTTTATAAATTCCTTTCTTGAAAAATGGAATATATTTTTATGAGATTCAGCATCTTCCATTTGAAATTTAAATTTGTATTCACTTTTTAGATGTCTAGGGTATTAATCAAATATTTCTTTAATTAGTTTAGGAGCTTTAAGTTTTAATACAATTTGAATTTCATATATTGATTCTAATCATAATCAATATTATATACATTAGAATGATTATTTTCTTGAGAAATTAGGTATTACTACTGTTTTTAGAATCTCTAAAGATTACAATTCTAATTCATGTATTTAACCATTTATTTTATTTAAATCTTCTATACATATTAACAGTTCCTTATAATTGTTACTCTTACTGTAAAAGTAACCGTTTATTCTTAAACTAATAAGAAAAAAATAAATTACAAAGTAAGATTAGAAGGCAACGATTGTAATAGTAATTCACCTGAATGCAAAAGATCCTTGCATTGTTATATTAGTTGTTTCTATTCACTTCTATATAAATCTTCTTGTATATTATCAAAGTATTCAACTTGTTCTAATGATTAAGTCACTTAACAAATTAATTATACTAATTCATTTTATTTCTTATCAAAAATGTCTTTTGCTGTAAAGAATTGTTATCCTTCATGAACAAACTATTTTATAATAGGAACTATAGGAATCATTATAATAATCTTAATTGTTATTTATTTAATTAAATTTTAGATAAATGGAATCAAGATCATCATGATTGGTTCTTTTATTAATAAAATGAAAATATTCCTTCTTCTATTTAATAAACTTTAGAATCAATAATCTAATTTTAATAAAACAATAATTAGATAACTATAAATTAAATTTAGCTTCATATTTTATTAGATTATATAAATGGGTCCAATATAATCAAATTTTAATACTAAAACTTTTTGTGATTTTCCTTAAAATTCTCTATAAATTTTATAATTATTGTTAAATTTACAAACAATCAATAATTATATATTGACAAATATAGAAGTATAAAATTTAAATAAGTATATTAATTATTATAATCAATGAATTTATAATTATATATTAGATATATATGATAAAATAACTTATATCATAATAATAAATCATTTAGGGAATATTAAACCAGAATAATTTTTATATTCTCTTAATTTCATTCTTATATCTTTATTACTAAATCTAATAGTTTTCAATATTGGTATTAAGATTAAGAGAAGTGTATCAGATTATTCTCCTTTCCATGTCTAAATTTATATTCCATTTTCTGGTTATAAACTAAAACATTCAGGAGTATTATCTATAATAATAGTTTTTGATAATAATCTTCCTAATTTTCTAAGATCTTTTCCATAGAAATCTTAATAAATATTAGTATGTTATCTAAAAAGAAGATAACTAAAGTATTTTTTAATAGTAAGTTGATTTAAAATTCTATTAGCATATGATTCTAAGCCTGCAGTGAATAAAATTAATTCATATATTCTGCTCATTTATTTTAAAAAAGTTAATAAGAATGGACGTTGATGAACTTTATCTCCATCATAATAAATAATAGTTTCATCCATATCTAAGACAAGAGTATAAGATTCAAAATTAATAGGTAAATGATAATAAATTAAATTAGGAGTAAGTAAAAGAGTAAGTATTTTATTGATAATAANTTAAACTATATATGAAATTAATGGGTCTTGATTAGAATCTTATAAAATAACTATCTAATCTTTTTCAAACAATTCACATTCTTAACCAAGACCTACATGCATATTAGTTCTTTAATTTCTTATAACTGTAGTTCCATTCTATCCATTTACAACCAAAAATAATTTTAATAAATTAGACTTATTATCTTAATCTTATTATAAATTTTCTATTGAAATTATTTCAGATGATATAAACTTTGTATCAGGAATGAAAGTATTTTTTTTAGAATTAGAATATTGAAGAGAATTCCTCATTTCTAAAGTACAATGATTTTTTTTGGATAAGGTATATATTTTAGCTTCCTTCATTATTTATTAGAGTTTTATAAATTCCTTTCTTGAAAAATGGAATATATTTTTATGAGATTCAGCATCTTCCATTTGAAATTTAAATTTGTATTCACTTTTTAGATGTCTAGGGTATTAATCAAATATTTCTTTAATTAGTTTAGGAGCTTTAAGTTTTAATACAATTTGAATTTCATATATTGATTCTAATCATAATCAATATTATATACATTAGAATGATTATTTTCTTGAGAAATTAGGTATTACTACTGTTTTTAGAATCTCTAAAGATTACAATTCTAATTCATGTATTTAACCATTTATTTTATTTAAATCTTCTATACATATTAACAGTTCCTTATAATTGTTACTCTTACTGTAAAAGTAACCGTTTATTCTTAAACTAATAAGAAAAAAATAAATTACAAAGTAAGATTAGAAGGCAACGATTGTAATAGTAATTCACCTGAATGCAAAAGATCCTTGCATTGTTATATTAGTTGTTTCTATTCACTTCTATATAAATCTTCTTGTATATTATCAAAGTATTCAACTTGTTCTAATGATTAAGTCACTTAACAAATTAATTATACTAATTCATTTTATTTCTTATCAAAAATGTCTTTTGCTGTAAAGAATTGTTATCCTTCATGAACAAACTATTTTATAATAGGAACTATAGGAATCATTATAATAATCTTAATTGTTATTTATTTAATTAAATTTTAGATAAATGGAATCAAGATCATCATGATTGGTTCTTTTATTAATAAAATGAAAATATTCCTTCTTCTATTTAATAAACTTTAGAATCAATAATCTAATTTTAATAAAACAATAATTAGATAACTATAAATTAAATTTAGCTTCATATTTTATTAGATTATATAAATGGGTCCAATATAATCAAATTTTAATACTAAAACTTTTTGTGATTTTCCTTAAAATTCTCTATAAATTTTATAATTATTGTTAAATTTACAAACAATCAATAATTATATATTGACAAATATAGAAGTATAAAATTTAAATAAGTATATTAATTATTATAATCAATGAATTTATAATTATATATTAGATATATATGATAAAATAACTTATATCATAATAATAAATCATTTAGGGAATATTAAACCAGAATAATTTTTATATTCTCTTAATTTCATTCTTATATCTTTATTACTAAATCTAATAGTTTTCAATATTGGTATTAAGATTAAGAGAAGTGTATCAGATTATTCTCCTTTCCATGTCTAAATTTATATTCCATTTTCTGGTTATAAACTAAAACATTCAGGAGTATTATCTATAATAATAGTTTTTGATAATAATCTTCCTAATTTTCTAAGATCTTTTCCATAGAAATCTTAATAAATATTAGTATGTTATCTAAAAAGAAGATAACTAAAGTATTTTTTAATAGTAAGTTGATTTAAAATTCTATTAGCATATGATTCTAAGCCTGCAGTGAATAAAATTAATTCATATATTCTGCTCATTTATTTTAAAAAAGTTAATAAGAATGGACGTTGATGAACTTTATCTCCATCATAATAAATAATAGTTTCATCCATATCTAAGACAAGAGTATAAGATTCAAAATTAATAGGTAAATGATAATAAATTAAATTAGGAGTAAGTAAAAGAGTAAGTATTTTATTGATAATAATTTTAGAGTAAATAGGAAAGTTATTTTGATTCTATTTAAATTTAAGATAATCAAGTAATTGATTTCTAAGATGGATATTATCAATATGACTGTAAAAATCATTAATATATAAATATACCTTTGTATTATAATGGATGTAAATTAATCTAAAGAAAATTAAATTTATTATAGTTTCTAAAATAAATCTTCATTATGTTAGATAAATTTCATCCACATTTAATGATGTATCGTAATGGTTTTGATAAATTTAAATTTGTAACTGTAAAACATGGAAACAGTTAAATCATGTTTCATTATATAACATAAAATAATGGCCAAGAACTCTGAATATATATTTGCCTGAATATCATTTAACTCTGTATCATCCTACTTAATTATAGTTATTTACGGGAATATTTAATAGTTTAATGAGTTGTTCATATTTTGGATCCTTAAAAAAAGAAAATAATTATTATGATCTTTTATTAAGTTAGTTAAATAAACTCTTATTTATTTTGATTGAATCATAATGTTCAAAGGTGTTTGATCGATTAACTTTATGAATTCGAGGTAATTAATAACTATGTATCCTTCTTCTTATAATCATTTTTAAAGATAATAATTAAAAGAAAATATTAAAATTATAAATGATCATTGTAATAGTTTAAATTCATTTGAATTAAGAAAATTTAAAAATAAAAATAATTCATTGATAAGGAATATATATATATATATTTATAATATAATTATATAAGTGTATTATTAATAAATTAAATGGACTATTGTAAGTAGCTATTATTGTAGTCCATATTAATCTAGTAATTAGATGTAATTTATTTAATTGTTATTAGAATTTATTTGATTTAATTATCAATGATTAACATATTTCTGGAATAGTCCTAAACTAATTATATAAAGAATTATTTTAAAAAGAATTAATTTTAATATATGGACAAATTAGAATTTTCTATTGTTTGGGGAGTACCATCTAAGGTTATTTATTAAGCTCTTCTTGATCCATTTGAGATTATGTAATATACAAGAGCACCTGCAGTTGTTGAAGCAAAAGAAGGAGGATTATATAAAATAATGGAAGGACGTATAGAGGGTGTGTTCAATAAATTAGTATGATTATATTATATATTTAGGTTGAAAATCAAGAAATATAAATGACATGGAAATTCAATAATTGGAAATAATTCTCAAATGTTACACTTAGACTTATTGAAAGGGAAGATAGTTGTGAATTGAAAATAACATAAACTAATTTCCCTTAAGATATTGATAAAGTTAAGTTGGAAGATGGATGGAAAAATTAAATATTTATTCCAATGAGCAAGATTAGAGGTTATCCTATTGAAGATGATGATTGATCATTTTTTTAATGCTGTTCAAGTCATTTATTTAATTATTATTTCAAAAATGTGAAGATAAAGTACCACCTTCTCCATCAAAAGTAATTCCATCAATTTTATGTTTTAGACTTTAAGGATTACTTGGAGTATTTTAAAAATTCTAAGGTTATTTACTAATTAAATTCATTTTTTTGGTATTTCTCTCAGCAAAGGTTTTTAAAGGTGATGTCACTTTTAAATTATATATTTAATCCCATATTATACCATTAAAAAATTAATGTCTTTTTAATTCTGCATATCCATCTCCCTAATTATGAATTTGGAAATTGTACTTTAACTCCTAATCTTTCTGATGGATTAGTTTATAAAATCGATTTAATGAGATCCACACTTTATTAAGACATCTTTTCTGGATATATAGGTTAATTTTCTATAATTTTTTATGAAATCACTTTGAAGTCATTTTTAGAATCTCTAAAAGGTGTAAAACCATTAATCATCTCATAAATCAATATTCCCAATGTCCATATATCTACTTCATATGAATGTCCTGATTTATTTACTATTTCTGGAGCAAGATATTCTGCAGTTCCAGCAACCTTTATAATTATTTTATATATATATATTTACAGTATATGATTTCTCTCCATTTTCTCTTCTCATGGTAGCTAATCCAAAATCTGTCAATTTTACATGTCCAGTAGTTGTTAACAATAAGTTTTCTGGTTTTAAATCTCTATATATAACATTTAATTTTGTATTTAAGTATTCAAGAGCTAATACTACTTCTGCTGCAACAAATTTCACTACATTTTCTGGGAATCCTACTCTTACTTACTCAAATATGTTATAGAATTCTCCACCTGCAATATATTCCATTACAAAAAAAATATGAGAATTAGTTTGAAATGCATATTTTAATCGAACAATAAAAGGGTGCTTACTCTACTTTAAAACATTTCTTTCTAAAACTGTATTATTTTCTAATTTGTTTTTGAATATCTTCTCTTTCCTAATCTATTTCATTGCATATATTTTGTTTGTAGTTTTCTATCTAACTTTAAAAACTATTCCAAATGCTCCCTTTTTATACAATTCTATATTACTTATCCAAGTTTATCAATCGGTATGAAATCATCTCTACTTATTTACCCTTTGGATTTTCGTACTGTCAATGCATTACTACTTGTAACTAAAGTATGACTAGATTGTATAGGTTGGGTAACTCTTAGCTTTGTCTATTCTACTTCCTCTGTTTTTATATTAGCAATTGAGCTTTTCTCTGAATGTGCATCAAATTTTGGACAAAAATTACCCATATATATTTAATTAGAGTATCAATTCAGTTTCCATTCATTTATAGCTATAATTATACGATTGCATTTTTCATGGTTGACAGTTGCTAACTATTTCTTAAAGCTAAGTATAATGATACTAGTTGATTTGTTAGTTGTTAAACTATAAAAGATTTTATAATGGTTAAAATTATGAGAATGGATACATTCATTTTACTCATCAATTTATACTTCTATTTTTGGATCATATTTTAAATTACACAAAAAGAGAACTTATAACTTTAATCTATTAAACACACATCTTAAAATTAGTTTATTCATGATCTTATTAATAATATATTGATGTTTAATTCCCATGATTTCACTAATATATACGTATACATCTGACAAAACTTAACTAAAATATTAATATTTTAGAGTAGAATTATATATATTCATAAATATGAATTTAAATTAATAGAAATTTAATCATATGATTACATTTAATCATAATAGATTCAAAAATCATTTTTTTGTTTTTGATTCTTTTTTTAAGGTGTCTAGAGGCCTTAATCCATCNAATCAATATTCCCAATGTCCATATATCTACTTCATATGAATGTCCTGATTTATTTACTATTTCTGGAGCAAGATATTCTGCAGTTCCAGCAACCTTTATAATTATTTTATATATATATATTTACAGTATATGATTTCTCTCCATTTTCTCTTCTCATGGTAGCTAATCCAAAATCTGTCAATTTTACATGTCCAGTAGTTGTTAACAATAAGTTTTCTGGTTTTAAATCTCTATATATAACATTTAATTTTGTATTTAAGTATTCAAGAGCTAATACTACTTCTGCTGCAACAAATTTCACTACATTTTCTGGGAATCCTACTCTTACTTACTCAAATATGTTATAGAATTCTCCACCTGCAATATATTCCATTACAAAAAAAATATGAGAATTAGTTTGAAATGCATATTTTAATCGAACAATAAAAGGGTGCTTACTCTACTTTAAAACATTTCTTTCTAAAACTGTATTATTTTCTAATTTGTTTTTGAATATCTTCTCTTTCCTAATCTATTTCATTGCATATATTTTGTTTGTAGTTTTCTATCTAACTTTAAAAACTATTCCAAATGCTCCCTTTTTATACAATTCTATATTACTTATCCAAGTTTATCAATCGGTATGAAATCATCTCTACTTATTTACCCTTTGGATTTTCGTACTGTCAATGCATTACTACTTGTAACTAAAGTATGACTAGATTGTATAGGTTGGGTAACTCTTAGCTTTGTCTATTCTACTTCCTCTGTTTTTATATTAGCAATTGAGCTTTTCTCTGAATGTGCATCAAATTTTGGACAAAAATTACCCATATATATTTAATTAGAGTATCAATTCAGTTTCCATTCATTTATAGCTATAATTATACGATTGCATTTTTCATGGTTGACAGTTGCTAACTATTTCTTAAAGCTAAGTATAATGATACTAGTTGATTTGTTAGTTGTTAAACTATAAAAGATTTTATAATGGTTAAAATTATGAGAATGGATACATTCATTTTACTCATCAATTTATACTTCTATTTTTGGATCATATTTTAAATTACACAAAAAGAGAACTTATAACTTTAATCTATTAAACACACATCTTAAAATTAGTTTATTCATGATCTTATTAATAATATATTGATGTTTAATTCCCATGATTTCACTAATATATACGTATACATCTGACAAAACTTAACTAAAATATTAATATTTTAGAGTAGAATTATATATATTCATAAATATGAATTTAAATTAATAGAAATTTAATCATATGATTACATTTAATCATAATAGATTCAAAAATCATTTTTTTGTTTTTGATTCTTTTTTTAAGGTGTCTAGAGGCCTTAATCCATCTTACCATTATACAGTTGACATCTTTATTGCAGGAATAAACATATGTTTAACATTTTGTAGATTTTTTTCATGAAACTTCATTTAATAAGGAGGATAATTTGAATCAGAATCAAAAGCTTACATAATGAAATTAAATGATTACCATTATATGTGAGTTTGGCAAGTTTTCCTCCACTTATGCTCATTGATTTCTTTTTCTATATCTCTTCCTTATAATTTGGCAGGAATTCTGGGAAAACATCTTTACGTTACGTTTTTGGGACGGTAGTCCAATTACGTTCTTTTTCAAGAAGACTTTAATCAGTTTTAGCATAAGATCGTAAACCAGTTTCAAATTCTGCTTAACTGAGATGAGGAGTGGGACCAATTCTACCTTTAAGAAGATGAAGGACAGGAGTAGAATTACCATTATATTTCACATCTCTTGAAAGATGTTTATCCTTTTAAGATGCTATCTTTTAATCACCTCTTGAGAAAGTTTGATTTGGAATTCTTGCTAATTTAGCTGTCATTTCTGCCTAAAGTCAAGATAGAGAATCTACATGATCAATATTTCTTAATTAGAGCACAAATTCAATATCTTTTTCAGTGATATAGGGTTCACCTAAAAAATGGCTATAGTAGTTAACATTTCTGGGAATACCATGTCGTTCTGGAGTTTTAATAGTTTGAGATTTCTCTGGTTTTGGAATGGCAGTTTGAGAAGTACTTTTCGGTAATTGCTTTTTCATATATTATATTAATTTAATTATTCAATTTTCTTCAATTTTTGATCATACCTCTAGGAATATAAAATTGAAAAACGATCAATCAAAATAATTAAGCATGCTATGAAATTAAACTTATGCATGATGAATATATATATTTTATATATAAATTATTTTTGTAAGTTAGAACTTTAATGGGATCATGTTGGACTGGTAGTTAAGGATAGGAAAAGAATTGTTAGATCATCTTATAAACATAAATAAAAAATACTATCATTTCTGATTATGATCTTAAATATCATAAATAAATTCAATTCATTTAAGGTTAGATTCTAATTTATCATTTAGCATGTACTAGAGGATATCTAGTGAGGAAACGATATTAAAGCCTTATTTAGAAAATAAAAAAATAGAAAATGTTGAAAAAAGAATAAAACCATTATTCTAATGAGTTAAGTTTCAAAGACTCCTTTACTTTTCAAGACAATAAATAAAGTCATAAGACTAAAAATTAACATTAATAAGTATATTAAACGAAGAAATTACTAAAAGTACCAGACTATTTAAGCAATAGAGTAGATAAGGTAATATGACATTTTATTTTAATTAAAAGATTCTTTAATTATATACAACTTTTTAATATGACAGTGAAGAAGATAATAAATTTAATTTTCCTATATATCAACTTGATGATGGTTGCATTTACCATGGACAGTGGAAAAATGGGTAAGCAAACTAATTATTCAGTCTTAGACATGGATGTGGAAAGTAATATTGGTAAAATGGAACCTTTTATGAAGGATATTGGGCATTTAATATGTTTGATGGTCGTGGTAGATTGGTTCATAGTGATGGTAACATTTATGAAGGAGAATTTAAAAATGATAAAGCTTCTGGTGAAGTAATTTAATCATTAATATTTAGGGAATATATTATTGTATTGATGGATTAAAATATATAGGACAATGGGAAAATAATGTATAGAATGGTCATGGAATGGAAATATGGCATGATGGTACTACTTTTGATGGAGAATATAAAAATGGACTAAAAAATGGATAAGGAGTATTTAAATGGTCGGATGGATCAATTTATGTTGGATAATTAATAGATGGTAATCTTGAAGGAATTGGATAATTCAAATGGGATGATGGTAGAGTTTATGAAGGATCATGGAAAAATAATTGTATGCATGGACATGGAGTATAAATGAAAATCATAAATCTAGTAATTTAAATGGCCAGATGGGAGAAAATATGAAGGATAATATAATAATGGAATTAAAGAGGGAGTAGGTTAATTTGAGTGGCCTGATGGTAGAGTAATAATATATATTTTTAAATTGAGTTATATAAAGGAGAATGGTTAAATAATAAATAGCATGGTATTGGTATATATTTAGGATATAATGGAATTGAAAAAGAAGGAGAATGGGCTGATGGGAAACTTATTAGATGGACAAAAGGAAAAGTACGATTGTCGATAGGTTGATGTTTATAAATTAATTAATTTTTTCAATTTTCCTATATTAGTATGTATAATTTATATTAAGAATTTACTTCCTTTTATAATAATTTTTTATTTAATTTTTGTATTTCAATTATATAAAATAATAGTAATTTAGTTTTTATATAAATAATTATTAATATAATTATGTATTATCGAAATTCATAATCTTAATTTGGATAAATTTGATTTATTTACTTAAATAGGATCTATATTAATTTCATCTTTGATTTTAATTAATTCCTATGAATTACTACTTTTATTATTGCCTCCAATTGTCATATCAAAATTTGGGTATTAATCCTATAAATCTTAAGTTTAATTTATTTTCTTTTTTGTTTTCTTTTGTTATTCTTAAGCAAATTATGATTCTGCAATCAGATCATAAATATTAAGTCTGTTTTCTTCTGGAATTGGTTTTGTTTCAATGACTAAGATATATTTAAATTTATACTTGATAGATTTTCTTGTGGAGTTACCCTTGATATATTTATATTACGATATACTGATCTTTTGATATAAAATGCTATGAAAAGGAAACCTATAAGAATGGCAACCAAAGTAAATATAATACCAATTATATTATTACCAGTCATCATGATAATCACAGCACCTGTATAAATAAATATGATAATTAAAATTAACATCTATTCTATTAAATTATACCATTTAACAAAACAAGGTTCCATTTTAAAGTGAAATGCAAGAACAATTATTAAGATTCCAATAGAGAATAACATTTAATATTCAAATGAACTATCTAAAGTATTAAAAAATGAACTTAAACCCATAATCAATAGTTTTGCTTAGACATATAATATGATGTAAGTGGATTTATACTTTAAATCTAATGAATGATCACTAAACTAAAAAGTAGGTTATAAATATGTTGATAAAGGATAATAGATCCCTACTCCTAATAATCCAAAACCCATATAAATGTAATGATTAGTTGATAAACATTCAATTGAAGTATTTCTAGCAAATTTATATGGTAAATCACTATAATCACAAATATAAGCATCCATGAATGTTCTCATTACTGTCATAAAGAAACCACTTAAAATGGAGATAACTCTTGGAAGAATGAATTGAATATGTGGGAATCTTGCTAGATTGCCATTTTCATCTTATCCGAAAGTATTCTTTTGTACAGCATTTAAACTAAGAGATCCTAAAAGTCCATAGAGAATAGATATTCCTAAAGAGAAATAAAAAAAGAAATCATAACTATCATAGAATGCTGATCCACTAATTGTATCTGATCCAGATATAGAAGTACTTCCAAACCATCCTACTTATGGATTATAAGCTACACTAGCTAAACTATACATATCATATAATTTAAATATCAAAGCAAGTATATTACTAGAAGTAAGTTTAAATTCTATAGATTTTTATTATTAATTAATTAGATTTTTTTCATATTCTTCAGTTGCTTCAAATAATGTATCAATAATTAATTTAGCAACAAATTTCCAATCAGACATTCTTTATCTTTTATGATCAAGAATTTAATTTTTTTTAATTTTTGATTTTTATTAAGCAGCAGCTAAATTAGGAAAGTATTTTTGAATGAAATTAATTCTAAACCAATCAGTACATTAATAACAGCATCTTTTATAACAAGATAATTTTTATGCATAATCTTATTCTATTTAATATTTACTCTAATCATATTATTATTCTTTTTATTTTTTTGATAATTTTACAACTTTATTTTAATTATTATTTTAATAGATTTTAGATTAATTATTCATTTCTTCTTGATATGATTATTTAATTTTAATTGCATCAAATTTTGAGAATTCTGTTTAAACATTATTTGAAATAAAATTTTATCTTTCGAATGGATTAATTTAATTTTTATTATTTTATAATACTTTTTTATTTGAGTATTTAAAATTTATCATTAAAGATTTCATTGATGTGATTAATTATGGATATATATGATCAAGTACTAATAATTTTAAATTATCAAATATATCACCATCATAATCTTTAATCATTCCTTTTATTAAACCAGCAAATTATGATTCATTTAAACTATAAGTTTAATTTATCCATATAGTCTTAGCATATTTTTCATAATCAATTAAATCAAAATGTAATTCAGTTAATCTACAAAATTATTATAAATCACTAAAACAAATAGTAGGTTCTAAACCTTATTCATTATTAGCAAATTCCATAAATACTTCATGCATAAAATCTGCAATCATTTAATCTGATTATTATAATGAAAAATACTAATCTGATGATTTAATATTTCCTAATGCTTTATCATTCAATTTCTTTATTTAAATTTAATTAAGATTATCTGTTTTTTCACTTTTTATTTCTTAAATTGGTTTATACTTTTATTTATAGATTAATTATTAATCTTCAGATTGAAATTCTATCTTTTTAAGAAGTGTATCATTTTCTTCAGCAATTTTATAAAAAGAATTGAATTATGGAATTAAATCATTCATTTTTTATCCAGTTTCTTCATCCATACTTAATATATCTCTTAATTTAATTATTTCAACATTCTTTTAATTTTCTAATTAATTCATTTCTTCTAAACCACATCTACAACACAAACAATCCATTATATACTTTTTTAATCCAGTTAATTCCTATTCTTAAATTATATTCTTTTATTAATTTAATAATTCTTATTCTAATAATGTAAGATATTCTTAATAAACATTTTTGCTTACTAATTTATGATCATATTCTAATTCTGGTCCATCATATTTTATTACATTTACAGGTTCTCCTTAAATTAAATTTTCTATCAAAATTTATTTTAATTATTTAAATTCTTCTTATTTCTATTTCTTTCTTTATGACTAATTCTTTATTATATTTAATTTTGTATAAATTATTTACAATTTATTTAAATATTTCATATATAAAATTCCAACAACACTTATATCACTAAGAACATGATTCTCTCTTAACATTTCTAATACTTTTTTTAAGATTTCTCTTTTCTTTCTTTCAAATTCCTCTCTATTCAATAACAAAGATAAAAATAATGATGTCCCTGTAACTCCAATCATACATACAAATAATCCTAATCCAACTGCTCCCTATGCAAAATATTAAAATGTTGAATCTGCATTATTAAAAAATACTGCTAATGTAGGTACTATTACTCCAAATGGAAAAATAACACAGCACCATAATAAAGAACTAATAAAAGGTTAAAAGAAATCTTCAAATGCAATTGATTAATTTTTAATTGTAACAAGGAATTTATAAATTAAAAAACATACAGGAACACCAATTGCTAATGCATTAAAAAATATAGAAGCTCTCTCATCTGATATTATTAAAGAAATTGGAATGAACAATAATAATGGTATCAATATTCCACAACAAACTGCTGTATTTTAATAAAATCTTTTCTAAATTCTCTTTCTATTCTTTTATTCTTCTAATTTTTATAATTCCTTTATATCTTAAGCAAATTCATATGTTAATTCTAAAGATCTATGTCCAAGTGCTATATTTATAAGCACAAATAATATAGGTGTAATGGCCATAATAGCAAACATAGTTGCACCTTCTGTAACTGTTGCTGTATTATTTTAATCAAATATATACCAAAAAAAATAACTTATTATAAAGTAAGATAATAAAAAACAAACTGAATTTATACAAAATGCTAAATCAGTTAAATTATAATATTTAAATTCATCAAAAGTTGGAATTATTTAATCAGCTAATTCCTTTGCTCTTTTAATAGCTTTAAGTGATTAGAAAAAAAAATAAAATAATACCAATAATAACATTATCATTCCTATTCCTATAAAAATATATGCAATTATTTATAAAGATGAATATTAATATAGATTATAAAGTGGTAAAAATACACCAATTGGAATTGCAATGAAAAAACAGACAAATCCTAATGAATTAATAAATAATCTTCTTTTATCCAATCCCATTAATGTTAATGACAACCAAAGAATATTCACAAATAATGGACAATAATATAGAATTTCTGTAAAATTAGTTATATCTTTTTCATATTCTAAATAATCACCCAATTTTAAGAATCCAAAAATTATAGGTGCCCCTATAACTAAAGGCACAACTAAATATGTATATTATGGTTTTCTATCACTTACAGATATAAAAACACCTAAAAATAAATATAATGGAATTATTATTAATTCTAATGACAATGTAATAATTGTTGTATAATCTACTTTAGATTATTTTAATTCAGAAGCTAACAAAATATAAAATATAATTTCCATTGTTATATATGCTGCCCCAATTGAATATATTACTAATTTAGAAATTAAAGTTGTAATCTATATTATTTTTTAAGATTACTATTCTTCTTTTTAAATTTATTATTTCAATATTTTTATTTTGATCCTATCTAATGCTGTTTTAATAATACCTACAGGCCAATCAAACAATCTTGTATTTATCATAAAATATGAAAAGGTTATTGATACAAATATTGGAATGTATAAAGAATTTATTATATAATTGATCACTTTTTCAGCAGTTATTACTTCCAAACCAATCACATATGTAAATATTAAAAATCCTAATAAGTATATTATAAATAAACACCATCCACTTGAAAATATAGCACCAATTAATTAATTGTACATATTTTCAACTATTTATTGAATCACAGAAACAACAATACCATTCAAAATAGAAATTATTAATGCACTTAAAAATAAAACCATATCATAATCAATTGCACTATTATTTATATCAAATACATCAAGATATACATAAAATAAATAAAATCCTGGAAATAAGCATCCAAAAACAAATAATAATAATAAGATTATTGAATTCTTTATTATGATTATTCTATATATATATATATATTAATTTACGCTAACGTTAAACTTGTTATCATTATTCCAAATTCAGGTAATTATTATACAATATTTAATTTTGTTGAATTCTTAACGATTATATCATCTGATTCTAAAGACTAATTATAGTTAAACCAAGTCATACAATCACACTAGCTAAATATGTAAAATATATGCTCATATAAACAATAATTGTCAAAATATAGTAAAATGATATCTAAAACATATTATCTAAAAATGAGCAATTTTTATTGAATTTTTATTCATAATACAGTATTTTTTATCTAATACTTTCCAAAGTCTAATTAGATAAAGGTTTTCTTTGCTTTTCATCTAGCAATTCTAATAATTCTGCAATTTATGGATGATCAGGTCCTTAATATTTATATTCAACCTAATTTATAAAAAAGGATTTCTCAATTTAAGGAACTCTAATTATTTGTACTTTATTCATACTTATTTTACTCCAACAGTACATTTTAATCATCTTCATTTGGTGTTAATTATGATTCATTTTAAGTATTTGTTTAATTCATTTCAATAAAAAATGATAAGTCTAATAATTTGAGATTTTATTATTTTATATGTATATTAATAAATCAAAGATTTGATTTTCTATTTTAAAAAGATATTACATTAAATAAAATAAATTTATCATCTAGTTTTTTATTTCAAAATCTAAGAAAAAATATACATGGAATCTATAATTATAGAAAAGTTTATAGAATTTCATTTATTTTAATAACATTATAAAGGAAATTTTTAATAATGGGAATTATGGGATAAAAGACAAAGTTGTTTTAAGTTTTGATAAATTGACTTTTAGATAAAATAATTAGTAATCTTAATTATGAATTTCACTTATTTATAAATTAGTGTCAAACTTATCAAATAATTATTACTAATTACAAAGACAAATTTACAGATTTTATTGTAATGAATATAATTATACATAAAATACTCTCAAGAATCATTTTGCACTCTTATAAGCTGAAATTAATTTAGAAGTGGCTTTATCAGTTAAATCATATTGAAAAATAAAAGCAAAAATAGTAATAATATAAATAAGAAATAATTATGAAGATAAAAATATGTTGTAATTTTTCTAATGATTTTTTGTATTAATCAATATTTTATTTTTATAAGTGATGAGATCTAAACGCAATGCTAGGTTTATTACTAATGACAATTCAAAAGATAATATTATAGATAGCAACAGAAAGCCTTCGCCTCCAAAAATTTATATGAATGCATCTAACACAAATCAATTAATATCTGACAGTGTATTTTAAAGGAAAGGATTAAGTATTCCAAAGGACTGTCTTGGATTAGGAAATAACTTTCAATGTAATATATTTATATGATGTTAGAAAAGCTATCTCTTCCTAAAAAATAAACACCACGAATGTTGAGTAAAAGTGGAAGAAGCAATTATGATCAGGAGGTATATAAATAGATGATAATTAGTTAAGAGTCCTAATTTAATTATATAACCAAAGCAAGAACAAGGTATGGAAATAGAATGTCTGTCACCAATATAAAAATATACAGATATTAAACTTCCATTTTTTAGTTCTCAGACTGCATCTAAAAAAGAACAGACAACAAAAAGAGTAATAAAAGATGCATCACTCAATAATAGCTAATTTACTTAAAGAGAATCACAAATGAAATCATCAGATAAATCAAAAATTAATAAAATTAGAAAAACTAATTATCATTAACAATAGGAAATCAATCCTCAATACCAGGTATATGAGTTCAATCAGGAACTCAAAGCTCTAAGAGTAAAAAGAACAGAATCATTTGAATGGTTATAAGAAGATTCATAAGGTTTAGAGGAATCTTCTTTTAATTAATTCAAGCAAATAAACTTAGGAACTTATTATATGGATAATTTAAGAAAATATCTCAAAGGATTAAATTTAGAAGGATTATATGCTCAATTATATATTAATCATTTTGTTCAACAGTTTCACAGTTTATAATTAAGTAAACAATTTCTTTAACCTGATATTAAGGAAATTGAGCAACGTTGTATATAACTATAATTAACTAGTAATTTATATATATTGATTAATTAGAAAAGCAAAAAACCTTGGTTCTTGATTTAGATGAAACATTAATACATTGTAATGAATAACCATAAATGAAATTTGATTTTAAGGTTCCTATCTAAATGCCAAATGGACAGATTCATGAAGTATATTAAACTATATTAAAAAGGCAGGAATTAGTGTGAGACCATTTGCTCAGTAATTTTTATAAGAATGCTCAAAGCATTTCGAAATTATGATTTTCACAGCTTCTCATCCTTTATATGCTGATAAGATTATTGATAAATTAGATCCAACAAAAAAATGGGTCACTTGTAGATTATATAGAGAGCATTGTATATAAACATAATAGGGTATCTATGTAAAAGATTTGAGAATTTTGAATAGAAATCTCAAAGATGTTGTTTTGATTGATAATGCTGCTTATTCTTATGCTTACTAAATTGATAATGGTATTCCAATTATACCTTATATTGATAATGCAAAGGATAATGTATAAATTATTTATATCTAATATTTAGGAGTTAATTGGTGTAATTGATTATCTAAAAGTCTTATTATAAATTGAAGATGCAAGAGAGATAAATGCAAAAACATTTTTCTTAAAGTAAATCTAACAATGTCAAAGTCTTGATGAAGCTATGAAACTTCTGTTAGTGATATGAAAATAATTTTGAGGATAATATTTTGATAATATTAAATTAAAAAAAGAATTAATTTATTATATTATATTATTTGAAAAAATTTAATTATTTATTATAGATAAATGGCTAATTCTAAATTTGAATATGTGAAGTAATTTGAATAAATGCAGAATCTTTTACCAAATACTTATATTGTAGTTAGAATAGATGGAAAAGGATTTCATAAATTTACAAAATATTATGACTTTTAAAAACCTAATGATGAATAAGGATTAAAGTTAATGAGTTTCAGTGCTTGTGTTGTAATGGAAACATTCCCTGATATTTAAATTGCATATGGACAATCAGATGAATTTTCATTTGTATTAAAAAAAGATAGTGAATTATATTGTAGAAGATCAGATAAAATTGCAACTTGTATATGTTCTACTTTTACTTCAATTTATGTAAAGAATTATTATACTTAATCTAGACATTAAATTTTGAGAAATTCATGAAGAAACCTTTAAAATTTCCATATGTTCCAATTTTTGATGCAAGATGTGTGTGTTATCCTGATCTATAAAACATTAGAGATTATTTATCATGGAGATAAGTGGATTGTCATATTAATAATTTATACAATACATGTTTCTGGGGATTAGTTTAAAAAGGAATGAATAAATAAGAGGCAGAAAAAACTTTAGCAGGTACAAATGCTGGAGATAAAAATGAATTGTTATTCTCTAGATTATAAAAAAACTATAATAATGAACCAGAAATATTCAAAAAAGGAACAACCATTATTAGACATCCTACTAATGAAAAAATTAATTTAAAAGTTGAATTAGATGTTGATTCTTAAGAATAATAAAAATTGAATAAAAAATAAAAGAAAAAATTAAAATACAAAGAACTCAATTAATAAGAATTAAATTAACTTCCAAATCAATAGAAAGAAGATTTACAAGTTTAAGAATTTTATTTGGATATTATCAAAGACAATTTTTGGATAGAAAATAAAACCTATATATTATTGTGATTTACAATTATACATTTTAATATTTAGATCTTGTTTATTAGTTTTTAATAAATTGATTACTATATTTGAACCCACAATCATGAATTATATCTAATTAATATAAATATGAATAAAGAATAGAACTCAGTAAATTCATCTGCAGATAGTATAGAAATGGCATAATTTGGGGATCAGTAGATGAAACATATAAATAATGGTACTTAATTGCAATCAGCTAAATCAAAAGCAATGACAATATCATTAATAAGTATTCATTCTGCATAAATTACTAAAAGGAAACAAAAAGCAAGTTGAGGATATTTATGAATATTATAAGAGTAATGAAATATAACCTGAAGAAAAATTGAAATTGCTTTAAAAAGTATATAATGATGATGTAGATGAACATAGTGCAGATTCAAAGGAAATCAAAAAGACAGAAATTGTTTTACCTGGATTTTATAGAAAGTGTATAAGACATTATAATGTTTAATAGTTCATGAAGCTATTCCAATTTTCTATCCAAACACTCCAGGTCTATTATTTTGGAAAGGTTGGGTAGGATTAATAATTTTATTCTTTTTTTATGAAATTCCAATCTATATTTCATTTGATAAAGATGTTTGGGAAGTAAATTTTGTATTAAATATAAGTTTGTACCTGAATGGGCAATTATTCTAATTGCTGTCTTAGCCTTATTGACTTTTTCATTTGATATGTGTTTAGAATTTCATATGGCTTATTATTCTCATGGAAATCTAGTTGTAGATAGAGCCAAAATTGCTCATAGATATTTGTAATCAAGATTTTTATTTGATTTGATTGCAACCTTAGCATTGTTAATAAGATCAATTATTTCGACATATAGTGAGAGATGGTTATATCTATTTTTCTATTTAAAATATCCATCATTAGAGAGAATATCCTTTTAATTTGGTGAAATCGTCATGCTTCATCGTAGAGTACGTACAATATTTTAAATCGGAAAAGTATTAGCAGTTTTATAATTTGTTTTTATTGTTTATGCATGTATTTGGTATTTGGCATGTTTATATGCAACTAATAAAGGATACAATTCTTGGTTGACTCATGAAGGCAATTTTGGAGCTATTAGCGAACTGACTTAAATTTAAAAATTCTTCTATTCCTATTATTTCAGTGTAGGTACAACAACAACAACAATGGGATATGGAGATATGCAACCACTCAATACTTTTGAAGTGTTGGTTGGTATGGGAGGCATATTATTTGCAGTTCTTATATTTGCTGTGATGGTTAATATCATATTTAAAATATTAGAAGAATATGCTATATATGATATCAAACGCTATTAATAACGTTTGATTATTAATAGATATATGATGGTAAAGGATGTTCCATAATAATTAAGAGAACGTGTTAGGTAATATTTGAATGAACATTGGTATTAAGAAGGAAATAGAGATACTCAAGGAGAATAGGAAATAATAGGGTAATTGGCTCCAGAATTGAAAGCAGAATTACAATTAGCAAGTTGTGGGAAAATTCTATTATAAATACCATTATTTTGTACAAATTTTTCAAGAGGATTTTTAAGAGAACTCTCATCAAGTATTTAAGAAATGAATTATGCAGAATATGAAATGATCTTTTTAGGAGAGGACTCTTAATTTTTAGATGATTAATCAATATATTTTATTAATGTAGGATAGATTGCCATATTTCCAAATAATTTTAATAAATAATTGTTATTAAAGAAATTAGGAAAAGGAGATTATTTTGGGGAATTTACATTTCTTACTGGATTTGAGAGAAAAGCTTCTGCCTAAGCTTTATAATATAGTTAATTATATAAAATTAGAAGAGAAGATTTCTTAAGCACCTTAGCAAAATTTAATGAAGATTATGAAAAATATTGGATGATTAAAGATAAGATAGAATTTTAAAAGGATTTTTCTGCAATAGGGTAATGTTATACATGTTAATCCACATCCCATTATAGTACTGAATGTGAAGTGACTCATTTGGTAGTGGATGTTAATAAATTAATTGTTTTTAATTAAGATAAATAGGATAGACTGAAATTTAAAAGGAAAGAGAAGAAAAAGTGGTAGACTTTTGTTAGAATTGAATGTTTTAAAAGAGAATAAGTAGATAATATATAGACAGGTGTTAAAAATGATATGGAATAGAAATTGAAAGAAGTGGAATAAGGATAGGAACATTTAGATGATGATGAATTTAAGAAATTTTAGAACATTTTAAAGACTAATTTTGATAAATATACTAATTAATATGAAGTTAAAGAAGGTCTATAAGGAATGGATTAGGCATTTTAATTTACAAATTATTTCATTGAAAACAATTATGCAAATCAATCTGAATTTATAAATACTCAAGTCTAGATGAAATAGCCGACTCGTTTATCAATAACTCGTAGTAAATAGGTGTCATAATAAAGGAGTAGATAATCATCTGTATAATAGTGATATTATTGTAATTTAATTTTATATTTAATATTATAAAATAATTTGTAAATCTTTATTTAAATGTATTATTATAATCAATTATATTATCATAAATAGTAATTTAATATAGAGAACAACTTTAAATTTAAATCACAAAAGGGATCTAATTCATTAATTAATCCAAAATAGAGAGATCAACAAAAATGGAAATCTAATATTTCAATATAATTCAAAGATTTAAGGGAAATATAAATGAAAATAAAGTTTTGATTATTAGTGTTTTAAAGTTTCAAAAATAATTAAAATAAGAAAATGGGAATTTAGTAATATTTTATCTTATAGATTATAATAATGATTTTAGAATTTATCATATAGATTTAGAAATGATAATTATAGTAAATTAAATGATTAATTAACTAATTAAGTACTATTATAATATGATAATTATTATATTAATATTTCACTTAAGAAATTAAGAGTATTTTAAACAGGGATAATAATAAATTCATATATTTCAAGTTAATATGTTAAATTAACAAAATTAGTTAGATTACTTAATATATTAATAATAACTAAATGGCTCCTAATATTGCTTAATATTTTCTTAGATTAAGTAATGCATCCAAGACTTTAATGATTTAACAATTGATATTAACTCTTAATGATTTTAAAGAAGATATATAAGAAAAATAGAGTTGTAATAAATTAATCATACTTAATTTAACTTAACTATTATTGAATATATTAATTTGCATCTTATCAAATTCAAGTATTTATTTATATCAGATCAACTTTAAATAAATGTGATCTATGAAATTTCACTATGATCATACACAATATTTTGAAGATTAAGATAATTATTTATAAAAGAAAAATGCATTTATGATAAAGTTAATTAAAATTGTTTAATAGATATATTAAATTTAATTGTGAACCAAAAAGACTTAAATTAATCAATGTTTCTCAAATACATGATGAAGCAAATCTTAAACCAACAATATAATAATTGATTAAGGAGCAACTCTTGCAAAGTAAACTGGTAATCCAACCCATAATCCTGTAATTTTCTCTCTTTGAATAGTCTTTAAAAAACAATCAGCAACTCCTGAATAAGGATATTTTCCATTAGCTTAAAGTTTCATTTTCTAAAGTTTAGTTTTCATATTATCAAAAGGTAATGATAAAACAGATGTTACCACACCAGCCCCAACTGAAGCCCTTAATTATTAAATATTTTATACATGATTCTATCAGACATTGTTTCCTTCTTTCTTAAAAATATCTTCATACACCATTATTTGATCTCGTCATAGGTAGTCAATTAACCAACTGTTATTGCAATTGCTCTTAATACTGTAGGAGTTGATCCTCTCCATAAAGTTGGTACTCCTTCCTCCTTAGTTATCCTGTATAAAGCATCAAAAGCATTTTTATAATTCCTACGTTCTGCAATTGGCAAAGTTGCATCTGCCTAAAATCTTACTAAACAAATATCTGTAGGGTTCCCAATCAATGCTCCACATAAACCAGAAAAAGAAGATGCACCAACCTTCTCAAAGAAACTTAGATCCCCTAATGAGTTTTTTAAACAATACTTACTTTTTTAGTTGATCTTAACTTAATCTGCAATCACTTTGTATATTCCAAGTCTGGCTGTGGCATAAGTTAATTGTCTCAACATTGCAGACCCCATTCTACAAATTACATAACATTTTTAAATACCCTTGATAAAACCCTTTCAATCCCTCAACTTTATACATCTCTTTTGCCACTTCTATTGGAGAAATCTTTGTTGAACCATGACTTATTCCTTTGTTTTCTCCATATATCTAGAGTCTAACTTTCCATGTATCCAAAGGCATTATAACTGCTACAGCTGTACATCCTGAGATTCCACCGAAAAGAAATGGCTTTATGTAAGATGCTTTATTATTCTAATTAGACATATAAATATTAATTCTGGCATTTATTATATTATTTGTGACTTTCTATGTATTCAATTTATGAATCTTTAGAAAATTATATAATCATTGTTTTAAGATCATAGATGATTCTTTTTTTAATAATATACAATATTTTAATCATTAATTGTAAGCAGTAGATTATATATCATTAATAGTCTAACACTTTAATTTATTTGCTCGATAATTCTTATTTAATATACGATTTAATGAGAACTGGATTTCAAAAATAACATTATGAAAATTCAAATAAAGTTATAATACTTTTAAAATATAATTTTGGATAACATTTTTAGGATAATCACTATGATGGATAGTTGAATTATTAATTAGCCTATTAAACAAATCCTTTTAAAAATCCCTATTGTGCTAATCCCTAACCAAAAGTTTTGGTAGCCACACCAGTTTATGGGGCCTGCTATTGCTAATATTAATAATTCTATTAAGGTGGATATTATTAAGGAGGATATATCTATTATTGAGGATATTAAGATTATTATGGAATATATTATTAAGGTGGGATAAACTATTGAGGTTATTATGGATATTATTATTACTAGTATTATTAATAAATTTATTATTAAGATATATATTATTAACTTTCTTAATCAGTTTAAAAATTCTAATTTTGAGGAAATACATTAAATTAGGGATTTTATGGAATTCCAATATTCTATTAAGAAACATTATTGATTGGAATTTGATATTAATTTGCTTGAATATCTAATATCAATATTAAATTCTTACTCTTAGGTGGTTTAGGTGGTATACTCATTAATTCCATATACTCTACTAATTAATCAGGTAATTCAGCCAAGACTTCCTTAGATAAAAGGGCAGGATCATTTTTAAATTCATTAAAAGGAACAAATTAAACTAAATCTCTAATTGCTTTATTTCCCTTACTATCAACCATACTTTTGTCATCATTATCTAAGATTGACATATTCTTAAAATTTGCATCTCCAATACCAATTATAATGACTGATAATGGTAAATATGAGGAAGCAATTATATCATCAATAGAAGCTTACATATCATTTGTTTATCCATCTGTTAAGATCATCAGTATCAAATAATTTTCACTACCTTAGTTTTTACATTGTTAAGCCATATCCATTGCATTTTTTAAGATTGGATGTAAATAAGTTGGACCATCAAAAGACAAATGATGCAATGAATTTCTATAACATTAAACTATTCCATCTAAACCATATACTCTTAATAATATAAATTATAAAATTTTACTCTGGATCTTCTGGGTTATCATTTAATGGAAATAAATGAAGAGTTTGATTTGTATTAATCAAATTCATTCTTGGTTTGCATCCAAAACCATAAACTGGAACCTTTTTATCATGATCATAATTTATTAGAATTTCAACAACACTAATAATTGCTTATAAATATTGACTAGGAGCACCATTTAAAGTCATATAATGAAGAGACTTTGGATCATTAGGATTACCATTTGATGCTGTAAAATCAATAGCAACTATTAAATTTAATTATTATCCTCCAGCACAATAATCTAAAAATGTATAACGAGTTTTTAATTAAAATTTATTGAATTATAGAACACCTGATGATTCATTCTTTTTCATTTTGTTTTTAAACTCCTTTTTTAATATTTTATTCTATGTACTATGCTCTTTTAATTCTTCTACACAAAAAGTTGTTTCCCCTAAATAAATATGCTTACCAGAACTTCTATAATCCCATAATTCAACTTTAATAGGCATTTGATAATCTCCATTACATAATTTTTATGCTTTGCAACTAATTTATTTCCATAATGGAGAAGTTGTGTCCTTTGCAAACTCTGTTTCATAAACTAAAACAGGATTATTGTCATCTTTTCTTAATCTATAAAATCTTAAAAATGGACATGTTCCATGCCAAAACCAAAATCTAGTTTCAGGTATGCTATGACCAGATAAAGTAAGTAAGAGCTCATCATTACATTATTTAACTTAATCTGCTTTAACAATTATCTTGCCACTTTTCTTTCCAGAAATATTAACTAAATCACCCATAAAAATTTGATCTTTAGAACCAGCTATTTCAGCAACAGTAGTTTCTGCAATACCGATAATCTATAATATTCAAAAATATTATACTTTTGATTAAGTTGGACTAATGTAATGATGAACTTCCATTTTTAAATGTTGCTAAACTTCAAAATGATATTCCAATTAGATTGAAGTAGCAAAATTTGGATTTAAATTATTCCAAATCAATTCTGTTTATCCAATTTTTGTCCCTATATGAGATTAATTGAATCCTTACAATAATTGTTGTTTTTTTGATACATAATTACATAAGGGTCACTAACAGAAACTGTGTCTAAATCATCTAATTATCGGCAACTTATAAAAAGCTCAAGTTTCTGAATTGCCTCAGAAAACTAGCTTTGCTCAATTTGACTATTATACATAATTAATATTATTTGAAGATTGTATAATCAAATTAATTATTTCTAAATGAAAGCATATAGAATTGTATTCGAAAAATCAAGGCAAAAAACACTTAAATTCAATTTTTTTAGTTTTAAGCCTTATTAAATTAAGCCCTTTCTTCATTTCTTTTAAATCTTATTTATAATTAATGATAATTTTATATTAAGAGCTCATTATGCATCAAGATCTGGGTCAATTATGCAAAAAAATTTAGCCTTCTATTTGATCTTAGTCTTGAAGTTGATAATTCAATATAACTAATTGGTTAGCTTATAGGATTGAATTTCATATTCATCTACATTCACTTATGGTTAAGAGGGCTACACTTTCAAAATTTAATATTTCCTACTTAAGAATCTCTGATCTTTCACAATGAATAAAGTTTAAATTTACATTTGTGTGTTACCTATTAACTCAAAAATTTTAATTTGTTTTCATGCCTTTTTCATAGTTGAAAGTTGAAAACTTCATATAGTATTTTAAAAGATATTAAATAATGGAATTCGGTCTTTTAGTATCTCATAAAGGATTAATATCAAAATAGCTGTATATACATAGATTAATTATTTCCATATTTTTAAATTCTTATTATCATAAAAAATAAAAGTAATTAATAATAATCATTAAATAAGTTAACTAAAGGAAACTTTTAAGTTTTTGTCTATGAAACACTACTCTGCATATTTCAAAAGTTCTTTTTTAGAATGCTCATGAATTCTCTTATAATCCTTTTCATGTGTCAATTAAATAACATCATCATTTTTTGGTTTCATACATTTTATTTCTTAAATTATTTCCATACTACTTCTAATTTTGTCTTTTACTCTTTCAGTCACTGCTTAATCTAGGGTAAGTTTTCTTTTATCAACTTTTTCAACTGGAGGTTTAGGTTAGAATTTATATTCTGGATTTTATTATTTTTAAATAGCCAATTTAATCCAAGTAATCATTTAAGTAGATTTAATTCTGTCTTTTCTTGATTTAGGTTTAACAACTTTATATGATGTATCAATAGGAATAGGTATCTCAAAAAAAAAATGATGATTTTGTAACACTTTATTTAGTAAATCTTCAACACTTTGAGGATACATTCTGTCAATAGTTACACATTCTAATTTTTGCTAACTGAGATATCTATTTTAAGAATCTCTCTACTCTTTAATTGATCGCACAACAAAAGGAAAGTCAACAATTTTTGATAATATATTCTGATCAATAGATATCTACTATGGAGGATAATTCTTGATTAATTGTTGAATCCCTTTTCTACTAATAGTCAATATTGAATCACTTCTTTGATTACCTGTCATACTCATTTCATGTAACTGTTTTGCAAGATGAAGTTCATGGTTGAAAAAACATAATTTTCCCAATTCTTCATAGCATCTTAATTCTTCATCTTAATTTTGCATGAACCATGCAAATTCTATTGACTCTACTCTAATAAAAAAATTACTTTTTTAATAAATATCTTTCCAATTTCATATTTTTATAATTATTTGCATATGATTCCTAAATGTAGTAAAACCCATTATATAGTTTCAAAATCTCTTGCAAATTCACTTAAAAATATTGTATTTTTTGCGTAAATTATTGATTTTCCATACTCTCTAAAATGCAACAATGTTAATGATGCAACTCTAAATATTCTAATCAACAAACACAAATTATCTTAATCAACAGTTAGAATCATCATATTTATTAATATTGTTAGAGCTTTTTGGCAATCATCATTCTTTATAGCATCAAAATATTGCTACTAAAATTAGCTTACAGGGCTATGAGTTCTTATTGTTAAAGGGGTTAAATCAGATTTTTTAGTATGAAGAGATAATCTTGACTAACTGTGATTATTCATTCTTCTACGAGTAAGAGGTTTTATTGATTAAGGAGATGTATTTCTGGCAGATGAAAGAAGACTCTCCTAACTAATCGACGGAAGCATTATTGGATATAAGTTAACTATTGAGTTACTTTGATGATGTCCTTCTCTTTAGGTCTCTTACTAATCTACATTCTAGATTATTTAATTCAACACTGAAGAATGAGAGGATCTGTATCTATGTCTCATTTATAAATTTTTATTAATCTCTTTTTCGCTAATCAATATTTTGAACTTATATACACACACTAATGTTAATTATTTAAGCCTAATAAATCAAAAATTTAGTTCTCTCTAAATTTAGTTCAAAAATCTTAAAGAATTTCAATTTATTCAGATAATAAAAATGATTCTATATTGTTTGCTTACAAAAAACTAATTATGATAATAAGTGAAAATCTTCAAATATTATTTGAATTGAGATTTTTCAATTGAAACGATTAAAATTAAAGATAACAACCTAATGATCTAGTATGATTGAGATATTGCAATATTTTATTTTGCTATAAATAAAAATCATAAAAGAACTACTTTATTCGATAATGAATAATCTTGATATATCATCAAAGATTTTTAGATTAGATTTAAACTCTCATATCATTTATAATTTGAGTGATAATACCAAAAGATTGTTTTATTATTATAATCATAATAATCCAATATGTCACTATTCTGTAAAATATGGAGTTTGGACCCCATAATTTACTAAAAACATTAAGATAAAAAAAATTGTTTGAGTCGTATTCTTTAATATCATTGATATGAAAAATTAAACAAAAAAGTGCTGATTAATATATACATTTTTCTGCTGATCTAGACAGGCCTACATAAAGTTTAGGTAGGGTCAACAAAATATCATCTCGTGCTCGATTTAATTTTAGAATATTAAAATACGATCATACAGATTATACAGTATTTTATCAAATCTAAATTAAAAGAAGGCTCATTTAAAAATTGGTGTAGATTAATTTCTTTGAGTATATTTGTAGAATTTTCTCTAATCATATCCATTGACTGAAAATGAAGCGTCTTAAAATAATAAAATTTTAATAGTAATATGTTTTTATAACACTATTTTAATAGCAAGATGAAAAATTTTTAAAAACACTATTTTAGTTTTAAATAGGTATATTTAGTAAAATCTTGTTGAGAAGAATTAAAATTGTCAATTAATTAAATAGAGTAAATATTTAAAAATTGATAGAGTTTGTTTGTGATGGTATTTTTATTTTGTTTGTTTATTTTAATATTAGGTTAAATATTTAATTTATTATCTAAACTATTTATTTGTTTATTTCTGTTTTAAAATAAATCAAATTATTTATAAAATCTATAGGAAGTTTTAATTTCAAAATATCTTTCATCTTTAGTTTATTATTTCTGTGGTTAATTAATTAAATTATTTTATAAATATATTTGGATTTACATTAATCTCATTATCCAATAAAATATATTTGTAGTTTAAATTTCAAAATTTGTTAAATCTATAACTTATTATTCCTGTTTTTAAATTAATTTAATTATTTTATAAAATATATTAGTAGTACAAAATTTGGAAATATGTTTAATCTGAACTTTATTATATCTGCTTTAGTAATAATAATATTTATGTGTAATAATATTCACTATGGATTCTACTTGGGTTTGTATTTTTCACAATGTTCTTTAGAGATTTTATTAATGATTTTACCAATGGATTTAATTGATTCTTGCATAGATTGTTGAATCTTTTTTACCATTGAACCAGTTGAGTTATAAGCGTAAGAAATAATGTTGGTAAGCCTTTCACTTAAATTTTAATGGTATTAGTCAAGGTGTTCTTAAAGATGTTCAAGATTCATGTATTTACCATGAGTCTTACAGACTTTCCATTAATGTCTCCAAATGTCAAAGAATTAATAACCAGGAATTCTCCTAATTACTTTATAACAAGTTCTCCTTAATAGGGGTTGTTCTCTTTCTTCTTCAATGTCCAAACCAATTACTTTATGTTGTATATCATTCACAAATATTTCCAATTCTTCACAATCTTTTTAAAATTAAGGGTTTCTTTCTTTATTATTCTTTTGTTTTAAAATTAATTAAATTATTTTATAAAATATACTAGTAGTACAAAATTTGGAAATATGTTTTATCTAAACTTTATTATATCTGCTTTTCAATTAATCAAATTATTTTTTGAAATAAATAAGAAGTATAAATTTGGAAATATGTGTAATCATAACTTCTGTTTTTAAATTAATTTAATTATTTTATAAAATATATAGTAGTACAAAATTAGAAAATATGTGTTATCAATAACTTCTAATTTAAATTAATTTAATTATTTTATAAAATATATAGTAGTACAAAATTTGGAAATATGTTTTATCTAAACTTTATTATATCTGCTTTTCAATTAATCAAATTATTTATTAAAATAAAAAAGAAGTATAAATTTAGAAAAATTTGTTTTCAATAAATTCTGTTTTTAAATTAAGTTAATTATTTTATAAAATATATTAGTAGTACAAAATTTGTAAATATGTTTAATCCAAACTTTATTATATCTGCTTTTGAATTAATCAAATTATTTTATAAAATATATAAGTAGTACAAAATTAGAAAATATGTGTTATCAATAACTTCTGTTTTTAAATTAATTTAATTATTTTATAAAATATATTAGTAGTACAAAATTTGTAAATATGTTTAATCCAAACTTTATTATATCTGCTATTAAATTTATCAAATTAATTTATAAAATAATACATGTTAGAAATTTCAAAATCTTTTAAATATAAACTCTACTATTACTTTCCCATAACATTTAAATGTGAAATAATTATAATTCATCAAGCATAATGAATAACCATATTGTTGAACTGATATCAATTATATTACATTCCAATTTAAACAAATGATGTCTAATATATGTTTATTGTATGGTTATCAGATCCATAAGATATCACTTTATTCTATTCCTCATACAAGCTTAATCCTATAACATTCTATTTATGATATGTAATTGTTTATGAACATAGCTACTCATTCTGCTTGTCCAAAAAGTAATTTTCTAATCATGACTCCCTCATATGATAAGATCTTCATTCTTTTTCAATTATAAACAATAAATCCAATGAGAATGTCCATTCAATTTCTATGAATTAATCTATTAATTATTATCATTCTTAGTCCATATTATTATCAATTAATCATACCTGCAGATATAAATTGAGTAGATTTCTTCAAAATTATTTTCATGTCCACTTAGAATTTGAGTTTATGTCAATCGTGCTTATTTAAATTAAAATACTTTTATAACTTTATCACAATTATCTAATTCAATAGATTTATTTTTATTAAAAGTTATTTTATCCAAGATTAATTTTATTGAATTGAATGATTCTAGATTAATTTAAAAATGAATGGTCTTAGATTGTATTACTTAATTTCTTAAATTTATCTTCTTAATTGACTTCTTTAGTATTTTATTATTTCAGTTAAACTTACTTGAATTAACTCTATAAACATTCTTTATGAATAATTACATTAAATATAGGTTTAACTTCTTTACTTACTTCTTTGATGGTTATATGAAATTGAATGTTAATTTCAGGAAATGTTGGATTATTATTATTCACACATTTTTAAGGATACATGAATAAAGAGCAAAAGGAATTTAATCATGATAATCATCAATTCTATTAAATGAAAACTAATTAGTAAATTATAGTTTAATATCTTACATCTATAGCTTATTAC